GCCTGGTGAATATTCTAACAGCAAAAGCTAAAGGAGCATCAACAGTGTGTGTCACTGGTAAAGTTGCTTTATATATCATTATCTAATTGTTAAAAAATGACTTCAAATGAGTAAAATAGTTGCTAATTACTACTGTATTGTTAATTTAAACTAGTTTAAAGACTGTTATACCAATGTTTTTGTTTAATTCATTTCTAAAGATACCAAGAAAATTTGATACTTTTAAGGAAGCCTTACTTGTAATTTTTCTAAATTACTATTTGTATGTATCAGATATTGACGAAGCTAGGCTGAAAAAGGCTAAAGAGATTGGAGCAGATTATGTGATAAAAATAAACAGCAAAGATCCGTTAGTTGCTGCCCAGGCAATAGAGGAGACAGTTGGTGATAAAGTAGATATAAGCATAGAATGTAGTGGCGCTGCACAAAGTATTCAGACAGCTATTTGTGTAAGTATTTATTTCTCTCAGTAATACTAATTATCTAATTACATTGAGGCAAAATTTGCATTAGTTATTATAATTAGGCAAAAAAGTAGCATTAATAATTTTCTTATTGTATTGAGGCAACAAAATCTGGAGGTGTAGTTGTTTTGGTTGGACTTGGTCAGGATACGGTTGAGTTACCAATTGTTAATGCGGCTATCAGGGAGGTGGACATCAGAGGCATATTCAGATATGTGAACTGGTAATTAGGCGTACATCTGTTGATTAATTGCATACAATAGTATCTTCATGAATTAATTTCATGCAATAGTTTTCTTAAATTACTACAATTACATTGTTAAATCTAATTTTTTTTTAAACCCACTTAAAAAGAAACAATATTTTTTAAAATTTCTTATTATAAAATATTGTTTTTTAGAGTAGTACTAAAGCAATGAGTGATGATAATCAGTAATATGTTTGACCTTTTTGTAGCTACCCTACAGCCTTGGCCATGGTAGCCTCTGGGAGGGTTAATGTTAAGCCACTCATAACCCACCGCTTCAAGCTGGAGGAATCTCTTCAAGCTTTTGAGGCGGCTAAACGAGGGGAAGGAATCAAGATAATGATTAAATGCAATAAATAATAATGACAATCATTCCTGAACTCAGCACCACAAAAATGTGTCATTTATGATGCTGTGTGACAAGTCAACTTCTGCAACTCAGAACTTTATGCCTTCCTTTTTGATGACGTTTTTATATTCAGAATACAAAATTTGTTTATGTTTTTAAATTATCTGTACTTTTACCTGTTATTTTATTTTGAACTTACAACATGTTAAACAATTTAACTCTTGTCTGTACTGCCATCAGCATTTGTTGTACTACACATTTTTTTATGTTTATGAAGTGTCTATATATAAATACATTTTATTAGTAATGGAGCATTTAAGATTTACACTACAATATATTACTTTGGTTTACTTATGTGGTATTACTGTTAACAGATGAAATGTAATTTTTTAAAAATTATTTGTATGAATGGAAATGGGTTGACCAGAATAAAAGAGGGTAACATACTTAGTCAAATCTTTCTATTTTAATTTTCATCATTGGCTTAATGAATCTTTGTCAAATCATTAATGGTGTTTCTACCACCTGCTTGATATTTAGATTAGACACACAGCATACAAAGTTTTCCAGGAGAAGATAACTTTAGTATCAGCGCAGTTGTTTTGGCTTCTTATGACAGCTAGCCAGTAGAACTTTAGACAACAAATAGACAGACAGGCAGCTCTTTTGTTTAGATGTTATACCTTCAGCACTGTTAAAAATTGTTCAATACAGGCTTGAATTTTTTGATAATGATAGGCTAACATGTGCCCATTATTTAGCTTAGTCTAGTTAGTAATTGGTTTGGTCATTTTTGAGGTCACTACTTCTAATTGCCATTGTTAATCCAAGGCCAACGATAGTCTGTGAGACATCAGCCAACGACTTTGTGATCAACATGCATGATAAGCTGATTCAAGTTTTAATTTCATCCTAGAGCCAGATATGCCAGGAAATTTTGCCATTTTGAAATTATTGATATAGGGCCAAGACAAAAATTAGTACCCCTGTAAACTCCACATTTATGATGAAATTAATATGTGTTCTCTATCTCTTTAACCAACTCTGCTGATCTTTGTGGGGCTGGAGCTCTGGATGGGCAGCATCAGACTCTCCCAAGAGGTGCTCAAGCATGTTGAGTACCAAATAGTCGTTAACCAAGAAAAAGTGTTCTCAGCTATAATCTTAACTTAATATTAGATCACAGGAATCGCTGAATTGTACGTGATTCGTTTGGTGTAGGGTATAGTATGGGATTTTGTATCATTGAAGATGCTAGATTATACGAACTTGGTTAGATCTGTGTGTGTGTGTACACTGTGTAGCGTTTATCTAAACGATTTTTAGATCAACAAATTCAACAATCGTTGAGTCCAATTCTCAACTTTATCAACAAACTGAGCAATCTTCGAGTCAAAATGGTTAAGAAGTTCTATCAACAAAATGAGCAATCTTCGAGTCAAAATGTTCCACTCTATCAACAAACTGAGCAATCTTCGAGTCAAAATGTTCCACTCTATCAAACTGAGCAATCACCAGTTGGCCTCTCGTGAGAAACAAGGTCATACTAAAATAAATAGGTCACTTCACATTATCATTTGTGACCCCAGTGTGTTGTGGCTTGGCCGCGACTCAGAGTAGAAACCAGCTGCATCTTATCTCCACATTCTGTTAACTAACTAATGAGGGGGGGGGGGGGGGTTCTGGCGTGTAAAGTTACCCATTAGCCTGTGCAGGCTATCATAAATAGTTTGGTAATGTCTATAAATTATAATTTGTTGCATTCTGCTGTATAGAAATAATCATAATAATGAGTAGACGAATGATAAATTCTACAAAGATTCAGTTTGTAAAGCAATTTTTAAATACGAAAAATCTGAACATGCATGCCCCCCCCCCCCCCCTACCGTAAACTACCAAATAAAAGCACAGCAGGAAAAAATTAAGTGTGACAATAGTAACATATTTCTGGAACATCATATTTATCTCGGCGTAGTTTATTTGAATGATTAAGTTACCAAATCGCGAAATTCTCAAATCAAATTGACCGACCAATGCCCAGTAGCAGATAACCACTATTCACTCTTTTGTTTAGGAATAGACCTCCTTGACTTTTTTTATCGGAATAATCTTTTTAGTTGGTCTTAATTTGATGTAGACTCCTGCTCTATTAAGAACGGCAAATACGGTAGGCTTGGAGTGTAGGCTACAACATTTGATTAGTCCACGATACTGTTAGAAAATGTGGATTCAATTGAAGATCTCGACATATAGCCACCGCGATGGAATAGTTCGCTCCTATCGTCGCAAAAAGCAAGAATTCATTAAAAAAAGACGTAACAAACAAACCTAACAAGATCTAATATTGAATATTTAGGGATCATCCACATGGGAGGGCAGAGGCGTAGCGACCATTCCCGGCGCCCGGTGACAAACTTTCGATGTGCACCCCCCTCAAGCTTTCGATTTGCACCCCCTCTCAAGCTAGATTTGCACCCCCCCCCCCGCCTCACACTTTCGATTTGCAACCCCCTCAAACTTTCGCTTCGCCCCCCCCCCTTAACCTTTCAATTTATTTTTCCAACCCATTTTGGCGCCCCTAATATCGGCGCCCGGGGACATGTGTCCAGAGTTTCTTCCAGGCATTTTTACCGCCCCCCCCCCCCCCGAACGAGATGAAATGTATATAATTTATATAGAAAATATATACGTTTAACAGTGTCCGCCCCCCCCCCGAAGAAAGTTTACCGCCCCGCCCCCCCCCCCCCGAAGATTTCAAGTGCCCCCCCCCCCCCGGAGAAAAAAGTCTGGAAGAAACACTGCATGTGTCCCCCCCGCTACGCCTCTGTGGGAGGGGGCGAACTATTGTGACGAGGGGGGGTTACATTTGCATTTTAAACTGAGTTTAGCAGTTTTGTTTTACGATTTTTAAAATATGTGATTTTGTTAATTGTTTTTAATGTTGATTAAATGAATCATCGACCCGACGTTGCTATTTCCTTACCAAGGGAAACAACACACTATTAATGTTTGGTAAAATTATACTAGCTTGGTTATATCCCCTTATTGAAAAATATGGGGAGATAGATCGAACTTGTGTGACTATGGCAAAAAAAAAATGCACTGTCTAGCATCAAAATGTGTCGCTTAATTATAGCCAAAACTGCAATTATTGCTTTTCAAAAGCGCAAACTACCCACCTTATTTTTGCTGAATATCGTTTGAAAAGTTTGGCACCCACCTCATAAAAGTGACACAGATTTTCTGAAACTATTAGAATCTAGATCTAGATCTAAATAGTCATTCCAAGAGGAAATTAAAAAAGCACTGTCGAGTTTACTAATTGCATTCACCTCACTGCAGCTAACATTTGTTTTTATCGAGTTTACACGTAGATTTTAGTAGTTAATTCCATGCACAACCCCCCCCCCCCCCCCCCCCGATCGAAATGGAATTTTTATAATTAAAAAATATATACTCTTACCTGTGTTCGCCCCCCCCCCCCCCGAAAATGTAGTCCGCCTCCCCAAAAATATCAAGTGCCCCCCCCCCCCCCCCCGGAGGAAAAAGTCTGGAAGAAACACTAGATTCTAGGGGGTAGCGTTGAACTTACCGTACAAGGGATTTAATCATGCACAGATAAATAGCTCTTTTATTTAAATGCTTAAATATAGTAGTGACAGTTAAAATATTTGTTATCGATACCGTAATATTAGAATTAGATTAAGCTTATGCTAAATCCTTATTTTTGAAGAGTTATTTTAAAATCTGTATAATTACATATTAATATATAAATGAAATTTTGGTTCTATGTTTCTATTTAAAGTATTACATTATGTTGCATAATTTCGATAGGTCAAAATTGTACTAACATTTAGTATATCGATACCTCGGAATCTAATTGTATGTTGTCCTCTATACACCGAGATAAACACAAGCATGATTACCATGTTGACATGTTGATGCTTAATTTTTAATTTTTACATTTCAACTTACAGGTGGAAGTAGTAATTGTATTTTGCTATCTTTCATGAACTTTAATTTATTCTACAAGTATTGGTATTCTGTAATGTTAAATCTACCAATAACATCTCTTATTCTCTACTGACTTCTTGGCCCTACCCGAGCTCTGACTCGTCCGAGTACACCGAGTACCGAGTGTTGACTAGACTAGATTTCTAATTTCTAGTCTTTTGACTTTACTTTACTCTAGAGATCTCGATTTAAATCTGGATCTAGCTAAGACTAGACTAGAGAGCCTTAGAGAATGTCAGTATAATAGTCAAATAAGTGTTGAAGTGGATCTAGTAAACTAACAAAATTAGAAGTGACTAGGGGTGTGGGGAAATTGCGAGACGCGAAAAGCGAAATGGCGAGGCGGGAAAATGCGAGAAGGTAATGCGAGACATACCTGCGGAATTAAGGGTAAATAGCAAGACACTTTTTGCGAAAAAAGTTTTTTTCCTTTTTTTTTTCCATCTTCATTTATTTCAATTATTTTTTTAAATATTTTAAAAATAAACAAGCATTTAACCATACCCTTTAACACGAGTGTTGTATGTTGTTATTTTTTATCTAGATACTAAGAAGATAGATAGATCTATATCTAGATCTATCTATTTAAAAATCCTAACATCGTTGCTGTGCTACTGTCATCGCCCGCTCTCGTTAGCGAGAGGAAAATCCCGTCTCAGTCGGCATTAATTTAAAAATCTTGCCCGCTCATGTTTATACAAACGTGAGCTGTGTCATTGTGAATTGGTATAATCTTGTCAGCAGGAGAGATATTTTGCAATATCTATTTATGGAATTTTGTACTTGCAAAAAGTGTAAAAGTATAAACAATTCTAAAAAGTGCAATTTATTTTTTATTAAGTAATTTTAATTACAAACAAAATTTACAAACAAAATCTTCTGAAACAGTCCTCAAACACACCTCGTGACACCATCTTTCACACATAGTACACCCAACCCAGTTCATTAGACTCCCATTTATACATTTTTCTTTTGCTACTTCTTCCAATCCACATTCACAACATTTCACATTCTCATCACAGTTGACCTCCTTGTTCATCCCACAAACAACACTGGCACCCATGTTCTTATCATCATCATCCGCACGCTCAACATCTGTTTTCCGTTTTTTATAATTTGTATTTTTTCACATTTCCGTAAATTTGGCAATGTCTTGCTCATTGTTGTTACCAGCAGTTGAGTTTTTTTAAAACATTGATATTTTCCCAAAATCTTGTCTAATTTCGGTCAAAATAGAGTATTTTAATCAATTCCTATTACAATGTATTAAAACAGTTTTCTAAAACGCGAAAAAACGTCTAAAATTCTTTTTCTAACATTGCTTTTTTATAGTGTGACTTCACATCTAACCCCCCCCCCCCCCCTCTTCCCCCACATCACACATCGTCATGAAATTACAGTTTCGAACAAGGTGGTATTCTAAGTCGACACAAAAGATGGGGGGAGTTGACAAATCATCAGTATGTCTAGCGACGGATAAATCGGAAGTTTTAACAATGTAAACGAAACGTCTTTGAAGTCTGGACCAAATACCACTGAAAATCGGGTGCGGTAAATTTTTCGCAGAAATTTTCGCATTTCAACACCACCCAGCGTAAGTATCAGCTTGTGGTAAAATGCGAGACAAAAAAGTCACGTGACCGACCGTTTTCGCGCCCTTCTCGCATTTTCCCGCCTCGCCATTTCGCTTTTCGCGTCTCGCAATTTCCCCACACCCAGTGACTAGCATGTCTCAACTGTTTTTATAACTTTTTAACTTGTGACTTCTCAATCAAGCTATTTAATCTAGATCTAGACTTCATGGCAATGTTTTTGATGTACTGTACAATGTACATGCATGTACCCTAATGCCAAACCCTAATCCTCCATAACCAGATAACAATTTTCTTTAGGTATCACCTCCCCCCCCCCCCCCTCAAGAAAATATCGGAAAGAAACACTGTCCCTAAACTAAAGCTTAACCATAACCCTTCAAAAGTTCAACAACAGCTTTTATTTACTAAGTAAAATAAAAAAATAGCCAACTCAGAACCCCAGGTTATCGAAAGCAAGCTGACTGATGTGCAACCACTTCAACCACCTTAAATTAATAGTTATCACAATGTTGAAAAGTTAAATGTCATACACAAAGAATGCTTGCGAGTGCACATACACATTTTCTCCACCTAGCTGGTAGCCGAGGGCCTTGAGGGAGGTTATGCAGTTAGCTCAGTGTGGTGAAGTGTATAGTACTATTTATTCCTATTCATTCAACATTATCAAGAGTGTGATGTCCACAAGATCTATTAAATCATGATCCTTCTTCTTCATCCAAATTATATCAATTGAAATTGGAGATTCCCTCAGTTTTGAAAGAAAGTCAATCAAGAAAGGGCCTATAACCACATTATTATTTTAAATTAATTTATTTAGCCTATTAAAAATAAGAAAATTAATAATAAATAAAAGAAAAATCTCATGTTGATTGTAATTAAAGTTTGAGATTGTTGGTTATAATTTTACACAGCTATCAGTTAATACCCAGATAGTCCTACCTAATTGCAAGTTAGCTAAACACTAAATTGAATGCCCAAACTGATATAATTTTTTTTAAAAACCTGTTCTACTCACTTTTATCTAAGTATTTATTAGCCTGTCATGTGGCTGGTATGATTAAAATAACCTATAACCCCCAAAAATAAAACCCCCGTTTTAGGCTCTTATATAATTTAATAGGATCTTAACTATTATAAATGAAAACACTGCTAAGTCATATACTACTCGACTTATAAGTAGCAATTGAACTTAGATCTATTATTAACTAGTAGCTTTAGATTATTATTATTTAAATGAGTCTATAAGCCTAAATAAATGAATTCTCTTCCTATCTGTACCAGAAAAATATCTGTGGTTTTACTTCAAAATTAAGCAACACATTTCTTGGAATAGTTTTTTCTCTTTACAACTGAACAGCCAGATTTATATTTTTAACTTTAAAAAGCAATATTAATAATATTTAGTGAGATAGTTTGGCTAATGTATATAAGTTATCGAAACAGAATGGCTAAAATTAGGTTTGGACCTGATCTACACTAATTAATATTAGGTTTATTCATATTTTTTAGCTTCTTTAGATCTTCAATATCATGGGCAAAAAGGGGTTATCAGATAAAGTGCGCAATAAACAAAAAAACAAAGCCAAACCAGCACCAAACCCTTTTGAAGTGAAGATTAACAAAGTCAAACATGCTGTTGTCAATAAAAAATTACAAAAGTGGGAAAAAGGAATCCCAGGGGTGTCTCGATCAAAAGCAATTAAAAAGGTGAGAGTGAATCAATATACCTCTGGCTAATTTTTATTTAGACCAACTGTTTATATTTAACATTATTTATTATTGATAAGGCTTAACTTCTATAACATTATGAGTTGTGAATATAATTATAACTTATGTACTAAACATCATCAGAGAAAAGATACCATTTTAAAAGAGCTGTATCACATGAAAAAAGCTAACACCTTGCTTGACAAACGCTTTGGAGAAAGTGATTCAACCCTCACTGCAGATGAGAAAATGGTACAGAGATTTGCCCTGGAGAAAAAGGTATGTACTCTCTTTTTCACTTTGCTTTATTAAATGCTCACAGAATTTTTATCCTATTCGCATTTTTTTTTGTGTTGATCAAGTAGCCAGCTGACAGAATATTAGTGTTTTTCTAGTGTTGACATTTGAAATTAATGAAATTGTGTTTTTTATTTAAAGAAACAAATTAGAAAGAGTGATTTTAACTTGAATGAAGAGGAAGAAGTTCTCACTCATTATGGCCAATCTCTTGCTGAAAACCTACAAGACACAATTGGGAGTGATTCTGATGAAGAGGATGACAGAAACCAAATTAAAACAGGTTAGTGGTTTTACCAACATCACTTAAAAATAGTTAAGTGGTCTCACTCACGAAAACATGACTGGTTTTAATTTGTTTGACATTTTTATAGGAGATTTTCAGTTTGGAGGGTTTTCTAAAGATGGAGAAGTGTCTTGGAAAGACAAAATGAAAGAAGTCATAGCTGAATCAAAAAAGCACAAGGTATGTTGTTTACAGTTTTTAAAAATTGGGTTTTGGAGTCAAGATAAAATATGTATCTGGTAGTGTAACAAACATTGAAGTTGATATTCTGACTTCTATAAAAATATTTTTTAAATTTTAGTTTAGTCTTAAAAGTATTGTCATGTATGTATTTCTTTGTTTACAATTTTTTTAGTATGAAAGACAAGCAGAAAAAGAAAAGACATTAGAAACAACCAACGAGCTGGACATGAAGTGGAAAGCTATTGTCCCCAGTTTGAACACATCTGTATGTTATTATTAGATTTTTCAATCAAAGACTTAGCCAGTATTTTACAGCCAGAGTTATGGTTTATAATCACAAAGTAATTTTGTTTTACATTTCAGAGAGATAATTTGTCACAAAGGAAGGTTACAAATTTTATGCAGCTGTTCCGTACATTGGTTTTGGATCAGAAGTCATCAGGTGTAAGTATTTTAAGTAGAAGTTATCAGGTATTTAATTTAAAAAGTCATTGAGTTAAGTATTTTAATTAGAAGTTATCAGGTATTTAATTTAAAAAGTCATTGAATTAAGTATTTTAATTAGATTTTATCAGGTATTTAATTAAAAGTTATTGAGTTAAGTATTTTGAATAGAAATCATCCTAAGAATTTAAAATACAAATTATTTGATCTAGACTGATTGTATTAGTATGATAATTTATTGATATTATTTTCATTCAAAAGAATGCAGAAATATTTTTCAATTTCTTTTATTCATAGGCTTCTGATAAGCTTAAAACAGAAGAAGAAAAAGCTAAGGAGGAAGCTGAGAAATTACAGATTCTCGAGGTTTGTAGTTTATAACATTATATTGGTGTTTTTTAAACATCTTAGGTAACATTATATTTTAAAATTTTCTCTAAAACTGTATGAAAAGTAAATATTTGACTTTTTATCTCTAGGCTGAGAGATTGTCTAGAATGGCAGCTAATTCCAACAGCTCAGGCAACAAACATGTCTCTGCAGATGACCTGTGTGACGGGTAGATAATTCATACTGTTCTCTTTGTAATCTTAACTAAGTTACGTCCATTTGTGTGATGGGTGGATTGTTCATACTGTTCTCTTTGTAATCCTGAGTTATGTTCATTTTAAAATTATATATTTTCTTTGTTTGACAAGCTCCTGTACTAAACTTTATGCATACTTTGTTTTAGATTTACATTCGACAATGAAAAGGATAAATCATCTCTTAAAAAGGCAAAACAGGCAGAAGTTGAAGAAGAGGATGAAGATAAAGAAAAGGTAGATGAAACTGAGGACAATGATGATCAAGAAGAGGGAAGTGATGAAGAGGAGGAGGAAGAAGATGATGATGAGAGCAGTGAAGCATCAGATGACTACTCTGATCTGGCATCAGATGACAACAGTGGAAGTGATGAAGAAATAGAAAATGAACCAAACAAGAATAAAAATTCTCCCACCCAGAAAGCTGTTCAACAAAAAGTCATTGTAAGTCCTTTTAAAAAGAATTTGCTTTTTTTTAAGTATATATTGCCTACTGAACTTAACTGCCAATTTTATGATCATTGTCACTACTATTTGCAAAGTTGGTGTTTATTGATATATTTAAAAATGTATATAATATACAACATTAAGGTGGAAATATCCTAAACATTTCTTATTATGTTTTACCAGAAAGACACAGCTCCATTGAGGGATGATCTGCCTTTTGTGTTTGCAGGTAAAATAAATCCTTACATTTTATATAACTTCCGCCTACATAGTAATGAAGTTTTCCTGCCGTTATCATAGAATTTTTTTTCCAACATGTTACACGATTATAAAGAAGAAATATTTTATATTGCTGAAATTTGATAACATTTTCAGCCCCTGGAAGCTATGAAGAGCTGAAAGCACTTTTACATGGTCACAGTGCTGATGAACAAGTTGTCATCATTTCCCGCCTTAGGAAATGTCATCACCCAAGTCTGGCAGAAGGAAATAAAGATAAATTGGAGGTAGGAAAATTAGATCATTAAGACTTTGCGTTAGAACATTTAAATTTAAAAAAAAAAATCTGTGTAATACTAGTACTTGATTCCACATACCACAAACATACCACTACTTGATTCCACATACCACTAAATTTTTCTGCTGATCATTTGGTAGAATTTTTATATTACTTACAATCAGTTTGTAACAATAGAGTAAAAAACTATCTAGTTTGGTAACTGAAAAAAAAACATTTTTGTTTTTTTCTTCCTCAGAAGAAACTATAATTATTTGATTTAGTTTATCTTCTGCCAACTTCATAGTAGGAATTATTTTAAGGAAAATGTAATGAACGTGACTGAAACTGCACTAAACTTGTATTTAATTTTTATGTATGGTGTATTGAAAGTTATAATAATTCCGCAGAAAATTCATCTATACCTGCTTCAATACTTTGGAGAGTTGATGAAACAAGAAATATTAGAAACCAGATTGATAGATAATGTTACAGCCAGTCTCTGGGAAATGAGCCAGACTTTTCCAGCTTCAACTGCCAAACAACTTCAGGAAATAGTAACTGAAAGGCAAAAAGATTATTCATCAAAGACGATAGCTAAAGGTGGCAAAGGAACATTTGTCGGATTGGATACTGTAATTTAATTTATTTTCTGTTATATGTTTAAATATCTGTATGTGCTAAACATCTAAGTTAATATAGGTTCAACATAGTTTAAACTAGACTGTTTATATGTAGAAATTGAAAGTATGTTGAATTTATTGAGTACATTTTCTTCATTTACTAGTAAATTTAACTTAGACCAGGATATTTTCTAAATTAGGCTATACTTTCTACACTTGTAATGGTCAAATTGTTCCCCTCTCATCCATTTAGCTGATGTATTTGAAGCTGATAGAGAGCCTGTTCCCTACATCTGACTTCAAACACCCAGTGACAACTCCTGCTATACATTTTATTACACAAATGCTTTCTGAGGTTAGCTGGTGTTAACTGTTTAATCCCAGTCATTTTATCCAACATATTGTGTATAAGCTGAACCTGTCATAGATAGTATAAACAGCTGACTCTAATAACAAAGGATGACCCTAGTAATACTTTTATTGACAATAAAAATAGCTCTTAAATTTATTTTTAGTGTTCAGTCAAGAGAGGCCAAGATGTTGTTGTTGACTTGTTTTTGATTTCCCTTGCTTTAAAGGTTGGTTCATTCTAAAATTAGTTATATTATAGATACATTCGGATAACTTTAATATTCTACAAATACTTCCGGCTTTAAATGTATACCTCACTAAACTTTTTGACCTGTAGTACTGAAACGTGCAAGAAGGCATAACACCAAAGTAATAAAAAAAAATATTGATTTTTCTAAATTCTAACTGCAGTATGTGAGCTTGTCCAAACGTTACATCCCCGAAGTTGTGACATCTCTGCATGGGTTACTGTTCTTGGCATCTGGAAACAAATCAGGTAACTTTGTGTTACTTGAGTGAGCGCAAGTGTTCTCTGTGATTGTTGGTTTACTCCAGTTGATGTTCTCTGTGATTGTTGATTTACTCCAGTTGATGTTCTCTGTGATTGTTGATTTACTCCAGTTTATTCCCTGACCCTTGATTGACATCAGTTGTTATCTTGTTTTCCAGACTTGCCAGTTTACCCACCCTTCAGGGCCACTCTTAGACCTTCCTATCATTTAAAACTTCAGCAGAAAAGGTAAAAAACTAACACACTTTTTCCCCCAATAATTCTTAACTCCAGCCCAAAAGGTAAATATTTTTACACAATTTTTTCAAATTATTTAAAACTTTAGCACAACTTTTGTTAGGTTATGCTTCACCATTGATTGTAAATATCACTTTATGTATATGTTTTTTTAGTCTTTCTATAACAAAAGAATGGTCAATTTCTGCCATGTTAAACAAGGAAGCAAGTGATTTAGACAATGACCAGTTCAGGTAAACAAGATTTATATTTTGATGTGCTGGTGTCAATATATTTTTCTGTTAGAAATTATTCATATATTGATTTATTGTGAACTCCATTTTTTTTAATGCTCTTTCAAAGGTGTGATGCTGTTTATAAATGCCTTGTTCTCCTTGAAAATTGCTTGAATCTGTGGGAGGAAATTCCTTGTCTTAGCCTGGTCTTACAGCCCCTAAAAGCTTCCTTATTGGCACTACCTAAAGACTTGTATCCAGACCAAGTTCAGGTTTGTTTCATGGTTTTTAAAAAAGTAAAGGAGTGATCTCCCATAAACTCTAATTCTTACATTACAGTAAGGGGGGGGGGAAGGGTTTTGCAGAGCAAATTGGTTAAGGTTATGATACTTTCAGTGCGGTTGGAAGTAAACACTACTTCAGTTTATCGAAAATCACTCAAAAATTGGTGTAAAACTATAAATTTGACATAATACTTGTATATGAAATTTCATCAATCTATTCTAACACGCACACAAGAATAGACAAAATTGCCAAACTAAATTTTTCTGGCTCTGGTTGTAAGAAGTCAAAATCTCTATTTGAGTGATTATAATACATCTTTTATATTCCGTATAAAAATAAAGTAGAGAGGTGGAAATCTGCCATAATATCTGTTAATTATTCTCGCTTTGTTCACAAGAAAGTAATAATTGACTGATTACATTTTTTCAGGAGAAAGTTCAATTAATTTTGTTGAAAATGAATGAGGCTGAATCCAAGAAACTTAAAGTGATGCAGAAGCTTACAGCTAAACCAGTTCCCCTCAAACTATTTGAACCACAAATAGAAGAGTTGTAAGTTTTATTGTTTACTATAAAGTTTGATAAGCTTTTCTATGCAGCGTACCCTTAAAATTAAATAAAAATTTTGTGGTAGCTGCAGCTATATTTTAACTGTTTAATATTTTAGCTGGGCTGGTAAAAATAACAAGTGTTTATTATTTTAGCTGGGCTGGTAAAAAGAAGAAAAAAGGCCCCAACAAAGAGGAGAATGAGCGCAAGAGATTGATCCACAAGTACAAGCGTGAGATGAAAGCTGCTGTCAGAGAAATCAAGCGTGACAATGAAGTGTTATCTAAACACCAGCTTGATGTAGTCATACAAAAGTGAGTACCCCTTGTTTGTTAAGTCTTTACTATTTTAAAGGTTCTACTTGTTCAGACCTTATAATAGAGGAAAAATATTTCACTGACATATAGCACACTTCTCAAATTTACTGACATATAGGTTACTGCCCTAATTTTCTAACTGATAGTACACTGCACTAATTTGATAAAAATGCAAGGCACTAAATTTTGAGTCGACTTTCTTTTATTTTATAGAATACATATCTCCTTAAGTAAATTTACATCATATTTTTTAAATATTTTAAAACAAGTTCAAATATTAGATACAAAACAAATTATTTTTAAAATATTTTAAAACAAGTTCAAATATACAAAACAAATTAGCATGTGGTAAACAGGAGTATATTTTTTAAAATATATACTTAGTCATCATACACTTAGTTTTATCTGTCATAATTAAGTTCTTTTTAGTTTTATTTAGTGTTTTTCTCACAAAAGTATGAACAGTACTGCTATATATTTGTTTAAATAAGTATGGAGCATGTTGCACCCCTATTGTGTATTTTATCATCTGACCATATCCTCTAAGTTTAAAAAGTATAGGCTGCCAGTGCATATACTTCACCCTCCTATCATGGCAACAATTTGACTGTTGATTCAAATATTTTAAATAATTTATTTTTGCAGGGACATTGAGAGAAAGAGAAAGACAAAGGAATTGATGAGCAGTTTAGCCAGTCAAGAAGGAGACTTCAAGGCTCTTAAGAAGACAAAAAAAGAATAAATAAGTCATAATTGATATTTAAAAATTGTAAAATACAAAAAAAAAATTATTAAAAATCACATTTTTGCTGTTTGACTTATTGTTAGCTACTTTTTTTCTATTCCATATTTCAAATTTTCCTAAGCAATAGCAACATGTTCTCCCATCCAGTTTTCACCACATACATGATAGTGTTAGAGATCTCAAATAAACTGCCTTGATAGTAATAAGCTTTTAAGTGCACTGAAAATAAGAAGATAAACTTGCTTTCTTTAATAAGAGCATTGGTTTAAAAACAAGTGTAAAGATTACATGAGTGCTCTTAAAAAGTTTTTTTGTTTTTTACTTTTCAGGTATTTGTTCTGAATTAAGTTATTGGCACATATACTAAAAATATTTAGCCAATCTCAGTAGCTTTCTATCTCTAAAAACAATTATCCACCCTTGTTAGTATATGGTTTTCTGTGACCAACAGTACACCCTGGTAGATTTCTAGTACTTGATCTTGTTCTCTCCACCTTTATTACTAAATTTGGTAATCTTTTGAATGCACTTTAATGACTAATTAGATTTTTAAAAATCAGATATTCTTGTATTGTCAAGGAAGACCAGTGTTTCTGGAAAGTTTGAACTGCATCAGAAGTGGGTTTTAAATGAGTTACAAAATTTAACACAAACTCACACCATGAACTAGAAATAAAAGCTTATCATTATCAAAACAGAAAACTTATACCTGAGTATCTAAATTTAAGAGACTGTTAGACACTAAACTTTAGGAAGGCTTGTATTACATGGTATTTAAAAAGAATTTTGAACAAAATATTACAATTTATACTTTAAAAATTGAACTAATAATACTAACATTTTTTAGGTACTAGAAATAATACACCAATAAATATACAAATAATGCTAACTATGGTACTATTCATATGAAACCTACTGTATTTGATGTAAAAAAAAAACTGTAAACTACTAGTACACTTCTTATACTCAGTATAGTTGGTTACAAAAATGAGTTTTGAACAAAGATATAAAGTAATGCTCAATGTTTAGTTACATAAGTATTTAATGCCAGCTTTTGCAAAAAAAATAATCCTTTTCTAAATAAAAATATTTAGAATAACTAAAAAGGAACTCCAATAGTGTCTTAAACTCACAAATACTGCAGGTAATCTCTTACAGTAATTGAATTATACATTAGTGTCTTCAAAGGCTCATTTGTTTAAACTACAGTGGTTCCCACAAAAGATATTATCTACAACCAGCGATCATCTGCCAGAACTCTTTGGCACTTGTTGATGTTTGAATCAAATGTTAATGTAAAAAAATTTAAATATCATACTGGCATAAAAGTCTTGTCTAAATCATTATTATTTATACCACGCAATACCACTGGTAATTCATTTCACAAGTACATTCCCTACAAAATTTCCTTTACTGCCATGACATGAAACACATTATTTACTTTAGCTGGTCTGGTTGATTAGAAACTCCAGTTATAAACTTTAATTAGAAACTCCAGTTATAAACTTTAATTAAAAATCCAACCACTGAAGGCAGGAGCCGTTCTCCAGTGTCATTAGCACTTTGGGTTTCGTGTTGTCTCTGTTCATTTGGGACAACAGCATGTGAATTAATTGAATTGTCTCGTGGGACAACAGCGTGTGAATTATTTGAATTGTCAGTTGAAGTTTTGGTGAGGTGGATATCTTGAAAAGATTCTTCAAGAGTGTTTGATGCACTTGCAGAATCGTGTGCTGACTCTTGGGAAACCTCCATGCTAGTTCCTTGACCGGCAACGTTAGAAATGGCTTTACTGACCTTTGGAATGGGTTCACCATGGTCAGGAATTGACTTGGTGACCTCATGTAGTGGTTCATCTGTTTCAATATCTGAAACTGTTGTAGGATTTCTAACAATTGTTTTGACTAAAGTCTCATCGGAAAGAGGGTCGTTTGTTTCTCTATCCTTGGTGCTTGTTTCCTGGTTCTGTAAATCTTCTTCACACTGAATAGCTTGATTAAAATTAACATGATAGAATGCTGTGTTTTGATTGATTTCTGTCAGGTGTAACTCTTTTCTAGGACTTGAATTGCCCATCGCTAGCAAATTGCTAGCCCCTCTAGCTAAATGCAGGGATCCCACTTTAAGAAGTTCAATTTCATGTTCAAAAGATTCACTGCTTAGTTCTGATATTTGTAAAGTAGGTAGATAACTCGTGCTTTGGTCTATTTCAATTCTGTTTACCATGTCTTTAGTTTCTGCTTTGAGAATATCAGTGTTTGCACTATTACTGGAGGATAGCTTGAGATTATCAATGAAATGGGCACCATCTTTTCTGATGTTATCAGGAAATGTTGAGGCAATCTCTGGCGTATCCAAAGCAAATGAGCTATCTGAGTCAGAATCATGGGACTCTGAAGTCTGCGCTGGTACATAATTCACGCCTTTATTCACATCTGTATTTTTTATTTTTCCATCCAGATTATTAGAGTAGCATTTTAAAGTAAGCTTGAATGGGGTCTCAGGAATGCTAGAAGGTTCTCCCTCAGCTGGGTATTTGCCACCTACCTCAGCAGTGTTGTTGGCAGGACCTGGTCTAGCTTCAGCTTTAATCTCACCAACACCATCAGCGGTGTTGTTGGCATGATGTTGTCTAGCTTCAGCTTTAATCTCACCAACACCATCAGCTGTTTTCCTCTCACATAAACCACCAGCTGCTCTAGGATCACCATGGTTACAGTCACCAGAAACACTAGCCTCATCATAGCAGCCGTTGTCAGATACACTGGCATCACTATGGTTACTATTATTTTCGTGGATCCAATAATGTTCATCAGGTCTTTCTCCAGTAGTTGTGATGCCATCAACATTTATTAATCTACTAGCTATAGACACCGACCTGCTGTCTACAGATAATGGGCTACCACCCACAGCTACTGTGCTACCAGCTGCAGTTTTACAATCTTCATCCTTAGAGCTACCACCAAGAGCCACTGTGCTGCCACCTCCGTCCTTTGAGCTACCACCCACATCTACATCCTTGCTAGCAGCAACAGCCATTGTGCTACCTCCTACAGCCTTTGAGCTACCACCAAGAGCCATTGTGCTACCTACAACATCCTTTGAGCTACCACCTATAGCCACTGTGCCACCTACTACATCCTTTGAGCTACCACCAAGAGCCACTGTGCTACCTACAACATCCTTTGAGCTACCATCTACAGCCACTGTGCTACCTACAACATCCTTTGAGCTACCACCTACAGCTATTGTGCTACCTACAACATCCTTTGAGCTACCACCTAAAGCCACTGTTCCACCTACTACATCCTTTAAGCTAACAGTTGTACTACTGCTGACAGTCGGTGGACTTCCATGTACAGCCATTGAATTAGCACCAACAGCAGTAAGACTCCCATCAACAGTTACTGTGGTATTGCCTGAGCTACCATCCCTTACAACCACAGGTTGGGCACTTATATCCATTGTTGTATCACCACCAACAGCTGGGCTGTAATCTGCCCCCCTCGGCTTAGATGGACGCCGTCCTGGATTAATAAAAAATAATTTGTGTTGGTATTTTATCTGCTCAATGTTTTATTAGATTAGCTAAAGCAAGTATCATTGGACATTTACTTTTTTAAAATGTAAGTTTTAAGAAGTAGTTTAAAAAATTTAAATGTTAAAATATAGGCTACATGATATATAAAAAGTGCTTTAAAACATTCACAACATTTAAATGGTGGTTATAAGTGGTTGTTTTTTGGCATTAACAAAATTAAAACATAGACTATAGATAACACTTAATAGTAGAGAGGTACAGCCGACTCACAAATTTGTTGTCCATATGAAATGTTAAAAATTTGACACAGAAAATTTCCTATCTGTAACATTGGCTACAGCTATAGCTATAACACAGGCTATAGCTATAAATCAAGGTCATTTCAATATTCCTAGCTACAACACTGACTAGAACCACACAATTTATGGGGCTCCTAAATTCTAAGTTCTAGAGAATAAAAGTTGTGTAAAGATTGATAAAGATTAGGATAAAAAAATTAGACAGAAACAAGTAAATAAGAGAGATAGATAATAGAAATGTATACGCATAACTAATAGGAAGATGAAAACAACCGTACAAAGCTTTCCTACAAAGCCTGTACGTAATTCTTGAAATCAAATTTTTCAAATGTATGCTATTCATAAAGGCATAAGTCATCTTACCAATTTGGCTTTCTATGAGTTCAACAAGGCTTTGGCAGATTTCTCTTTTGTTACAAAAATCAATAAACTTTCTCTCAAAGCCATCTATTTTCACCATTGCATCTATAAGGTCTGAATTTGCTTCATACTCCCCAAGGTTATCCAGTCGGCGTTTTAATTTCTCCTAAAAAGAAGGAAAATAAATTTCTGTTAGAAAAAAGTGCAGATTAGACATAAAATACTAATAAATATTTTTAAGACGTTGGTAGTTGTTTTAGAAATTAGTTCTAACCAACATATTTTTCTTTTTTTTATGCTCATAATTAATTTCAGATGATCTTCTAAAATCATAGAACTGAAGGTGCAAGCAACCCATTGAAATAATGAAATGAAATGAATGTAGTCATCGAATATTAATTAGAATATATGTTTAGTAGTAAAGGTTACAACTGATATATTTATAGATCTTTAATAGGCCTATATCTTGTCTAATACATTATATTGTATAAGTTATTAAACTATTAGCATGTATACCTTTAATTAAATTTTTAATTTAATACTTACTCTCTGATAAGCTAATAGGCCAGGAAAATCTTCAATAAATATTAATGTAGGCATTTTTTGGATGAATGACATTCTGTTGTTGTTTATCAGTCTTCTAATTCTTTCTCTATTTTCCATGTTTGTCCAACCTATATTTCAACCTAATGTCAAGATCTACAAAACTGTAACAAAAAAAATAAAATAAAGACAGTCGTAGATCTATAGTCATCATAAGTAACAGAATTATAGCAGGCTTTACTAAATAGAATAGTCTTATATATATATGTATATATATATATATATATATATATATATATATATATATATATATATATATATATATATATATATATATATATATATATATATATATATATATATATATTTATATATATACATATACATATAAGACTATATGTAATATATGGTAATATATACAATATACATACATAAAAAGATATACATTTACATACATAATAATACATTTACATATATATGTATTTAAATATAAATTTTTGTTATAGATCTATAAATTATTATAAATTCTATTTCTATAGGCCTAATCATTTAATCTATGTTTTTACTATGTAGTATGTAGATCTAGTACTATGTACTGTAGGCCCTATTAATTATTAGCTATAAATAAAGTCACAAAATCACAATGTGTGTCCAAATAGTTAAAAAATAATTGAAAAATTATTGTACAATGTATGTCCAAGTAATTAAAAAGTAATTGAAAAATAATTGTTAGTTTGTTAGAGTTTATAATAATTAATTAGGCATAGGCCATAGGGCGGTATAGGGCCTATTAATAAATTATTAAATGCTGATCTATTAAACTAATAATTAGCAGATTTCTTCCAGGCATCTACCCCTCCCCCCCCCCCCCCCAATAAAATGGAATCACTGATAATTAGTATTAATTACAATTAGTATTTAGTAATCTAGATCTATGTAAAGAAAATTCTTTTATTTTATAATCTTGATCTAGATTTCTAGGACAAGATCTAGACTAGAATATATTAATTATTAATTATAGGCCTAACGTCTAAGCCTATTTAAATTACTTACTCAATATTATTAGAGTACTTAATTAACTTATTATTGCCTGAGAGTTACGCATCTCAAAAGTCTAAATTCTGAAATAAAATGAAAGTACAAAGTAAGACGCTAGCGGCTAGAGTAGGCCAGCCTACTTTCAAGTATTTAGATCTAGTACTTACACACTCCAGACACTCCAGTATGAGTAAGAATACTAGGACTAGACTTAATGCTTAAATAGATCTAGATATCTACATGGTTGATATCTAAGGTAATTTCGATATAGATCTACTTACTATTTAGAAATGTAAGTATCAAGAGTCTTTTGCTTTAAAAAATTGATTGTCATGTGTAAAATTTAAATCTAGAAACCATGCGATTTTATTGGGGAAGGGGAATCCCAATAACTGTACCTTTTTCCAAGAAAAGAAAATTTCCCCAACTTTCAATTCTTAATTTAGATAAATAAAAAAGTAATCGATAAATCAAATGTATGTTTGTGGACAGAGGGAGGGGTAATTGGTCAACCAGCCGAGCATCATCGTTGTTGGGCTAAGGAGGTTTACCAAACCCGAGCAATTAGGCCTACATACTAGTACATACATTAACAATCTACATTTACTAGGCGTTTACAATAAAAGTTCTATAATTACCGTAGAGGAATTCTCAGTATATCCATTACACAGTTTCACCACTCACATACAACCCAACCAGACATACAGCGGCAGGTAGTGTGATTTCTGGCCGACAGGTAAAGATGTAGGCCTATCTGGTGACAGGTAGAGATATATCCAGTGTTTCTTCCAGACTTTTTTCTCCGGGGGGCACTTGAAATTTTCGGGGGGGGGGGGGCGGTAAACTTTCTTCGGGGGGGGGGGGGGGTGGGGGCGCTGTTAAAAGTATATATTTTCTATATAAATTATACAAATTTCATTTCGTTCGGGGGGGGGGGGAAGGGCGGTAAAAAAATTTCGGGGGGGGGGGGGGGGGGGGGGGGGGGCAGAGATGCCTGAAAGAAACTCTGGATATATCTGGCTGAAATGTGACATCTGGCCAACAGGTAGAGAGATATCTGCAGAGTTTCTTCCAGCATCTCGGGGGAGAGAGTGCGAAGAAAGTCTACCGCCCCCCTCCCCCAACGAAATGGAATTAATATAGAAAATATACAATTTTAACAGTGTTTGCCCCTCCCCCCCACCGGAGATTTAGTCGTCGTCGTCGTCCCCCCCCCCCCCCCCCGAAAATTTCAAGTGCCCCCCCCCCCCCCCCCCCCCCCCGAAAAGAAAGTCTGGAAGAAACACTAAATATCTGGCCGACAGATAGAGAGATCTGGGAGGTAGTGTCACATCTGGCCAACAGGTTGTGTGACATCTGGCCGACGAATACAGTGACATCTGGCAGACAGGTAGTGTCACATCTGGCAGACAGGTTGTGTGATATCTGGCAGACAGGTAGTGTGACACTACGTGCCTCCAACATAAAATACTGTCCACTGTAGGCCTGGCTAGCTTTCGCCGTTTTACTACTTTTTACACCTCAGTACTTCACCATATAGGGGACTTATTTTAATCGGGCAAACAATTCTATATCGAAATCTCGGCATTTTACGCGTAATCGAGTCGGAAAAACTGGACTTTGCAATTCTGTCCGTGAGTCTCTGTGTGTGTCTGTCTGCGAACACGATAACTTGAGTACCGTTACTGCTTGGTTGACGAAATTTCTTTTAGTATCATATCTAATTCGTAGTTCTGTATAAACTTTTCAGCGATTTCCGGTAACCGGAAGTGGAACTTATTCTATTTTCGGTTTTTCAATAGCTTTTGACTTGAGTACTGTTTCAGTTAGACGAAAATTCACATATAAATAAATATATTTCTCTATTTTCTATCAAATTTTGAGTAATTTCGGGTTACCCGTAGTGGTACTTTACGCTATTTTTAATTCCTCAAAACTGCTCTCCGGCAGTTCCACATCCACTTCTTGCTATCAGTTTCCTAAAGAATTTTTGAGCTTAAGAAATACTTTTGCTTTTTTGCTTTTTAAAAAAAAAGTTTAGTATTAAAACAAATGTAATTTAAAACATCGTTTAAGAAATGTCTTGCCCTGTTGATTCTGTCTAACGACATCATCGGTTTTCTTTACTTTCGATTTACTCTCCACATCAGCAGTTTGCCCTCAATTAATTCAAGAATAGCATATTAATCAAGCAGTCAAACTATTTCTGCCATTATGTAAATGAGACCGTTTTTTTTTTTAATACAATGAGGGAATAAAGTCTTACAAATTTTGAAAATAGTTGGAATTTATTTTTTATACTTTCTCAAATACTAGCGTTCCATTCACAAAGGAAGTCTAAAATAATTATCATTTAAAAAGTTTTTAAAAAACCCACGTTTTCTGATTGAACTAAAAAGTAGAAAATAAATGCTATACATCACAATAATGCAAGCGATCACTCTACTATAAGCGATGAAAAAACGTGGGGCGCCGAAGTAAAAGTTTTTTATCGGTCATTGTTAATTAATATAAGATGTAAAAGTTATATTACTATTGATTAGATAATATTGACTTTTATTTGGGAGCTTGTAGAGAGTCAACAGTATTAGAAACTGTAAGAAAATCACGGCGCCCCACGTTTTTCATCGCTTATAGTAGAGTGAATTCAGTGTTTATTCCAGACTTTTTTCTCCGGGGGGGGGGGGGGCACTTGAAATCTTCGGGGGGGGGGGGGGGGGGCGGTAAACTTTCTTCGGGGGGGGGGGGGCGGACACTGTTAAAAGTATATATTTTCTATATAAATTATATAAATTTCATTTCGTTCGGGGGGGGGGGGGGGCGGTGAAAAAATTTCGGGGTGCTTCGCCCCCCCCCCCCGAAGAGATGCCTGGAAGAAACTCTGAGAGTGATCGCTTGCATTATTGTGATGTATAGCATTTATTTTCTACTTTTTAGTTCAATCAGAAAACGTGGGGTTTTTTAAACTTTTTAAATGATAATTATTTTCTACTTTTTAGTCTTTGTCTGTTTATTTGCATTCAAATCTTGCTATCGATTTTATCTTCTCGCATTCACTTTTTTTTTTTGATAAACGAAGACAACTCGTAAAAAACACCTGCCTTTTCAAATCGACATTTCTTCTGTGTTGCCGTTGCTTTCACCACTTTGCCCTCGCGTGCAAACCATTCGACCATCAACTTTCTACTCCCTGATAAGTCAGATTTGCTTAGGTTTGTACACAAACACCGCGTGACCACTACTCAGCCAATCGCGTGCTCGCTTCAGTAAGCCACAAGAGGGAAAGTACCGAACCTTGTTTTCATCAAATAACAATTACTAGGTTATGTCCCTTTTTTGTACAAATATATAGGGGTCTAAAATAAATAATCAATAAAATTTTTCCATGGATCAATTTAGTAATAATAACAATTGAATATTGTATTGTCATCGGAAACAAAGCTTCCCTGAAAATTTCAGCGCGCTAGCTAACTGGGAAGTGCCCGAAATTTTCGATCGCAAGATTTGATTGGAAAAAACAAACAAACAAACAGACGCGAAAGCAAGTTAAAGAAGACGTGGGAAAATGGTGTGTAGTGTTCAGATAATGACAGAACCGCAGCTACCAGATTCTACAAACAAACAACAAAAAATACAGCTCACTTTATAATTGTTTACTTTTCACATTTGTTAAATACACAATTTTATGAAACTGTACCCATTTCAGCTTGAATTAACCTCACAAGATCTGAACACACTTCATGTTTTGTGCAGAACTGGATAAATTTGCCATAAAAGTCATTCACTCTCAAAATAGCATCAAGAAGGTAAGAATTAGCTATCGTGTTACCAGAATTCCGAAGTTTGCATCTTAACTCCTCCTAATGAAGAAAAATGTTTTAAAATATTTATAAGTTAAAATACTTCATTATTGATGAAGCCAACTTAAATAGGAATAATATACACTTTCCTTATCTTACATTGATCGGTATTTATCTTCAGAACATTTTGTAAACATTTAAATTACGTAGACTAAATAATTGACAATAATTCAAGATGTCTTATTGTATTACATCTTTGTTTTTAAGTTCAAGCAGATGCTGGCCACGAGCCATATTCTCTGCTCAACACAACGTTTTATAGTTTTACCGTTTAGGCTTATAACTTTTAATCATATAATAAGATAGTTCATCAAATAACTTTAATCATATAATAAGAGAGTTCATCAAATAACTTTAATCATATAATAAGATAGTTCATCAACTACTTACTCGTTTAGTAGCTTGAAGTCCAGGAAATCCTTCAATAAAAAGAACGCATCCATCTGATCAATAAACTTTGTTCTATTGTTGTTAACCAATTTTTTTATTCGACTTCTAACATCCATTGTGTTACTTATAGGCTACATGTAATGACTGAGGTGTTCGGTGACCTGTTAACTGAAAACACAAAATAGATCGAATTCAAAATATTGTCAAAAACAGTTTTAATTCTTGCTGATATAGTATGGAGTCTATTTTTAAAAAAGTAATGAGTAAATTATTTTAATGACTAATCAATGTGGCCTTTTCAGCACAAAGCATTATGAATGGGTAGGTTAGAAGTAGGGCCTGCTGTTTATTTATTGGTATTTTAACTTTATAAGTAATTTAACCGCCATGATTTCTTTCAGATATTTTTGCTCCGGGGGAGGGGAGAAATCGGACAATGGTTAAAATGTTGTTGTTTTTTTTAAAATTGGAACGTAATATTTTTTAAATGTTTATCTGGTGGGGTGAACTTTCTCCTCACCCCCCCCCCCCCCCCCACACACACACACCAGCGGAGAGATGACTGAAAGCAACGCCGCTCACCAATCAATAAGGATTTCGTCCATGAATGATGTCTTGGGGGGGGGGGGGGGAGTGAGTCAGGTCATGTGACAATGTGTGTTGAAAGAAATGGGTGTTTAAAAAAAAAACACTTCATGTTTGAGGGGTGTTTAATGGTAAGGTGTTATACCAATAATCAAATTTTAGACTATACACCGTCAAGCAAGACACATATGCGATTTTTAACAAAATGACGCCTGAGGTGATGTGTCAGGTGTATGTGCAGCCTAGTAGTCAGAGTTTCTTCCAGGCATCTCTTCGGGGTTGCAGAGCCTCCCTCCCCCTCCACCCCCCCCCCCCCCCCCCGAAGAAAGTCTACCCGCCCCCCCTCCGAACGAAATGAAATTTATATAGAAAATATATACTTTTAACAGTGTCCCGCCCCCCCCCCCCCCCCCGAAGAAAGTCTACCGACCCCCCCCCCCCCCCGAAAATTTTCAAGTGCCCCCCCCCCCCCCCCGGAGAAAAAAGTCTGGAAGAACACACTGCTAGTTGTGTCAATAGTGTGTCCTGCAGCGAGACCGTGGGACAGATGTTGAAGTTGTCACGAGTGAACGTCTTAGTGAAACAGCAGTGAGTGTGTTGTGGAGCGAGAATCTAAGGACCCAGATGAAAGGACACGGGGGAGAAAGAGTTTGAATGTGAAAGCGGGCTGTGAATGGAGAAAAAGTTGATTTAAAAGGCAGTTTGTTACTTCAAGCACAGCTTTGCTGTTACTGTTGAGAGACCAGCCTCAACCTTTTACAACAACCCTTCCAACACGTATTATAGTGTATTACTATGAAAGTAGTTTGGGATCGTCCATAAATGACATCACATTCCTAGGAGGGGAGGGGGGGGGGATTATTTCTGACTACGTGTGATCAGGGGATGAAGGGTTGGGTTTCAGAAAGTGGGACGTTACACTGTTGCATTTTTATAGTAATGTTAAAAGCTGAATTTTAGCCGTTCTGTCGCGTTTATTTTAAAGCTTTTTTTTTTTGTAAATTGTATTAGAAATTGATTAATATATCTATGCTGACCGAGCTCAGGCAATAATATAGAAAGAATTGATGTTCAAAAATAATTGAACTGCAGTTTTGAGGGGGGGGGGATGTAGGCTGACATGTGACGTCATTCTAGGGGGGGAGGACTTTTTTGTGATATTGACATGTATAAGCGTGAGAGGAGGAGCCAAAATTTAAAATTTATAAAAAAAAAAGCAAAAAACAAAATTGTGATTTCTTTAATGGATGACCCCCTTAAGTCCCTAAGTACAACTATATGCCAATGTAAGCACGTGAACTCATTTGCCTCATGGATTGCTTGACTACAATATCATATTAGTCTAATTATTTTAATTAATAATTAAAACTGCAAATGAAATTCAAATAATTGAATGACTGCATAACTGAGTAATTTAATACTGGATGGATAATACAATTAATGTTAATACTATTATCATTATCACAATATTAATAAGCAATACTTTTTTTTTTTTACATTTTGACTAGTATCCTAATAAAGGTAAAGATAGAAGTAGATCTAGATCTAACAATTATTTTTATAGCTTAGTATACTGACTACTTTTTTTTCAGTTGTGTTCATTATAAACGTCATACCGTATTATTAACATTATAAAACTTATTATATAAAGCCTTATTAACTTAAAGCCTATTTTAAGTAGGCATACTAAAGTAATAATAAATTAAAATTTAATTAATTTTAAAGACAGTTTCAGTTTTATTTTACTCTTTTCACGAGACTAGAGCAAAAATTTAGTACACTAGGCATTAGTGTAACATTAGTATTATTTACTTTACATTTAATTTTCTTATATATTTAGCCTACCTTTCTTAACTTTTTAATAAGCAATTTCTTTTATAAAATTCTTAGACTATTAATACTATTATGGATAACTTTATTCCTAGTAAACGAGAAAATCCGATCTGACTATACTTTTACATGGAAACTCCGATGTTCTACTTTTAGAAAACGATTATTATGATCCCAGGATGAATATGAACTTTACTTTGAAGATAAGGTTTACGAATGAAATGTTTGTAGTATTTTTGTCAATTTGTTTTTTTTTTTAAATGACTGCTTGGTATCGGGAATTATGGCTTGCGCCATGCAGTGTTTCTTCCAGACTTTTTTCTCCAATGGGGTGGGTGGGGGGGAAGGGTGACTAAAATTCCAGTTTGAATACTGGTAAAAGTATATATGTTCTATACAAATTTTATTTCGCTCGGGGGGGGGGGATAGACGTTTTTTGAGAGATGCCTGGAAGAAACTCTGGTGTCGAGTCTCGCTCTTTTGGTTGTGCTGTCGGTTCCAGTATTTAGAGTAGACTACATGTTCGAGATTTATTCACTTTATTTGGTCTTACTGAAAATCACGACCCCCACCAGAATAACACTAAAACCAACATACCTTCACTGTCACAGGTCCATACACGGATTCACTCATCTCTCAAATTCTACTGAAACTGTGTTCTCATCAATCATGTCGGTTTCTCGTTAACCCTAGATGTGGAATTATGGACAACACCACAGTCTTCTCTGGTTAAAGGCAGTTTCGTAATGTTAGTAATTGTTGTTGTGTGATACAGTTACAAAATTGTACATTATGTCCTCCATTACAATACCCTTCACCAGGCCCTCCCACACAATACCACCAGGCCCTCCCACACAATACCCTTCACCAGGCCCTCCCACACAATACCCTTCACCAGGCCCTCCCACACAATACCCTTCACCAACCCCTCCCACACAATACCACCAGGCCCTCCCACACAATACCCTTCATCAACCCCTCCCACACAATACCCTTCACCAGGCCCTCCCACACAATACCCTTCACCAGGCCCTCCCACACAATACCCTTCACCAGGCCCTCCCACACAATACCCTTCACCAACCTCTCCCACACAATAGCCTTCACCAGGCCCTCCCACACAATACCCTTCACCAGGCCCTCCCACACAATACCCTTCACCAGGCCCTCCCACACAATACCCTTCACCAGGCCCTCCCACACAATACCCTTCACCAACCTCTCCCACACAATACCCTTCACCAGGCCCTCCCACACAATACCCTTCACCAACCTCTCCCACACAATACCCTTCACCAGGCCCTCCCACACAATACCCTTCACCAGGCCCTCCCACACAATACCCTTCACCAGGCCCTCCCACACAATACCCTTCACCAACCTCTCCCACACAATACCCTTCACCAGGCCCTCCCACACAATACCCTTCACCAACCTCTCCCACACAATACCCTTCACCAGGCCCTCCCACACAATACTCTTCACCAACCTCTCCCACACAATACCCTTCACCAGGCCCTCCCACACAATACCCTTCACCAAGCCCTCCCACACAATACCCTTCACCAGGCCCTCCCACACAATACCCTTCACCAGGCCCTCCCACACAATACCCTTCACCGGGCCCTCCCACACAATACCCTTCACCAGGCCCTCCCACACAATACCACCAGGCCCTCCCACACAATACCCTTCACCAACCTCTCCCACACAATACCACCAGGCCCTCCCACACAATACCCTTCACCAACCTCTCCCACACAATAGCCTTCACCAAGCCCTCCCACACAATACCCTTCACCAGGCCCTCCCACACAATACCCTTCACCAACCTCTCCCACACAATACCACCAAGCCCTCCCACACAATACCCTTCACCAGGCCCTCCACCACAATACCCTTCACCAGGCCCTCCCACACAATACCCTTCACCAGGCCCTCCCACACAATACCCTTCACCAGGCCCTCCCACACAATACTCTTCACCAACCTCTCCCACACAATACCCTTCACCAACACCTCCCACACAATACCCTTCACCAACACCTCCCACACAATACCCTTCACCAGGCCCTCCCACACAATACCCTTCACCAGGCCGTCCCACACAATAGCCTTCACCAGGCCCTCCCACACAATACCCTTCACCAGGCCGTCCCACACAATAGCCTTCACCAGGCCCTCCCACACAATACTCTTCACCAGGCCGTCCCACACAATAACCTTCACCAGGCCCTCCCACACAATACTCTTCACCAACCTCTCCCACACAATAACCTTCACCAGGCCCTCCCACACAATAGCCTTCACCAAGCCCTCCCACACAATACCCTTCACCAAGCCCTCCCACACAATACCCTTCACCAAGCCCTCCCACACAATACTCTTCACCAACCTCTCCCACACAATAACCTTCACCAGGCCCTCCCACACAATACTCTTCACCAACACCTCCCACACAATACCCTTCACCAAGCCCTCCCACACAATACTCTTCACCAGGCCCTCCCACACAATACCCTTCACCAGGCCCTCCCACACAATACTCTTCACCAGGCCCTCCCACACAATACCACCAGGCCCTCCCACACAATACCACCAGGCCCTCCCACACAATACTCTTCACCAGGCCCTCCCACACAATAACCTTCACCAACACCTCCCACACAATACCCTTCACCAAGCCCTCCCACACAATACTCTTCACCAGGCCCTCCCACACAATACCACCAGGCCCTCCCACACAATACTCTTCACCAGGCCCTCCCACACAATAACCTTCACCAAGCCCTCCCACACAATACCCTTCACCAAGCCCTCCCACACAATACCCTTCACCAAGCCCTCCCACACAATACCCTTCACCAAGCCCTCCCACACAATACTCTTCACCAACCTCTCCCACACAATAACCTTCACCAGGCCCTCCCACACAATACTCTTCACCAACACCTCCCACACAATACCCTTCACCAAGCCCTCCCACACAATACTCTTCACCAGGCCCTCCCACACAATACCCTTCACCAAGCACTCCCACACAATACCCTTCACCAAGCCCTCCCACACAATACTCTTCACCAACCTCTCCCACACAATAACCTTCACCAGGCCCTCCCACACAATACTCTTCACCAACACCTCCCACACAATACCCTTCACCAAGCCCTCCCACACAATACTCTTCACCAGGCCCTCCCACACAATACCACCAACACCTCCCACACAATACCCTTCACCAAGCCCTCCCACACAATACTCTTCACCAACCTCTCCCACACAATAACCTTCACCAAGCCCTCCCACACAATACCCTTCACCAGGCCCTCCCACACAATAGCCTTCACCAAGCCCTCCCACACAATACCCTTCACCAAGCCCTCCCACACAATACTCTTCACCAACCTCTCCCACACAATAACCTTCACCAGGCCCTCCCACACAATACTCTTCACCAACCTCTCCCACACAATAACCTTCACCAAGCCCTCCCACACAATACCCTTCACCAACCTCTCCCACACAATAACCTTCACCAGGCCCTCCCACACAATACTCTTCACCAACCTCTCCCACACAATAACCTTCACCAAGCCCTCCCACACAATACCCTTCACCAACCTCTCCCACACAATACCCTTCACCAAGCCCTCCCACACAATACTCTTCACCAACCTCTCCCACACAATACCCTTCACCAGGCCCTCCCACACAATACCCTTCACCAAGCCCTCCCACACAATACTCTTCACCAACCTCTCCCACACAATAACCTTCACCAGGCCCTCCCACACAATACTCTTCACCAACCTCTCCCACACAATAACCTTCACCAGGCCCTCCCACACAATACTCTTCACCAACCTCTCCCACACAATACCCTTCACCAACCTCTCCCACACAATACCCTTCACCAGGCCCTCCCACACAATACCCTTCACCAAGCCCTCCCACACAATACCCTTCACCAACCTCTCCCACACAATACCCTTCACCAAGCCCTCCCACACAATACTCTTCACCAACCTCTCCCACACAATACCCTTCACCAGGCCCTCCCACACAATACCCTTCACCAACACCTCCCACACAATACCCTTCACCAACACCTCCCACACAATACCCTTCACCAGGCCCTCCCACACAATACCCTTCACCAACACCTCCCACACAATACCCTTCACCAACCTCTCCCACACAATACCCTTCACCAGGCCCTCCCACACAATACCCTTCACCAGGCCCTCCCACACAATACCCTTCACCAACCTCTCCCACACAATAACCTTCACCAGGCCCTCCCACACAATACTCTTCACCAACCTCTCCCACACAATACCCTTCACCAACCTCTCCCACACAATACCCTTCACCAACACCTCCCACACAATAACCTTCACCAAGCCCTCCCACACAATACCCTTCACCAGGCCGTCCCACACAATACCCTTCACCAGGCCCTCCCACACAATAACCTTCACCAACCTCTCCCACACAATACCCTTCACCAGGCCCTCCCACACAATACCCTTCACCAAGCCCTCCCACACAATACCCTTCACCAGGCCCTCCCACACAATACCACCAGGCCCTCCCACACAATACTCTTCACCAGGCCCTCCCACACAATAACCTTCACCAGGCCCTCCCACACAATACCCTTCACCAACCTCTCCCACACAATACCCTTCACCAGGCCCTCCCACACAATACCCTTCACCAACCTCTCCCACACAATACCCTTCACCAGGCCCTCCCACACAATACCCTTCACCAACCTCTCCCACACAATACCCTTCACCAACCTCTCCCACACAATACCCTTCACCAGGCCCTCCCACACAATACCCTTCACCAGGCCCTCCCACACAATAACCTTCACCAAGCCCTCCCACACAATACCCTTCACCAGGCCGTCCCACACAATACCCTTCACCAGGCCCTCCCACACAATAACCTTCACCAACCTCTCCCACACAATACCCTTCACCAGGCCCTCCCACACAATACCCTTCACCAGGCCGTCCCACACAATAGCCTTCACCAGGCCCTCCCACACAATACCCTTCACCAGGCCCTCCCACACAATACCCTTCACCAACCTCTCCCACACAATACCCTTCACCAGGCCCTCCCACACAATACCCTTCACCAGGCCCTCCCACACAATACCCTTCACCAGGCCGTCCCACACAATACCCTTCACCAGGCCCTCCCACACAATACCCTTCACCAGGCCCTCCCACACAATACCCTTCACCAACCCCTCCCACACAATACCCTTCACCAGGCCCTCCCACACAATACCCTTCACCAACCTCTCCCACACAATACCCTTCACCGGGCCCTCCCACACAATAACCTTCACCAACCTCTCCCACACAATACCCTTCACCAGGCCCTCCCACACAATACCCTTCACCGGGCCCTCCCACACAATAACCTTCACCAACCTCTCCCACACAATACCCTTCACCAGGCCCTCCCACACAATACCCTTCACCAACCTCTCCCACACAATACCCTTCACCGGGCCCTCCCACACAATAACCTTCACCAACCTCTCCCACACAATACCCTTCACCAGGCCCTCCCACACAATACCCTTCACCAACCTCTCCCACACAATACCCTTCACCGGGCCCTCCCACACAATAACCTTCACCAACCTCTCCCACACAATACCCTTCACCGGGCCCTCCCACACAATACCCTTCACCAGGCCCTCCCACACAATACCCTTCACCAACCTCTCCCACACAATAGCCTTCACCAGGCCCTCCCACACAATACCCTTCACCAGGCCCTCCCACACAATACCCTTCACCAGGCCCTCCCACACAATACCCTTCACCAGGCCCTCCCACACAATACCCTTCACCAGGCCCTCCCACACAATACCCTTAACCAGGCCCTCCCACACAATACCCTTCACCAACCTCTCCCACACAATACCCTTCACCAACCTCTCCCACACAATACCCTTCACCAACCTCTCCCACACAATAACCTTCACCAGGCCCTCCCACACAATACCCTTCACCAGGCCCTCCCACACAATACCCTTCACCAACCTCTCCCACACAATACCCTTCACCAGGCCCTCCCACACAATACCCTTCACCAACCTCTCCCACACAATACCACCAGGCCCTCCCACACAATACCCTTCACCAACCTCTCCCACACAATAACCTTCACCAGGCCCTCCCACACAATACCCTTCACCAGGCCCTCCCACACAATACCCTTCACCAGGCCCTCCCACACAATACCCTTCACCAGGCCCTCCCACACAATACCCTTCACCAACCTCTCCCACACAATACCCTTCACCAACCTCTCCCACACAATACCACCAGGCCCTCCCACACAATACCCTTCACCAGGCCCTCCCACACAATACCCTTCACCAGGCCCTCCCACACAATACCCTTCACCAACCTCTCCCACACAATACCACCAACACCTCCCACACAATAACCTTCACCGGGCCCTCCCACACAATACCCTTCACCAACCTCTCCCACACAATAACCTTCACCAGGCCCTCCCACACAATACCCTTCACCAGGCCCTCCCACACAATACCCTTCACCAACCTCTCCCACACAATACCACCAACACCTCCCACACAATAACCTTCACCGGGCCCTCCCACACAATACCCTTCACCAACCTCTCCCACACAATAACCTTCACCGGGCCCTCCCACACAATACCCTTGTCTTGGTACAACCCGTCCTACTTGATATACTATTCACTAGGTCCTCACATACCACAATAAGCAGTGGCGTCGCCAGGTCGGGTGTCACCCGGTGCAGCACCTAATGGTGTCTTTCCCCTCCCCCCAATTAAAAAAAGTATCAGTATATATATATATATATATATATATATATATATATATATATATATATATATATATATATATATATATATATATATATATATATATATATATATATATAAAGAGAGTGAGAGAGATATATTTAAAGTTGTAATATAAAAGTAAAACTATTTGAAAATCCCTTAACTTATTTTAAACTCATTTTTTACTTGATCGTATATAGAGTATAGAGAAAATGTTGTATCGTGCAAAAAATCGAAATCAAGATTTTGACGTTTTGCACCTCGTGGAATGGTTTGCAATTTTGTCTATATCACTCTCTGTGTGTATCTGTATGTGTGTCTTTGAACATGATAATTTGAGTACCATTTACGAAATGTCAAATTAAGTTTTATATTAAATCTGTAGTTCTGTATCAACTTTTGAGCGATTTTCGATAAACGGAAGTGATACTTAGTCAACGTTCGATTATATAGGCCTACATATTGCGTTTATTTGGTAATTCTTTTTCCTACTCTATTCTATTCATTTCTTAAATGTAACTATTTTAAAAAATAATAATTTTAAAACTTTTTTTTTAATTTCTATATCCCGATTGCATAAGAAGTGTCTTCCCCCTTACTACATACCAAAACGTTTAGGGGAGGTCAATCACGCTATAGTTTTAATCAAATGTATAATTCTTTTTCATTGAACAGCAGAAGGTTCAATCATGCATATTTTCAACAGATCGTTTATTGTACTTGAATAAAAGACAATGTGCACTTAAGAATCAGTGTTAAACACAAAATGTAATGAAAACTTGTATTACATGGAGTTTAACAATACGATGAATTTGGATCAATATTGCAATTTCTAAACACAAATAGTATAGCTAGTCTCAAGATTTAAATAGAACAAACATTAAATATTTTATAAGTATTACAAATTTAAAAAAAAACTACTAGTATACATATCAAAATATTACTAGCTATATCACTAATTAATAAGCAATCTACTAAAAATTATTTGTAAAATACTAACACACTACTACTGCAGTAAGCGTAAGGGCACAGTAAATAGCTTGGTACACATTTTGAGCTTTGAATCAAGATACACAATAGTGCTCAAGGTAAATAATAGCTAAAACTCAAAACGAGAATTCAATGACACAACCGGGTAAAATACCAGCACATATGATGCCAGCAAATAATATGATGACGCCAGCACATATGATGATGCCAGTACATATTAGAGGCTCCAGTTATAAAGCGTTAAAAATCTAATCACGGATAGAATTAACCGTTCTCCAGTGTCATTAGCACTTTGGGTTTCTGTCTGTCTCTGTTCAGGTGGGACAACAGCATGTGAATTATTTGAATTGTCACGTGGGACAACAGCTTGTGAATTATTTGAATTGTTAGTTGAAGTATTTGTGAGGCGGACATCTTGAAAAGATTCTTCAAGAGTGTTTGATGCACTTGCAGAATCGTGTGCTGACTCTTGTGAAACCTCCACGCTAATTCCTTGACCGGCAACTGGTACGGCAACATTAGGAACAGGTTCACTGACCTTAGAAACGGGTTCAGCGTCTGTAGGAATTATTTCGGTGACCTCATGTAGGGGCTCATCTGCCTCACTATCTGAAACTGTTGTAGAATCGCTATAGCTTGTCTTGACTAAAGTTTCGTCAGAAAGACAGTCGTTTGTTTCTCTATCCTTATGCCTAGTTACCTGGAGCTGTAAATTGTCAAAGAGCATTGTTGTTTTTAAGGATTCCCCTTCAAAGGACCCCATTTCAAGGTCGGGAAATTCACTCAATACCGTTGACACTTGTAAAGTAGAATGATTGCTCATGGTTTGGTCTAATTCATTTCTGTTTACGTCACCTATTGTTCCAGCTTTTAGAACATCGGTGTTTTCGCTGATACTGTGTGAGCGATTGAGATTATTGATAAAATAGGCACCCACCGAGTTACCACCCCTTACAACAATAGGTTGGGAGCTTCGATCCATTGTTCTATAACCACCAACAGGCTGATCCATTGTTCTATAACCACCAACAGGTTGATCCATTGTTCTATAACCACCAACAGGTTGATCCATTGTTCTATAACCACCAACAGGTTGATCCATTGTTCTATAACCACCAACAGCTGGGCTGTAATCTGCCCCCCTCGGCTTAGATGTACGCCTTCCTGGATTAAAAAAAAATTCTATTGGTATTTTATGTACTCAGACGCTGTATTAGAGTGAGTAAATAGAAATTTTGGAAATTTTATTTTAAGAAGTTGATAAATGATAAAATAGTTGGTAAAAATGTAGGCTATAAATAGTAGAGACACCGCTCACTCCCAGTAGTGTTGGCCCTATTTAATGCTACAATTTTGAGCTAGAAAATTCCCTAGCTTTAATATATCGTCTCAACACTTTCAACTCCATTTTTCAGGTAAATACAATTTCAGTTAGTTTTTAATTTTTAACTTAGATGGCATAAAGGCAGTAGTTTTGTTCTACATATACACATTATATATATATATATATATATATATATATATATATATATATATATATATATATATATATATATATATATATATATATATATATATATAATGTATGCATATATTTATATATATTTCAAGCTTAACCCGCACTTGTAAATGCATGCCCTATTACAAAATATCATCTTACCTAACTCTCTTTCAATACGCCGAATAGGGATTTGGCAGATGTCTCTTTCATTGCAAAATTCAATAAACTTCCACACAAAATCATCTAGTCTCATCATAGCATCTAAAAGGTAAGAATTGGCTATAGTGTCACCACTATTAACATGCTTGCATCTTGCCTCTTCCTGTTTTAGAAAAAATATTTTAAAAATTAAAATACATAATTGATTAGGTGTACTTAAAATGACCGATACTTTTTTCTTTTTACTTTCTCGTATACAAAGTGTTGAGTAATTTAAAGATATTTTGAAAGTTTCCGTAGTTTTACACCTCCTTCCTTTATCAAATAAGCAGTTTTTTGTTTGTTTTTTTTTTTTTTTTTTTTTTTTTTTTTTTTTTTTTTTTAAAAGATGTATTGGTATCGTGCAAAGAATCGAAATAGAGATTTTGACAAATTTGGAAGTTTACATCCTTCCAGATCCGGAAAAAGTTAGTTTGTAATTTGCTCTGTCTGTCTGTGTGTATGTAAACATGATAACTAAGTACCGTCCCATTCAGGTTGAATAAAATTTCAAATATAAGTATTAGATCAAATTTGTAGTTTCATTTCAGTTTTTTTTTATTAATGTCCATTATCCGTTATTTGTACTCGCTCTACTTCCGATATAAGAATCTACGAGAAAGATTGGTGGAGATCACTCTCGCTTTTTTTTTTCTCGAAGTATTTACAAATTTTGAAGCCACGCATTTTTTGGGCTAAGCTACAACCTCTATTTTTAATATATAGGAAAATGAGTTCCAAAGCGACAAAAAAGATTTTTCCCAGCGTTTGAATGCCCTAGAAGCTTTTTAAGGGTATACTAAAATTTAATCAGATTATTACAAATTTAGCTTTTTACATTGCAAAAAGAAGAAAAATTGAAGGAACAAACTGATTTAGTGCTTGAAATTGTTTCTAAACAATTCTCTTTTTTTTTAAGCTAGGGCTGAAATGACTTTGCAAAAACAAATGTTAAAAACTGATACCATGATTACTTTTTCCGACAAGGAAACTGCGTCAAAGTACACAAACATATTATCTCCCCCGCCCCCCCCCCCCCCCCCCGGTCTAACACTGAACGTATTTGCATTCTGGTATAACTTGGAAAACATTAACACAGAAAGATAAAAAGAATAAGTCGCAGAAATAGTCTTACACACAAAAAGTAATGTAAGATTATCAACATAAGTCGACGTGCACAATCAGGTTTACAAATATTATTTTACTCGTGTCCGACCCCATCCCATACAGACACACACACACACACACACACACACACACACACACACACACACACACACACACACACTTTCACACTCGGAGGTTATTTATGAGTAATTTAGCATTGATACAGTGCTTATCAGTCAGGTCCGAGAACTGAATGAGATGTTGATTTGCAATTTTCTGTGCCACCCTAATCTACTTAAATGGACGGGGTATTTCGTATCTGTAAATTGTGCGTGAAAGTTACGATTGGTGTCAACCCCCTCATCAGGCGTAGCGGAGGGGGGGGGGGGGGCGGGGGGCGGACCGCACCGGGTGACACCATTTAGGGGGGGGGTCAGGCAAAAAATAGCAAAATATATAGAGAAAAACTTGAGGAGGGGGGTGCAAATCGAAAGTTTGAGGGGGGGGGGGGAAGGGTGCAAATAAAAAAAAATGAAAGTTTGTCCCCGGGAAGGGTCGCTACGCCTCTGGGGGGTGACACCATTAAGTGCCGCACCGGGTGACACCCGACCTCGCTACGCCACTGACCCCTCCTCTGTATAATGACGTCAATTTTTATACACGTAATATAAATCCACCTATTAATTCAAGTGGAACAAAGTCAATTATTTTCAAAGTAAATCATAAGAAGTGGTGTCCCCAACCCCAGTCGTTGAATGTTCAACCCACTTTTTAATCATATGTAAATTTTGCAGGTGGTGTCAACACCCCCCCCCACCCCGTGATATCTTCTGTCAGTTATTTATCATTGTTTTTCTATTATCAAGTTTACATTATGGCGTCGACCCCCCCCCCCCCCCCCCCCCCCGCCACACACACACACACTAGTCGGGATCGCCAATGTGTACTTATAACACTATTTAACTTTAATTACATTAATTCATTTTACTGGCTTTAATCTTCTGTGCACTTTGCATTTTTTTTTGCTTTGGTCTCACCCGGAGCTGTCCTCACCCCCCCCCCCCCCCCCATCCCGCCCCGCTCGATGCCTCTTTATTTATGCAATATCCTTATCATAGTACCATTTAAACTTGTATAGGAAACTTTAAATTTATACTCACTCTTTGATAAGGTTCAAGTCCGGGAAACTCTTCAATAAATGTCAGGGCTGGCATTTCTTCCATAAACAACGATCTGTTGTTGTTTATAAATTTTTTAATGTATGTTCTATCTTCCATGTTTGTTGCAAATATACTTCAACTCAATGTGAAGATCTACACAAATGTAACAAAATAAATAAATTAAAGACAATCTGGTATTACTCATAATTAATTAAATACTAAATAAATACATATAGATTTTTATATTTTATATGTAAGACTATATAATTTGTTATTTTCATATGTAAGAATACCAACGTTTTAATAATAAGCTTTTACATAATTAAAAGCCGTACCGGGCAGGCCTTGCACTGGCGTTTGAGGTAAAAGTTATTTGTAACATGTCTTCATTAAGAAACATATAACTTCGGAATTTATAAAATCATCAATTAAAGGTCTATATGTAAGTATGGGCGTTTGTGAAAATATAAACGCAAACACAAACACAAAAATAAACGCAAACATAATCACAAACGTAAACATAATTATAAACGCAAACTCGAACATAATCGCAAACACAAATTTAATCGGAAACATAAACACGAATTTAAACGGAAACATAAGCACTAAAATAAACGCCAACATAACCATACACGCAAACACAAGCGGAAACATAAACACAAACTTTAACGCAAACATAGATGCAAACGCAAACAATAACCCAAAAACTAATGCAAAAACAAACATAAACACAAACATAAACGCAAAAAAGACGCAAACGAAAGCATAAAGCAAACATAGACTCAAACTATGACACAAACGGAAGTGTAAACGCAAAAATAAAAGCAAACACCGCAAAAACAAACTTAAACGCAAACAATAACGCAGAAAATAATGTAAACAATTTTAACCCACTGTGAATGCAGCGATTTCATTTAAACTTCACAGAAAATATAATGACTAGCTTACTAATGAAACTTAGTAAAGCTAGCTACAAATAGCAATAACCTACATATAAATTAGGCCTAATGTACCCTATACAGAAATTAGGTCTAATTTATGCCTATAATCATAACGAGATTCTGTTTTTAAAAAAATAGTAAATAGCAGGCTCAAGGGTCCTAAATGAAGAGAAGCCTAATAATTTTATGAAATACATAGATATGTATAAAAGTAAAGGGCCTAATATAATTAATAATTTATATTTTTAAGTTATAAATGTCAAAATTTAAAGTATAAGATATCGCTTGTCAAAAGGATTGCTGAAAGTAGACCATACCTGGGTGATAGATCTCGATCAGATTAAAAAGTTTTGCTCAACTAAAAAAAAACTTTTTGATTTGCATGTTTTAAAATAAAATTAGATCTCTACTGGAATTTATTTAGCGGGTATGGAAATTCCAACATCTGTATCATTTTCCAAATATTGAAAATTTCCCTAGCTTTCAATTCTAAATTTAGTTATAAATGATGAGATACCCGACAAACTTGAAATATTTGTCACGACTGGTTGGTCTTTGCGTTAGTCACGAGAGCGACCACGTAATGAGGGCGGATCCTTTAGGATCGCAAGCTAGTGATCGGGTTTTAAAGTTAATATATTTAGATGTATGCAATGTGGACTTTTCTCGGAACTCGTAAAAAGTGAGAAATAAATAAAATGTTAATAATAAGTCCTTTATAATAATAAGCATTTAAACTCACCGAAATTTTCTCATATACGGATTGAAATCGTGCAAAAAATTGAGATTTTCTTAGTAGGTCAAACATCAAGGTCAAACACAAAGACATACTAGCTGTCCCGGCCCTGCACTGGCTTCTATGAAAATCCTATCTGTAAAGGACTGTTACTTGTGTGTTTATTGAGCAGTATATACCCTTCGTTGCCCGGGTATAGGAAATACATTACTTTTAAAATTAAATGTCTCTATTCAAATTTGGACGTTTGAGAAAAAAACGCAAACACAAACGAAAAGACAAACGCAAAACAAAAACAAAAAACCGTCACATAAAAAGTCACATTATAGTATACTTTATAGTTATAAATGAAAGACTAACTTTGTGCATTGTTTATAACAAGGATGTATATAATAGTATATAATTTAAAGCTATAAAGACTAAAATCATCTTAATATTTATTTTATAATACACAACATATATAATACAAAGCTTAAATTCATATAATTATATTATTGGATTTGAACACATAATTGATAATTAATTGAAAAGTTAGTTATTATAGTTTATTTAATACTAGCGTACCCGTCCCCCGCGCGTTGCCGCGGGGATAGAAGTAAGTTTGACGAAATGTATTAGAAGGATTTCACCAACGCGTTACCAATCATATGTTCTTAGACGCGTGACCGTCTTTTCTAAAAGTGAGTTATTTAAATGTAAACAATGCCTGCGCTTGGATCATAAATAGCGGGACACAGGTTTACCTACACTACCGCATGAAAACATTGAATGTACATTAATCACTCACCGAAATAATATGGTAGAACACACTTCGGTGACCGCCCACGTGTCAGAGACGTAGAGGGGCGCTCTCAGGGCCCCCACCCCCCGATTACACTACCGCAAAGGCGCGGCGTACGACCCCTAACTCCTTAAAACTAACAGGCGCCATCGTGCCCAATAGCATCCTGTTAATAATGATGCTGATTTCGTCATTCGCTAAGGTGACACAAATGAACAGGATTTTTTTCTTTAACACGTAAAAAAAATATTTGACGACTGGATTGTCTAATAATGGATGCTTATTGCATCATTCGCAAAGTGACGAAACTCTACAGTAGGCTCCTCATATTCAAAAAGTTATTTTTTCATCTTTGGCAAGGTGACGAAACTGTACAGAAGGACTTCCACGCGTTACAAAGTTATTTTTATAAGCCTGTTGTAGTTTTACCGCTGAATATAGTAGTGCCCCTTACTCGCTATGCAGGACGCTCGATTAACGGATGCCAAGCGCCAACATCGTCGCTCTATAACTCTGGGCGCCAAACCGTGTATTGACGAAAGTTGTACCCTATATGGCGCTGCCCATAAGAAACTTTAGTTTTCTTTTTTGCAGAAATATTCTCGGGAGTATTCTCATCTACTCCCTAAAGTTTCATGACACTCGGATGAACCGCATCCGAGTTTTATTTTTTATATACCGTGTATAGAGAAAAAAAATCGCTCCCCCCCCCCCCACGGGGGCGCCGCCCTTGCAATATTAAACAATATTTTTTTTCAGAACCCTACCATTGAGTGATATAATCATCTCCCCAAAGTTTCATGGTACACGGGTGAACGGTGTGAAACCGAAATAGACTTTTATTTTTATAAACCGTATAAAGAGAAAAATCGCAGCCTCCCGTGGCGCCGCCCTTGCGAAATTAAAAAAAGGATTTTTTTTTACAGAACCCTTTCCCTGAATTGTTCTAATCAACTCCCCCAAAGTCTCATGGCTATCGGATAACGGTGTCACACCAAAATCGATTTTTATTTGTATATACCGTATATAGAGAAAAATCGCACCCTCCCGTGGCGCCGCCCTTGTGAAATTATAAATGATTTTTTACAGAACCCTTCCCTAGAGTTTTATAATGAACTCCCCAAAGAATCATGCCTATTGGCTGAACGGTGTCACTGCAACTCACTTTTATTATTTTTATATACTGTATACAGGGGCGGAACTACAGTGCCGCCAGACCCCGCAATGCGGGGGGGCCCACGCCATTTAGGGACCCACGGCCGACCCTAATAGTTTAAAAAAATCTAATTTTCTTGCAATTTTTTACTTGATGTTTGTTTTGTAAAACGATTACTATAGCTGCGGTTTGATTAGCTTTATTCTATAGACGCCATCCCCACGCTCTTGTATATTCTTTTTCCCTTTCTTTTTAAACCACTGTGAGAGCCAAGTCCTCTCTCTTCTACAATTAAACCTAACAAAGATAAGCAAACGTTAAAACCACTTCCATGACTTATTTCCCCTTTTTTAAATAGTCAAATTGGTGTGCTCATAAGCTCCTTTTAATAGATTTGTACTAAACAAATTAAAAAGCAATTAATTCTGTTACTAAATATTTTTTCATAAAGTACTTACTAAAGAATGACCTTGTATAAAAAGGAAATATATTTAAAATTAATAATATAAATACAAAAAAAAAACAAAAATAATCATAACACGAGACACCATTACTTCTACAAAGATTTCATGTTTTATATTCATTTGACCAAATAGATGTTAAGAGAACCCAAAGCAAATAAAATAAAACTGTTTTTCTAAAAACACACCAACGCACTTACACATGAAAATATGTAACAATTTGGTTTATTTGAAAAAAAAAACATTTTTATTTTCAAAACCCGAACAGGCCAGCAATGTGTAACCTATGCTGTGTTCGTATTTTGTATATATATATATATATATATATATATATATATATATATATATATATATATATATATATATGGGGGGGGCCTAAAAAATTTTTTTGCGGGGTGGCCTTTTTTTTCTAGTTCCGCCACTGACTGTATATAGAGAAAAATCGGACCCTCCCGTGGCGCCGCCCTTGCGAAATTAAAAATTATTTTTTTACAGAACCCTTCCCTAGCGTGGTATAATGAACTCCCCAAAGTCTCATGGCTATCGGATGAACGATGCCAAACCAAAATCGACTTTTATTTTTATATACGGTATATAGAGAAAAACAAATCGCGCCCTGCCGGCGCCACCCCTGCGAATTTGAAATTTTTTTTTTCGCAGAAACCTCCCCAGGACTATTCTCAACAACTTCCCAAAGTTTCACGGCGATGTGATGAGAGGTGTAGTAATGCATAAAGGACAAACACACATACATTGCTTTTTATATATATAGATAGATATGTTTTATTTGAATCAAAAGTATTTATGAAGTGAATCACACCTCTCTAACAATCTGTGAGGGAGGTAAAACAGTTGATGAAAGGTCAGCAACCTTGACTAACAGGCTACATTTTTTCCCGAACCAATTTTACAAAACTATAATAATTTGATTAATTCCTATTACAACTATATATTAAAAACCTTAACAATAATTATTTTAATAACTCCAATTGTAACTATTTATTAAAAACCTAAACAATAACAGAAAATTTTCTTGGGTATTTCTAGCTCTTTTAAAATGTTTTGTAACAGATGAAGGCACATTTTGTTTAGTGTTTTTGCTAGATGTGTTGTAGATGTCTGGTATTTTCTTAGTGCTGTGGACATCTTGAAGATCTTTGTGTGTGTGTGAAACGAATCTTGATGATTCCTGAACATCCAGGGTCATTTCTTGACCTGTGGCTGCTGCATCTGTTTGTTGCTTGTTTTTTACAATCATGTTGCTACCTTCATCTGCTGGTTGCTCAGTTGATACATCTTTGTTGCCAGCTGATTGATTCATGGCTACCATGTTGCTACCTGCATCTGTTGGTTCACTTATAGTTGCTACAGTTATAGTGCTACCTGCATCTGTTGGTTCATTTATAGTTGCTACAGTTATAGTGCTACCTGCATCTGTTGGTTCATTTATAGTTGCTACAGTCATAGTACTACCTGCATCTGTTGGTTCATTTATAGTTGCTACAGTTATAGTGCTACCTGCATCTGTTGGTTCATTTATAGTTGCTACAGTTATAGTGCTACCTGCATCTGTAGGTTTTTTAGTTGCTACAGATATGTTGCTACCAGCAGATATGTTGTTGCTACCAGTAGATACCATGTTGCTACCAGTAGATACCATGCTGCTATCAGTAGATACCATGTTGCTACCAGCAGATATGTTGTTGCTACTTGAATCTGTTTGACCATCAGTTCCTACAGACATGTTGCTGAATGTAGTTGTTTGTTGTTTAGGAACACTTAGGCCACCTGGATTACCTGAAGAGCTCCCATCATTTGTTCCAGAATTTTCTCTGGCAGTTCCATCACCATCTCTTGCTACAACATAGTTCTCTCCAGCAATTCTTGAGCTACCACCTAATATGAAATTTATTTTAAATAACTTTAGACATTTTTTTAATAAATCTACTTTTTTAAATGTTTTAAAACTATTTAACTTTAAAGATCTTTTTAATTAAAACATCTTTTAAGAAATGACTAGCCCAGCTGATTGTGTCTTAAGACAAAGTCTATTTTCTTTACTTTCTATTTACGCTCCACATCAGTAGTTTACTTTAATAAATTCAAGAATTAAATTAGTCTAATAGGCATTATTACCTCTGCCACTGTGGGAATGGATACACTCTGTAATAAAATAATAAGGCAATTAAAAATTAGTCTCACAAATTTTGCACATGGTAATAATTCATTAAAGTTTTACAAACACTAACTTTCCATTCATAAAGGAAGTATAACAATTATAGTGTAGTGTTAAAATAATGATAGAGCTGTAGCTACTATATTCTACACACAAAATACAGCTAAGAGATTATCACTGTTTACTTAAAGCATTTGTTAAATACACAATTTATAAAACTGTACCCATTTCAGCTTGAATTAACCTCACAAGATCTGAACACACTTCATGTTTTGTGCAGAACTGGATAAATTTGCCATAAAAGTCATCCAGTCTCAAAATAGCATCTAGAAGGTAAGAATTAGCTGTAGTGTCACCAGAATTCCGAAGTTTGCATCGTAACTCCTCCTGTAAGAAAGGTTGTAAAAAAAAGTTTTAAAAACTAAAATACTTAATTGTTGATTAGGCCTACTAAAAAATTAATAATATACACTTTCTTTATATTTATAAGTATTTTTTATCAGAACATTTTGTATTCAGTTAAATTACATAGACTAAATAATTTACAATAATTTGAGATGTAGGCACATTATTATATTACTATTTTTTTTTTTATGAGTTTGTGCAGATGCTGGCTACATGCTATACTTTATGTTCAGCTGTCAACAGCACATTTTAGAGTTTTACTTTAACATTAAAAAAAGATAGCTCATCAACTACTTACTCGTTTATTAGGTTGAAGTCCTGGAAATCCTTCAATAAAAAGAAATGCTGGTATCTCTTTAATAAACTTTGTTCTATTTTTGTTGACCAATTTTTTTATCTGACTTCTAGCATACATGGTGTTACATACGGCTACATATACAAATTGAGTTGTTTGGTAAGTGATATGTTTGCTGAAAACATAAAAAATACAAAATATTGTGTAAAAAATATTTTCAATTCTTACTGACATGACAGGGGCTGGGATGGACGACAACAAAGGTTAAAGTGGGAATTTTAAATTTGAATTTAATATTTTCAATATTTTGTCTAGGAGGAGTCGACCTACTCCATGCAGGTAATATCTGTGTGTGTAGTTATCCCCTCTGGACACCTAACATACTAACATGGTTAACCAAACATTAAGTAGTTGTCCATGAAGGCCTAGGAGAGGGGTTTTAGAAACTGAATTTTAGCAATTTAAAAAGGCTATTTTTGTTAAGTTTAATACAAATTTATTAATATATTCAATGTTGACGTAGCTATTTAAAATAAACATTTTAATAAACATAAAAGGCAATTTTATAGAGGGGGGAGTCAGTTGTAGGTAGGTAGGCTTGTGATATGGAGGGGATCAGTAAGAACAGTTTCTAAAATATGTGACGAATTTTGTAATGGATGACCCCTCCCCCCCCCCTTCTTATCCATACTTACTTATTATTTATAATACTTAATACTATAGTTTAATACTTTTAAATTTTAATTTTAACCATTTGTAAAATTAACTTTCTCGGCATATTCGTAATCAGTACTGTCAGTGTAGTTAAAGATTATTTTTAACAAAATGACACCTGTACCCACACTTATTTTAGTCAATTTTAGTGTATTAGTATATTAATATATAATAGATCTTGGTAATCTATCGTTTTGGGTACGTAAAATCGCCCGCGACTAGTAATGTGAAAAACAGGTGACTCCTTAAATTTTAATAATTATTTCACATTTTGAGGAGGATTTATGTTTTGAAAAATACAAAAATGTTTCCTTCTTTCATTTATGTACCTGTTTTTAAACAATTGAATTAAAACTTTTCAGTAATAAATGAAGACTAGCGATGTTTCCAACAGATGCAACCATGCTCATTTACTATAGCAGCCATCTTGTTTAAGTTTTTTTTTATAGCGGATATAGCGCGAGACAGGCGGAAGTCACTCTATTTTACAAATGGCTGCTGTTTATATAGCAAATCTTGCTTGCAAACACTGCTGTTTAAAGTTAATTTCTGGCATATATTGATATATTTAGCCATTGATTTAGGTTTATTATTCATTTATCTATAATATTTGACACAAATATATCACAATATACTTCTACTAAAGCCTTGACAATGAGGTAACTTTTTCGTACATTAATAGCCGCGGGCGATTTTACGTACCCAAAACGATAGATTACCTAGATCTTGAAAGAACCTTTAAAAAATGTTTAAGTGTTAGACTATAATATATGAAAGGAAAGTAATAATTTCTTTAATAGTACTCCTAGACTTTAGAATGTTTTAATTTTTAATATTATGGATTACTTTGTGTCGCTCAAACGGGAAATCCAGTTCAGTAAGTCTAGCGCTTTTTTTTCTTTATGGAAATTCCGATATTCTATTTTTAGAAACTGATTTTTTTTTTAATGATCGCAAACCAAAGGTTCAACTTTTAAAAAAATTAAAAGTAGTTACCGACTCTAGGGTCTTCGGTGAAATCCTGTTGATGTTATTTTTCAAAGTGTTCTTTGATGAATGGGTTGTTCCGGGTCGGTGAATATGACTAGTGCTACGTCTTAATCTTGGGGTTTTGGCTTTCGGTTCCGATATATTTTGGATGATCAGTTTCTTTCACTTTCAGGCATCTCTTTGAGGTGGCACCTCCCCCCCCCCCCCCCCAGAAGCACACCTACCGCCCCACCGAACCAAATAGGCCTTGAATGTGTATACAAAATATATACTTTAACCAGTGTCTCTCCCCCTCCACCCACGAAACTCCCCCCCCCCCCCCCAGGAAAAAAAATGTCTCAAAGAAACACGAGCGCCAACCCACCCCTCCCCATATACCGTGTATTTTTACCAATGGCCTTGTTAATATGCCGGCGCTATATTTTTTGGATCTTAGTTGTTATGGTGCGTGTTTGTCCACGCTCCTGCACAGACGCCACAGAGCATGATGTACTGTATACAAATTTTGAGTGTAGGTTAGAGTCACCCCTCGTGGTAGATAACCGGAGACCGCTCATGTTTCACTACCGCAAGTACGCCAGGTACGGCCTCTGGTTCGTTTAAATCATTGAATGCTGTGTGCCACCGTGTTCCTATTGTATGGTTTCTCTAAAACGAACGTAGGGGGGGGGGGGGTGTTGGCGGACACTGGTAAAAGTATATGCTTTCTAATCTACATAAATTCTGGCACCATGGGATAATGAAGAGAAAGAAAGTGGGGATGTATAGGGCTCACCCTCAGAAAGACAGTGCCATCACTAGACAGGCGTCTGAGTGAAATGTAACAGGAAAGAGGAACAGTGGTGAGACTAAAAATGTCAGGGTTGGTTATATTGAATCAAAAGAAGTTTAGATGTTAGTTAGCTGCAATATTCAAGTCATATCTCAATAACATTCTAGAATACAGAATATTTTATTATTATACAGTTGGATTATGAGTTGGACTGGTTGTTCAACAAGATATGTAATGGTCCCTCGAGTTTCACCTGTTCACAACTGATCAGAGCTACTTTCAGACATTCTTTCTCAGGTGGGGGGAGGCACTTAAAACTTTGGTTGCAGCGGGGGTGGACATTGGCTGAAGTTGCCTATATAATGTGTATAAAAATTCTATATTGTTTGATGCCTGAAAGAAACAGCGAGCGATGTAGAAGACAGGCAAATAAGTTTTTAAAACAGTGTTAGTATTTTTCCCCACCCCTTTTGCCATCTCCTAGCTACGCCTCTGATTCTAACCTGTAATTTGTCCCAATTCTAACTAAGCGAACTCTTTCATACCTTGTAATGTTCCTAGGGTAAGTCCATGTTTTCAGATTATTGTTAATGGTGTGTACCCAAAAGTGTCAACTTATACACAGGTATAGATGTATATAGTATTGCACCTAGTTTTTTTTTACGCAAATTAGAAAATTGGACAATATGCACTTCAAAAGCATAGCAGTCATTGTAAATGAATTAAAACGGTTTTAAAAGCCACAACATATCACTTTTGGAAGCTGATAACCTAAAAATACAATACCCAATCAAGAGCTTCTACATCTGTAATATCATGTAAAGTCACAAACAGTTACAAAACTATTGCATAACAACATTTAAATGAGAAGCGGTAGAGAGCTAGACTGGTAACCCGAGAGTCTCGAGTTCAAATCCAAGTCAGTGTTACGGCCCCAAGTCCACCCAGCTCTGATGGGAACATAACTAGTGTTAGGCAAAGTAAAGGTGGCTGGGCATAGTGCTGACCACGTTATCCCTTCATATGCAGAGGTCAAGAAACAAATGAACTCCATCTGCACAATGGGTAGCTAGGTCTAAAGAGGAATCTTTACTTAATATTATAAAAACATCCTGCATTCTCTTTTGTTTCATTTTCAGCTTTGACTGAAGACTCACACCAGTGACAACACAAATACCAATGGCCATATGATGGAGAAACTTTATGCTTTATTATACAACAATGCTAGTTTTTATTTTTACAACTTTTGTATTTATTTAATTAAAATAATTATACCACTGCATCTCCCGCACATTAGTGAACTGTCATTGGTGGACAAAGTTAAAGCTACTATTGTCATCAATCAGCAGATGAAACACTTGGCTGTGTTATCTCTGAAGATGACACAGTGTGAGCACCCACCCACCCTGTAGGGCCAACACTCAAGCCTTGATCACATAGATCACATATAAACATAATCACACACACAACAATTTATCATATCAAACAATAATAAGATTGCTATTCTATTTGTTAACTTCGATAAAAACTAGTTTTACATGAATACACTATATTTTTAAATAATAACTCTACTGCAATAATTTATAAATATCAGTAAAAATGTAAGATGTATCTTAATGAAATCTGCAACTGATTGACACATATATAGTGGTGATGCCTTATTTCATATACTTATTAAATTACTTCCATACACAAACCAACAAGGTCATATAATATAAAAAAAATAATTCTAGACAACTTAAAATGAAGTCTCCATTGATAGGAATAAAATTCTGTCCAGACAACAAAAAAACATCAAATTTAGAGACTAGCCAACACACTAGAGTGTAGTTACACAATCTGTGATCCTTAGAACTAATTAGTTATGAAAATAATCAAAAGCATAATGAGTATCTCTAAAATCAATAGCTGGAAGGATTTTTTTTTAGATATATAAAAAAAAAACTGAAAGAAAAAAACCAATGAATCACATTTAAGGTTACCACACAAAATGTGTTTTGAGCAATTTGAACCCCCACCACTAATGCATCATGTCACATAAAGCCAACAGCCTACTGCAAATAATATCTTAAATAAATCTTATACAAAAACATGCTCTAGAAACATTTTTATATTTTTATTCTTTAAAATCAAAGTGTAGGCTATGTCACATCACAGAATGAAAATCAGCCAATGAGGAGTGACATGGCATTTATTGACCAATCACTTACACCCTCAAGTGATACTTTACTGTTATATAATGTAATAAAGGATCCACAATGGCATTTATAGACCAATGATGTACACCTTCAAGTGATACTTTACTGTTATTTAATGTAATAAAGGATCCACAATGGCATTTATTGACCAATCATTTACACCCTGAAGTGATACTTTACTGTTATATAATGTAATAACGGAGCCACAACGGCATTTATAGACCAATGATGTACACCTTCAAGTGATACTGTACAGTTCTATTAATTAATGTAATAACATTGCCACTAGGTCCAGTGCTGTTGTTGGCAGCAATGAGTCATTAAAAATCAATTTTCTTCAAAATTCTTAACATTTTTAAATTTTACCTAACAATTTTATAGAAATAATCTTTTACTCACTTTAAGGTGAAATTAATAAAGTTATTAAAATTAGAAAAAGAATATTTAAGCAAAAAAAAATTCTAAAAAGATAAAAAAATAAGGTCTGGTTGTTCCACGTAAAATAAAATAATTTTTTTTAAAAATTTCTTTCGACAAGGTCAGCCTTCCTCCGCCTGAATTTTGCAAACATCTAAGACACAGAAGCGAGCTCTGCATGTTGGACATGGTGATTTACTGGACAGCCACGTCTCAGGCCTCTGCTGGTCTTGTCTGCTTGCAAACCACTTGCCCATGCACTCTAAGCACCACATCGGCCTGCAGAAACACTGGACACATGCAGTGTCCCCTTCATCAGGACCCTCGCAAAGCTTTTGCAGCTTGACGTCTGAGTTTTTCTGCATACATCCAATACACTGTTCTATTTCCTAAAAATTATTTATAAAAAAAAATATTTTACATTGCATTCCCCAATTATTATAGTTCAACAAATCTAGAAATGCCTTACATTAACATTTTTATATGTTATCTATGAAAAGTTAAACACCAAACTTTTGTGATTAGCTTTGTGTGAAAGAGAAGTAAAAAAAGTTTAAACATATATGATAATCTATTTTAAAATCATTTAGATTTAAAGTTGATACAGATCAAAATGACTAACATTTATACTCCGCTCTACTTATTCAACACAGATACATGAGCAAAATTTACTTTAAGGTTAAAAAGAACAACAAATAGCCAATTTTTTTTTTTACAAATGCTTTAAGTAAGGCACACAATATTGCATACAAATTAATAAAATGGTACATTCCTGAGTTCACCTATGATGAGCTCTACTTCATCTCCCCCATTAAGTCTGAAACAGTGCTTTACTTATTTAAGTTCAGTCCAGATGACTGTATTGCCTCAAACACATTAGTGTCTAATTACTAAATACATCAAGAACATGACCAATACTCACCATATTGGGAGGTGGAATGTAAACTGCATTTTTATCAACTAACTCTTTGAAAGCTTTTAAAAACATATCACTGAGCGACTGATGAATAACAATGTTCCTAGCGTTGCGGATTGGTGCCTGCAATTTTTCTTTCAGATCTCCCAATTCTAAAGAATTAAGCCTTTAAAGAGAAAGAAATTACTAGTGAAACACAAATTTTCTAAATGCTAAAAATTGTCATGATTATTAAAAGTAGAAGCTTGAGACTTCAGTGTTCATAATTTGTATTAATGGAGAGATTTCCTCCTACAATAAAGTTATAGGAGCTAACATGTCATGTATCATATTTTAGCCTGCATTTGTTTCTGGATTTTTCTTCCATAGTCTTTGTCCTCTTAAGAACAATCTTCAAGGCACCAGTTGTTTGATTTAAGAGTTTTCTCTCCAAGATGGGTTGATGTCCCCAGCTAATGAACCTCAGCTAGTCAGACCTCAGGACCACTCTCACCCGATCATGACATCCCTGTACTGTAATTTGTAACAAAAATGTATTTAAAAATGAGAATTGAAAAAATAATTGTTATACAATACCGTATACTGAATGGCTTCAATCCAGGCTGAATGCTTGCTACACTAATGTTAAGATATTGAACAGCCATTTGGTTCTGGTAGGACAAAGAGTGTTCTTCAGCATCTGACAGAGTCAAGTGAATGTCATTTTGATGAGCAATGTACACATAATAAGTTGAGGTCTTTATGATCCAAGAGTCCGTCACAGCCACCAAACGACTGTGGATACCGCTGGTGAATTTATCTATTCGCCTAAATTCTATGTTGATTGAAGATGCTACAGAACGCCATCCATTGTTCTCTCCCCCAAGCAGGGCTAGTTCTTTAGCCAGGGGATGATTATCACAATTCCAACGATGCCAGTATATAGCCAACATCATTGCTATACCAGGCAGAATTAAACTGACGATCAAAAAAGATGACCAGACAACACTTAGCTGGTCAATGTTGAAAAGGTTTAGTTCTGGAGCAAACAAGCCAAGTCCAACATAATAACCTGCAGAGAACAAAAAACATTTTGTGTGTAAACAGTAAATAAATAATAATGACAACAAGTAGGGCCTATTCATTCTTGTTTGACATGTTGTCCCTAGTTTTAAAAAAATAATTTCTACTGCTATACCAACTAGGATATACAATATGACCAATATATAATATAGTATTGATTAGTACTTAGGCTAAACTAGTTTTTAATGGGAATGGGATATAACTAATACAATGAATAATGCAACTATTTAAGGTTTTTAAAATTGAAGATAATTAAATTATTAGCAGTTAACTACACTTTGCTATTATATCTAGCTAGAATCTAGTCTAGTTATTTAGCCATGAGTCAGTAGCAGAAGCTGTAGCAGTCAGCCTGCCAACCACATGGACATGAGCTGCCAACAAACACCTTCCAAGTCAGATGGTTCTCAATAGGTTTCTCCAGTGGTAACTCATCTTTCCTGTGCTGGTGTCTTCAACTGTTCACAGTGATAACCCATCTTTTTAGAGGTTGTTTCTCTAAATATTCCCAGTGTTAAAAACCGGGTGTGGGGAAATTGCGAGACGCGAAAAGCGAAATGGCGAGGCGGGAAAATGCGAGAAGGTAATGCGAGACATACCTGCGGAATTAAGGGTAAATAGCGAGACACTTTTTGCGAAAAAAGTTTTTTTCTTTTTTTTTCCATCTTTATTTATTTAAATTATTTTTTTTTGTTTTAAAATAAAGAAGCATTTAGCCATACCCTTTAACACGAGTGTTGTATGTTGTTATTTTTTATCTAGATACTAAGTAGATAGATAGATCTATATCTAGATCTATCTATTTAGAAATCCTAACATCGTTGCTGTGCTACTGTCATCGCCCGCTCTTGTTAGCGAGAGGAAAATCCCGTCTCAGTCGGCATTAATTTAAAAATCTAGCCCGCTCATGTTTATACAAACGTGAGCTGTGTCATTGTGAATTGGTATAATCTTGTCAGCAGGAGAGATATTTTGCAACATATATTTATGGATTTTTGTACTTGCAAAAAGTGTAAAAGTATTAACAATTCTAAAAAGTGCAATTTTTTTTTTTAATTAAGTAATTTTAATTACAAACAAAATTTACAAACAAAATCTTCTGAAACAGTCCTCAAACACACCTCGTGACACCATCTTTCACACATAGTACACCCAACCCAGTTCATTAGACTCCCATTTATACATTTTTCTTTTGCTACTTCTTCCAATCCACATTCACAACATTTCACATTCTGATCACAGTTGACCTCCTCGTTCATCCCACAAACAACACTGGCACCCATGTTCTCTTCATCATCATCTGCACGCTCAACATCTGTTTTCCGTTTTTTATAATTTGTATTTTTTATCATTTCTGTAATTTTGGCAATGTCTTGCTCATTGTTGTCACCAGCAGTTGAGTTTTTTTAAAACATCGATATTTTCCCAAAATCTTGTCTAATTTCGGTCAAAATAGAGTATTTTAAGCAATTCCTATTACAATTAATACAATGTATTAAAACAGTTTTCTAAAACGCGAAAAAACGTCTAAAATTCTTTTTCTAACATTGCTTTTTATAGTGTGACTTCACATCTAACCCCTCCCTCCTCCCCCTCATCACACATCGTCATAAAATTACAGACCCCCCCCCCCCCCCTTCGAGTGTGATGTCATTTATGGAAGACCCCAAATAACACCACCACCAAAACCAAAAAATTCAGATAAGTTCAACTTGGTTTTAAAAATATTTGAAGTAGGCCCATAGCTTACGATATAGCACGAGCAACTGATAATATCGGTGACGTCACTTTATTTTGTTGTATCCAACTGATGTAGGCATTTCCTTGTGCTTAGATTTATATGGTAAAAAAAGCTAGAAAAAAATCGTAGGCGGCGGCTATAATACAAAATTTCTATGCAACAATAGAAAATATGTTTGCGGCGGCAGCGGATTCGGGCACTGTGATCTTCAAAGCCGGTAAATCAGGCGGCCTCGGCGTTCCACACAAAAGACAGAAGTTGATCTATCGACGGCGGTATTTCCGTCGGTTTCGAACAAGGTGGTATTCTAAGTCGACACAAAAGATGGGGGGAGGACAAATCATCAGTACGTCTAGCGACGGAAAAATCGGAAGTTTTAACAATGTAAACGAAACGTCTTTGAAGTCTAGACCAAATACCACTGAAAATCGGGTGCGGTAAATTTTTCGCATAAATCTTCGCATTTCAACACCACCCAGCGTAAGTATCGGCTGGTGGTAAAATGCGAGACAAAAAAGTCACGTGACCGACCGTTTTCGCGCCCTTCTCGCATTTTCCCGTCTCGCCATTTCGCTTTTCGCGTCTCGCAATTTCCCCACACCCTTAAAAACCTATCTATCTTGTCTCACTCTCCAAAATTAATAATTATGTCTCCAATATTAAATTAATAATAATTAATGCAAAGTTACAGTACTAGCTTGTACTTTAAACTTACAATACTATTACTAACTTCCTTTTAATTTTAGACTTTAGACATGTCATAGAGTAGAGTAGTATGTTATTGTATGGGTATGGATATGGGGGGGGGGGTACAAACGGAACATTATTACAAACCTAATGGAATAAAGCTGTGAACAATTATTGTAGCTGTTATCCTTTTGACATGGTAATAAATAAAACTGAAGTCTTCGCTGCCAAGCCAGGTTGAAAATAAATTTTGAATTGTGATTCCAGCTGAAACAAATTCTGTGGGTGGTGCTACGAAACAGCCAGCAAAGAAAACGTAAACAATGGTGTACAACACCAAAAGAGTGTCGTTTTCTCCGCCTGAAGCACGATAAAACATGATTCACGTAAATACTGAAGATTTAAAATGATGTAGAACTAGATCTCTAGTTGTTAAATCATGGTAATACAATTATCCAGAGGTAAGTTGATATAGCCTAACTTAACTCTAAATGTTGTGTAGCCTAGAGACTCTAGTCTTCTAACAATTAAATGACGACTTTCAATTTTTTCAAGCCTCTTTCCGCTTCCCGTCATCAAATAAGGGAAGTAATCGGGTTTTTTTTTTTTATTTATTCAAAACATTCGCACTTGTTATGTTAAGGGGGCAGTATCACCCTGACATTTGAAAATTGACGAAAAAATTTGCCAAAAAAAAACTATTATACATACACACATACATTTTTTACCATAATAGTAACTATCAAGGAGCTATAAAACAGCACATAAAAGAAAGTTAACGTATGATGCAAACATTTTTTATAAATAATTTTAGCAAAAAATTTTTACTAAGTAATTTTTGGATGCGGTTTTCCAACATGTAGGCCCTTCCTGCTGAAATCACTCTAGGACAGGGGTTCCCAACCCTGTGCCCGCGGGCGGCGCCCGCCCGCTGAACGATTCGTATGTGCCCGCCCCTCATTATTCGACAGAGACAGATTTTTGTTTCATAAACATTATTTTAAAATATGATTTATTTTTATTCATTTGTTACAGCTTTAATTTTTGTTTGACTGCCTAGGTTTATTAAATATGTTCAATACTTGTCCCAACTTGTCTAGCGGCGAGCCAGACTGCACTATTTACGTTTTGTAAATACATTTCTCTGTGTGTATGCAATTTGAAAAAAAATGCCAAATAATTTTATTATTTTGAAACAATTTTGTTTATTATTTATTAATACATTATGACTATAAGAAAATAAGAAAATAAATTATGGGAAAATGACAAGTTATGGAAGGAGTTTGTCGATTTAAAATAGGCGGTGCCCGCCACCCTACCGATATTTTAGAATGTGCTCTAGAGTAAAAAAAAAGGTTGGGAACCCCTGTCTTAGGCCCTATAGCAAAGTTTTTTCCACTAGAAATGTATAGTATACATGTCGCAAGTGTAAACGTGGTATAAGATATAGATCTAGTTAGAATGAAAAACTGTTTTTTCTCAGACTGTATAAACTGGGAGGGGTGCGCACTGGGCTGGAATCTGTGTTTCTTCCAGACTTTTTTCGGTGGGGGGGGGGGGGGGGTCAACATTTTCCGGGGGGGGGGGGGTGACGACGACGACGACCACACTAGTAAAAGTATGTTTACTAACTATATAAATTCCATCTCGTTCTGGGGGGGGGGGGGGCTTTAGACTTTCTTCGGGGGGGGGGGGGGCGAAAGTGATGCCTGGAAGAAACTCTGGCTGGAATATAGGCAAATAACTGGAAATTAAAATTACACCAGCAAAACAAAACAAAAAAAAAATCAATTTATAACATCAAAGTGTTTAAATCTCAGTCTATTTCGTTCAGATTAAAGACAACTTACGAGGAGTGGGCAGATGATTATGAGTAACATGCAAAATCCAGGTGGATAAAAAAAAACTGACAATATAGCAATGCAAATCGTTTTAATTATTGATATTATATACATAACTCACCGATCAGTGTTAGGGTGACATTACATAGAAAACTTTACTCAGATAGCACTCCCTTACACTACAGGTCGATTGGTAGGCTTCATTTTAGATTATTTTAGAATGTTGAAGTAGCATATTTCCCACCGATCTTGACCCTCCAGCGATGTTGGAGGGGGGGGGGGGGACAGAATGGCGACAAGTAAAATATAGAGGCATACAGAGAAAATAATGCTTCTACTTCTACCGGGATTAAGAATTTATAATGTGCACACATTTTATAAAAAAACGTTTTTAAAACAAGATTTTATAATAATTATATATTAATAAAGTGGAGGCTGAATAAATTCATATTTATTTTTATACTCGCCGAGCTGCGCCTTAAGCATACGCCGCTATTTAGTTGTTTTATTTTTTTACTTTTCAGTAATTCATAATTTGTGAATTCAACACTACCAATGCTGCCACTGAAAATATTTTGCTTTAAAACATTATAAGTAGCTCGCAAAGGACGATTGTCCTCACTCTCCCTCCGCCGTGAAAGCAGCCGTCATTGTCGACGGTTTACAGACGACAATGAAAAGATCAAGCAGAACTTGTTACCTCCCCTTAGTTTCAAATAGTTTAAATATAAATTGTCTGCCCCTAATAACCGTCACTAATTCGACCCGGCTCTACGATTTGGCATGAACCACAACTCACCAGACTGGTGGGGTGGTAGCGATATGCCTATAGAGAGCGAGGGAGGTGGCGGTTCGGCGTGCTTACGTGCAGAGGCGTAGCGAAAGGGGGGGGGGGGTACATATGTCCCAGGGCGCCGACCTTAGGGGGGGGGGGGGGCGCCAAATTGAAAGTTTGGGGGGGGGGGGGTGCAAATCGAAAGTTTGGGGGGGGGGGGGTGCAAATGAAAAGTTCGAGGGGGTGCAAATCTAAAGTTTGTCCCCGGGAAGGGTCGCTACGCCTCTGCTTACGTGTTGTCCAGCATGGTCCCTCCATGAAGAGAATTATATATATACGAGCCGACCCGCAGCGTATCATACGCCGCTATTTAGTTGTTGTTTTTTTCTACTTTACAGTAATTTATAATTTGTGAATTCGACAGCACCAATGCTGCCACTGAAAATATTTGCTTAAAAACACTAACATCCCCCCCCCCCACGTGAAAGCAGCCTCCTCTTAGTTACCTCCTCTAAGTTTAAAATAGTTTCAAACTAAATTATCTGCCCCTAATAACCGTCACCAAACCCGTCTCTATGATTGTAAAATGTAAACAGAGTGAACACCGCTCACCAGATCATGTGGGGGTGGGGTGGGAGTGATAGAGAGGAAGAGAGGGGACTGCAAAGGTGCGCTTGCAGCTTGTTTTGTAACTGATCCCAGAAGAGAATTATATATATAGATAGATTTGTGGGTTTTTTTTATCAACGTGTGAGCGATTTCTGGAGGTGGTACTTATTCTTTACGATTTCACATTAGCCGAGAACCTTTTTAGCTAGGTAGACGAAATTTTACAATCATTTCATTGTGTGCATTTGAAAGATTGTCAATTACCAGAAGAAGTACTTTATTTGCCTGAGAATTTCTTATGTACATGTGAGATCTTATACACTTCAGATTTTTTATTGATTTTCAATAATCGGGAAGTGGCACTATACTTCTTGTTTCTAAAATACTGATAACTTGATTATTGTTTGGGTCAGGCAGACCAAATTTTTTATACACGTATAAAATCCTATATGCTAGCTAGTTTCTAACAACTTTTGAGTGATTTCTTGTAAATGGAAGTAATATCTTACTCTACTTTTTTATGAACACAAAACTTGAGTACCATTTAAGTTGGAAGAAATTTCTTATATAAATATTTCTCATGTATGTTGATTTCTATCAACTTTTGAGCTATTTCCAATAACCTGAAGAGGTAGTTCACCACAATGCAATTTCCTCAAAATCCTTCATAATTTGATACATTATTGTATCATATTCTCATAAACATTTTGCCTCAGAGTTTTCACAAACTCATATTTGATTCCACTGGAAGTGTCATCCCAAATAATAAAGTTTAGGGGAACTCACTCCCGCTTCATTTGAAGATGAAAACTGAGTAGGTGAAAGTAATTTTGATCAGCTGAAAATGACTACTACACATTATGGCATTGTTCTTGGGTCCTTCAGAAGTAGTTTACTTTTTTGTTTCTTTCACCGCAATGAAAGGATTATGTGGTCAGCACTATGTCCAGTTAGTTTGCTTTGAATACTTTTAGGCAGGTTATTACCAGGAACCAAACCTAAATGGGTCCTTTATTTATAAAATATGTTAAACTACCACACAACCAAAACAAACTTTAGCTCTTTATTCAAAGACAAAAGTGATACTGTTAAACTTTGTTTAATGCATACTATCCTGTAAAACTTATAAATATTCAGGTTATTAAACAACTCATCCACAAAACAAGACAGCCAGTATTTTGGTACACAAGTATTTAGACAACTCCAGCCTCTTTTCCCAATGCACTCATTTCAGCTGGGGAAAAAAGTAACATTTTACGTATTTATAAATGGTAGAAGCTTAATATTCACTAAAAGTTTGGGTTCATTTATAATTATGTAAGTTATTATTGAAATCTAGTAAGATAATTTTTAAATTAGAACTAAAATAATTAAGCACAGCTTAATTGAAATTATTAAATCTGAATAAAAAAAATGTCTATTCTTATCTGCTGCGTATTTGACATATTAAATAGTTAAAACAAAAAATGAATTGATGGTAAATTCTATATAACTTTTACCATTTTCTTTTTCCTTTTTAATTGCCTCCATCTTGACTCTATGTTTTTCTTTAATAGCATTCTCGTGCTTCTGTATCTCTATTTCCCTGTGAGCCAAGTATTCTGAAGGAAAATAATTGAGCATTTAGAAAACATTAAATACATAATTATAGAATTACCCATAAGAATTTTTAAAAAGTGGATGTTTAAAATAAGAGTACTCACTATATCTATATACTCCATAAACAATGCCTGAAAAGAGGGCCGTCCACCTGGAAAACTAAAATTAAATTTTGAAACGTAATTAAATTTTTAGATTTATAAATAAAATTATATATCAATAGGATTTCTTTTGACTACTTGTTGTTTTGACAAATCTAGCTTTAATGTAAATTACATGAACATAAGTTAAATGTCCTGTAATCTTGGAGTGGTGACATAATTTTACTGACTAATCATTTTACATTGTTGTCAAATACACTATTTAAATATAAACTAGGATCAATTAGGCCTATCTGCTAAAGGCCTAATTTTTTAAATTGTAATATTACTGTAAATATGATTACTACTTGACTCAAGAGATCTAGTCTACTTACTTAATATTTCTTAATTTAACTATAGGCTAGAATCTAAGGGGTTCAGCAGAGGTCAAGACACACACCTAATTAAAAAATCTTATTTTATTTTTGTTTATTGAGAAGGGTTCAGTGAATGCACATGAAGCGGGCGGGATGATGTACCCCTAAAAAGGTTGGCAAAGAACGGTTCTTAACCAACCACTACAAACTGGGAATAATATCTTACAATAATAAAGTATTTATTGTGACTGGGGAGTGAGGTATAGATTAAGAGAGCAGTGCTATTTTTATTGTTTTATATTTAGGCCTATATTAAAAAATTATGTGGCTAGTAAGTAGGTCACCAACCAGTTCTACGGCTCAATAAAACCTGCATGAGCCATAGAACTGGTTGGTGACCTACTTACCAGCCCTATTAGTATTACCATTTTAAAATTATCAAAGAATAAATATCAGGCAAAATAGGCCTAAATAAATGTCAGAAACAGTCACGACTGTGAATAGCCCGGTAAAATTTTAGTTTAGCGTTAGTTATTATTCCAGGAAAAAAAACAGTAAAACAATTGCAAAGTCTGTCACACAGTTCTGGAATCCAACAGAAATACTGTAAATCATATTTTATTTGGCACCATCTTTTATTTATAATACAGACCGTTTAAAATTTGGATTGATTAATTTTAATAAAAATTGCATGTTAAATACTGCTTTACTAATCATTTTGTACAGCTAATTATTTTTAAAAATCCTCTGCAAGTCAAAAACATTAGGCACTAAACAAATTATGCTACTTATGTCATTTGAATTTATTATTATTCACTTAAGTATTTTAGAATCTAAAATTTAGATCTACTTTACTAACTACTCTAAATACCAACGATAGATTATAGATGAGAGTTTTATCTATTCGTACGTCACTACAAATAGCCTTCTGATAGCTATTTGTAGTTAAGTACCAATAGCTACAGAGGTTATTTGTACACTGACCAATCAGATTAGCGGAAGGTATCTGTACATTGGACAATCAAAGTAGTGTAAAATCCCACCCAGTTTAAGCCTTTCAACTCGTTATACGTCTAGAGCTGCACACTCGACAAGAAAGTATGCTACACGATGGACACCATGATTTTGAATAGTTTTGCCCTAAGCATGTTTTGACAGCTACGAAGAGTTAGAGGTTGCTATTAAAACTTTGGAGGAGTTTCAGAACAGTATTTTTATTTTAAAAAGTTCAATTATAAAAGCTCAATTTCTAAGTATGTTTCTTGTTAATTGTATATGAATAGTAGCAAACAAATATAACATGTATTTAACTTAACAAAAAATAGTTTTATAATTTAACAGTAAATAGAACAAATGAAATGGTACCATATCTATCAGACTGACCCCCTTTGAGTGCAGTGTAAAAGCTGTTCTGTGTCATCCTTAAAATTTTAAGGCGATTTCTACCTCCCTAATATCACAAATGCCAGAACCCTTCTCTTATCCATTAATTGATAGTTATAGACATTACAGCTAGGACTGAGTTAGGCGAACCTAGCCAAATGTTTAAGGGAGGGGGGGGGGGGATGTATCGCTCTGATTGGTCAGTGTAAAAATAGCCTTCTGAAGGCTATTGGTAGTAAAGTACGAATAGTTAGCCGCAGATTAGGCCTACAGATTTAGGATTAGATCATTAGATTAGGAATGTTGGGATATTTTTCCTAATTATCATAGAATGATAAAATGTACACAGATTAATCCTATAATATACCCCATTGATAAAAATACCAAATTTATCATTCTAGGCCTAATAGTTTTTTTTATGTGAATTTTTAAAGTTATGTATTAAACTTGTTATATATCACTGTAACATCATATTTAATTGTGTTATTTGCTTTAGGCTTGCATACCACTGCTGCTATTTGAGATAAAATTATAAAACTTTGCACATTAGTGCTAGAGAGTGTGGACAATAGAAATATGAAAGTAAAATCAAAATTTGATGAAGGATAATTAGAACTAATCAGGTCAAATTAAAGTGAGGGGTGCTGTTCTATATAGGTCAATATGCAGACTGAAAGTCTATGTTTTTTTTTTAATATTAAAATTGAAACTTTGCTAGAGGGTGGGGGCAATAGAAATATAGAAAAAAATTAGATGAAGTATGACTGCATATAATTAAAAAGTCCTATGAAAAGGTATTGCACCCTTTTATAGTAATTATAGTGACTGCAACAGACGTATGTCCAGAATGCTACTATAACAGATAGGATAAATTTGGTGATTGATACTGAAGCATGTAATAAGAAGAATGCTGAAAAATAAAACTAAGGATGGTGTGGTAAAGCACTCAACTACTAACATGCAAGTCTTAAGCTCAGATCTCAGACAAGTCTGTCTGTGCAGCGCGCAGCATCCACCAAGCTCAGATGAGTACCTGACACAAGGGAAAGTAAAGATAGCTTGGCAGAGAGCTAACCACACCATCACTTAATGTTCAGTGGTCAAGAAACAGATAAACTCTACTTCAGCTGCTCTATGGATGATGGATTGACAGGTCCAAAAGGGAAACTACTTTAATATACTAGGGTCTTTATCAGGCCCTATTGATATTATTATTTTGGTACAACTAATCAATAGAAAAACCTTAAATTCTTGTAAAAGTTTATTAAGTGTTAAGTAAGTTGTTCCACATCAGAAGTTACAGCTTCCCTGTCTTTCTGCTTATATGAATATATTGGCAATATGCTGTGATTTAAATACATGTTTGTTGTTATTTGTTTTTTGCTACTTTTTATTATTAAATGTAAAAATTGTATCCTAAATTATTATGAATAATAGCCTAACTATCATGCCTTTTTCATGTCATTCTAAATTCACTGCCTTATTAATTAGTATTCCCCCCCCCCCATGTCAATTGCTGCGCCTTTTGTTTATTATTTACTATTTACTAATGTCATAGGCATAATTATCACAAATAATTAAGTTTATCACCAAGCTTCTTTACTTATCATAACCAATAATAGGCCCAGACTTACTTTATAGTTATACTAAGAAATAGGCCTTATTTATTATTTATAGTAGGCCCTATAAAGTATAATTTAGTATTAACTTAATTAATAGTATAAGCCTTAAATCTAAGTAATAAGTAGATATGTGTGAAATGCTTGACACTAGTTAATGTAAGCCTAAGCTTCTTGCCTGTCGTTTTTAATAGATAACTTGATCAATGTATTTTATCTAGTTTTAACAGTGCCACCCCCAATTTAAATTCTTTCCAACTTCGAAAACTACGTCATTGGCATTAGTGCGCGTATTTTATCGATAATAGGTAATGCGGTGCTAAACCGACGCCATGGCGTTGTCAAGGCCGAAGTGCTAGCTCGGGGATTTGACATGTATGATAACTCGTAAACAGAAGTAGTAAGTGCCATAAAACCGTTATTATAATATTTGTTTATTAAATGGACACTTAAAACTAATGGCAAGACACTTATACAGTGTTTAATACAAAAACTTATTTAAAATGTGACAGCACCGTACGGGACATGTTCGCGAGATAAACTCATTAGAATCGTGCGATCGATTTCGGCTTTAAGATTGTCATAATGGCTGTAATTTTCTAATGGAAACATATAATACGACTACACTAGAATATCTATATCGAATATTTCTAAAAACTCGATTCCAACAGTGAGATTCGGTATTCTTCGGAAAAGGGCGAGTTTTTATAAAGTCTGCATCAAAAAGTCCGGATGTGGAATACCGAATCGAAACAGCGGAAGTCGGAATGCCTATCATTAGATGATTAGAGTTAGGCCTAATCCTAAAATTTTTTTTTAAATTATTAATTATGGCTATTCCCAATAATGGGCTAAATCTAGATAGACTAGATTTAGATCTAAAAAATACAATCAAAGCGACATAGGAGTCAGCACAGTATTTCACTTTGATAGTGAGCAGCCCGTCACTAAATCAGTCAGAGTTATCTCCACCGTCACCATAAGAGCCGATCCGTCTAGTCTAAAATAAATATTTGTAGACAAACTGTTTTGTAGATCTATAATAAAAGAATTTTATAATATCTTATTTTTAAAGATTTTTAATGGGATTAGATCAAATTACCCTTATAAGTGGAGAGACATTTAGCTTTGGAGCTGGCAGCGTTACAGGCATCTTGAATGTGGTATACAGACACTGACTGTAGGTCATAGAAACAAAAAGTTAAACGGGAGTCGGAAGTAGAATCTAGTCTAGCTAGATTCTCTCCCCATTATCTTCCCATCTAGATAGTATTTTAAAATATAGAATCTAGATATTTGTTACCATTTAAAATTAAAAGTATACGAAACATATTGTGTTAGAAATTAATTATTTAGTGCTTATATTTGGTTTAAAATGTTTGTCCTCATACAAACGGTTAAATTAGATGCCTACAGATCAGCTCACATAACCAATACAGTATTTTCTTTTAAATTTTGAGTGGCGACATTAAGACGGGTGTCATCCGTTGTGGTAAATCAGTATCACCTTTCCCAGCCCCCCCCCCCCGAACGAGATGGATATTATAAATAGAAAACATATACTTTTACCAGTGTCCGCCCCCCCCTCCCCGAAAAATATCAAGTGCCCCCCCCCCCCCCCCCCGCGGAGAAAAAGTCTGGAAGAAACGCTACGCTTAAAAGGCTGGCCTGAAAGTCACAATTTTGTCTGTTACAAGGGTTGATTAACGCTAAAGTGATCAAGTTCCTTAGAAGAACTTATGCCAAATCGTAGATCTTGGCTCCAATGGCGTAGCGAGGTCGGGTGTCACCCGGTGCGGCACTTAATGGTGTCACCCCCCAGAGGCGACCCTTCCCGGGGACAAACTTTCAAACTTTCGATTTGAACCCCCCCCCCCCCCGCTCAAGTTTTTCTCTATACATTTTGCTATTTTTTGCCTTGATGTCACCCCCTAAATGGTGTCACCCGTTGCGGTCCGCACCCCCCCCCCCCCCCGCTACGCCTCTGCTATAGGCTCATTCTATGATTTAAACGAAAAATAACCACGCATACCTTAACAAAACTTTTACCAAAGGTGCAAAAGTAGCCAACAACGAAAAAGCTAAAACAGTATGCCCCTAACGTATACAATAGTGGTGTTCTGTGGGCAGATATTGTTCACTTAAAAGGCCTACAATGGTATACATACATGGTTGCTAGGAAGAACGCATATCAATCATATAGGCTTATATATACAATATATAGGCCTATTAATTTCCCGTGTTCCGAGTAGTGGCTGAACTGGAAAAAATGGGCAACTCCTCAAAACAAAGTTCTGGGCCCCATATATATATATATATATATATATATATATATATATATATATATATATATATATATATATATATATATATATATATATATATATATATATATATATATATATATATATATATATATATATATACACACACACACAAACACAGAATACGAACATAGTATACTCATTTCTGGCCTGATCGGGTTTTGAAAGAAAAATGTCTCTGTTCTTTTTTAAATTAAAACATATTACAGCATGTCATGTGTGTGAGTGCATTATAGTCTGTTTTGAAAATCTCTGTTTCATTTTATGTTTGCCGTAATACTTCCTATTCTCGAGCCGGTCAAAATAATATAAAAAGTGAAAGCTGTGTATGTGTCATGTTATGTTGATTTCTATGGGTTTTTTTTTAAATTTATATTATTGATTTTAAATATATTACCTTTTTATTCTGTCATTATTTAATAGGTATTTAAAAAAAACAAGTTAATAAAAAGTCTAGTGACAATTTAAGCGCAATTTCCTTAATTAATTTTTTGTGACCGAACGAAAGGATATTTTTTTTGCGCTAAAAAAAAGACAACTATATTAACCTATATCAACGGAAATAGTTTTATTTTAACGAGTAGGCCTACACGATGCTCAGTTTAAACCACATGAGCAGAGCTAGTCCCCGCCCCCTCGCTTACCTCTCACTAGCGACTGCCTCAGCCGGTGTGCTTGGTTTGGAACTTCACCGCTTCGCTTCTTCCAGTATATTTGTATATTCTTAGTAATCTTAGCCAATACAAATTAGAAGAAATTATTTTTTTTGTGACCGAACGAAAGGATATTTTTGAAAACTTTCTTCGGCAATATTGTTCTAAATTATGGCAGGAATCGATTGGTAAATGTTTCAAGTCGCTAAGTGGTCTGGTTGCTGAGATATGGGCCAAAAACTGCATTTTGTCGAGGTTTTTTTGCTTTTCCGGGAAATCCAGGAAGGAATTCCGGGAATTTTTTTGGCCTATGTTCATCCTCGGAACTTGCTTAATATATTTGCTTTGGAACTAGTCCTCGATATTGCTTCGTTGAGGAGGAGATACGACTTAAAGCTGCGGACACGCTGCGGACACACATCCGTCCATCCATCCATCCATCCATCCAGAAATGACGCATTATTAAACGCAATTTTTTAGCGCAATTTCCATACTGGGGGATTGCGATTATTAACTCGTCAGGTATACCATTCGAATCGTCCTTAGAGGATTTCATAGTGTCAGCCGCCAACCAATCAAACGCGCGCTTTCTCCGCGTTTTGGTTGGCGGCTGACGTCACGGTGACGTCACGCGACGCGTTTTTGGAGCTAAAAAGGGCCGAAAAAGCCATTTTTTTCTACGTGTAGTTCGGATTTTTTTACGTTTTTTAAAATGGGCCCGAAAATGACACTTTTTCAAACTGGACTTAGCCATTTTTTCAAACAAATTTTTCGAAAAAAGGCCGTTTTGGGTGATTTTTTGATGTAAACAATGGCCTAGGTCAACACGTGTCAAACCACGTGAAGGCACCCAATCGACGATTTCGGTCACGCATGAGTGGTTTTCATACGTTCTCGTGAACTAAATACCAGTTTCTTGACAACAAAATGGAAAACGACAATTTCGTGAAAATAACGACCCTAGAGGAATGGCTCTTGAAGATTATTAAATAAAAATCGGTGTGTTGGCTCTATGTATTGATTCTAAACTTGTCTATAATTGACTAGTAGGGCATGCTGAAACAACGGCCTGAGGGCGCCGTGTAGTGTGTAGTTTTGCTAAATGTAAATTAATCAGCCCAGCCGCAGATCAATCGCAAACTGTTAAAATTAAAATGGTTGGATGTGAAAAGCTTCTACTTACAAATTACTTCTGAATAATCACATCACTCAAAATAATCCCAAAGAAAGCACAAAATAAAATCCTTTAGAAAAGCATCACCATGAAATTTGAAAACCACAGTTTGTCAACCTTAACCAGCCATCTTTGGCTCGATCTAGAGGTCATTCTTTAGCCTACACATGTGTCTTGTCAACCAATTTAGTTTCTGATGGTACACGACATTTAGATAAATATAATATAACAAACTAACTGAATTCCAACATTATATCCATCTAATCCAATATTGAAACAGAATTTGAAGCACAATGATCTAACGAATAAATCCAACTCTATGCGAGTGTCGCAGCTTTAGTCCTGGATACAACCATAGTGTGTAGTCGTGTTGTGAGTAAATTTGCACGAGATACAACACCGACCTAGACCTTCCTGATGTGTATGGCCCCAAAGTGCTGCGAGTAGGGGAGGGCAATTTAACGCCAGAATAGGTTTTTTTTCAATAGTTAGGTCATCAGTAGCTCACGCATCCTAACGGGGTTGAAAGTGTAACTTTAAATTGAACTAGGTGAGAGGAGGAGGGTGAGGTCATTAGAACAACGGAGCTATATTTCTAGTAGAAGAATACGGGGAAATCATAGCTTGAAGTTTGAAGCCGGCATTTCATTTTTTTCATTGTTATTGAGTACAGCCCTTTAATGCACAACTAGGCTACTCATTATGAAATCTAAAAATGTAGTTGTGCTACCATGCAAAAGTAGCCTAATAGGTCTTGTTTATTTAAATGCAGATTCTGTTAGCCTAAAAATATTTGGATACACATTTTAGTTATATCGTAATGATTAATGTTATAATACAATGCATATATTCTGATAGTCCTTCAAGTTTTTGGGCAATCCATAACTTGTATTTCAAATTTATAATGAGCGGGATGCACTCGATGTTTTAAGTGCTACATTCGGTAGCTGTTACTTTGTGTATGACAGCATCCCAATAGTTCACTGTAAATATAAACTGAGCTTGGCGAGATTCCCATCGCCAAGCAATCGTATGATAGACCCAGCAAGCATCACTCGTTAAATTCGACATCATGGCTATACCAGTCCTTGATTTTCATTACAGCCTTTAAACGCCTAGTTCTTGGTTTTAAAAAAAAAAGTGTCTCCCCCCCCCCCCTCCCCGCTTGCGCCGACGTCATCATAGGCCAATACCACGTTGCGATTTTTTTTAAACTGATATAACACACCCCTCTCCCCCTCACAGCAAACGCCAACAACGTCACCGAAGGCCCAAGGCCAATAACACGCACCACGGTGGATTTTTTCTTCAATGAGTATATACCCTACCCACCCGCCGCCTTACAACATACCGCATGTCTCTACGAACGGGGTTAAAAGTTTAACTTTGAGTTCAAGAAGGGGAGGGGGTGGTATTCAACAACGAAGGTGTTTCTTTAATAGTACAAATACATAGTTTAAAAAATTATACTTACCGTAACTTACCTACTGCTATAGCATCATACATAATTTTATAAATTAGCAAATTAATTAATTAATTAACTAATTAAATATATCTAATGATAATGAAGGGAGATAGTTTATTTTGGTTAAGACACGACACACAACACTGTGCGTGCCTGGTATGTGGCCTGACCGACCTAAAAGGAGATTGTTTATATTATTGTTTTGAGTTTATATTTAACTCAATGCAACGAGCCCGCCGGTTGGCTGAGGCCACGCCGGGGGGACGATCTGTCCGGGATTCAAAGGGACGACTCGAAATATCGTCCGAAGATCCTTATATTGTTATTGACAGTTTCGAGGAAGATATAAATATGTGGCCGAAAATTCAAAATAAAAATAATGTTAGTAATACTGTTTGCGTTTAGAGTTTAAGTAGACGAATCTGATAAAATGCAGTAATATATTATAGGTTATCTAGATCTGGTTAGTATAGAATAGATACACTACTGTAACAAACGTGAAGCCACTTAACTCCTACAAAACCCACACTAAAACGGCTAATATAATTCATGGGTAATAACCACTGCTGTTCTTAGATCTCAGCAAATCTGGGTGGCATGTTATAAAATTTAAGACCCTCATAATCAGACACATAAATACTGATGTTCCACCCTCAAAATTTCTTAACCTCCATGATGGCCAGCCCCCACCTCTTTCTAGCCCACCATAATTCATAATACTTCATCTCTTTGTTTGTAGGTAACAGTGTAGGATTAGTGTTCTTAGAACCTAGCCCAGCAGAGATAGTATGTTATGTAATTTATAACCATCATGGTTCAGCAGGGTTGAGACCAAAGACGAGTCAGTACCATTGCCCTCCCCTGAAAATTTCTCACCTCTGTGATACCCAGCCCCCACAGGGATTACTGTTCTTAGATCTCAGCAAACCAGAGATAGTTTGAACATTTTTCTGTTTGCAGTTTTCTTATTGTTTATGTTTCTGGGAACCGCCTTAGATGGACAAAGTCTATGGAAGCAGATCTAGAAAGAAATTGCCCCTTAAGTCGTAGACAACGGACCAAAAGGCGTTCAACAATAACATGTTGGCATAAATATAATTATGTTGGTGGAAATCAGTTCTGACGTAGGCCTACACTTAAGAACAAAGAATGCTTACCACAAGAAAATCAGGAAAAGTGTGCTGCATATTTTGAGAAAAAATACTAACATGTCTCTATCAAGAAAGCATTTAAAAATATAACAGCAGAAACTGGCAATGAGATAAACACATATACTAATATACTTAGTCAGGCTTCCCACTTGTTTCTAATGTCTATTGAGCATATGAATACTAGTAAGACTTTCCAATGTTTTTAAATGCGTTATATAACTTAAAAATGTAAAAGTCAGGCTTTCACCCATGGATTTAATTTATGACAAGCTTTCCACTGTTTTCAAACGTTATTATAACTATAACATGTAAGTCAAGCTTTCCATGGTTATCAAATGTACATAATTACATCATTAATAGGCCATCCAATCAAAGAAATATATGTTGTGTTGGACTTTGTGCTTCCTTCACTACCAAATTGAACATGTTATTTTTTTCTCCATAAACATGATCATAACTTATGCTATTAACATATACTGTAGCTGCAACATTTGATTAATTTTTATTCCGCAAAAAAAAAAATTTAATGAGCAGAATGAGTACATATTTTTTTAGAATTTGTCAAGCAAAAGCATTTTATTTACGAACAATTTTAGATGTTATTTTATTAGTTTTGGATTGATAATTCACAGGGCACAGCCTGATGTTTAGATTTGTAATGTACTCACAAAAATGTATTCATTTGGATGTCATTTAAGGACATTTATAATTATGTGGCAAATGTACAGTTTTTGATAGCAGAGAGTAGTACAATTTTTTTCCTTCAAATTATAGGCATTAAGCATATTAATAACCATAAAAGAAATCAATTGTAAGAAAATAATTAAAAAACACAATTTTTAAAAATACCTGTATTTAATTCCCTCCCACACTTTAATAAAATTACAATTTAATCAAAAGAATGGTTGGATGTTTAAAATACAGATAGAAAAGCTAAGTGTCATTACAGAAATGTTTATACAAAAAGTGGTGTACAAGTTTGATCATTAATTTTTTTTTTTTATTTATGAGAAGCTGTGTCAAAATACATGTCTATTAAACAAACATAATAATACTGATATTTATCACATCAAAGGCAAAAATATAAATTAAATTAAATATATTTTGGTGACATCATCAACACAAGAATACAAAGATATTTAAACTACATCTGATAGTGCTGATGTCTTATTTTCTGAATACTTTAGAGAAATAAGCTCATTTGTTTTTTCAGAAGTTACAAATATTTTGAAAAATATGAAACAAGTATTTAGTAGCAATATAATATTAATTGATTAATTTTTCCTTTTTACAAATTTAATACCTTCCAAAGTTAGACCTACCGTTTTAGTTGAGCAATTAGCTATAGATATAGATATACATTGTAATTTTCAAATCAGACTTAAGATACCAATAAAAAAGACTATTTCATTAGATTACAATGTAAAAAATGCATTAGTATGTAAAAAGTCCTATTTTGTGAAAAACAAAAGGAAATCACAGTCATAAAGGAATCTTTTTAATAAGTCTGAAAAGATTAACCCATAATCTAGTAACAAAAATATTAGCAATTCGATATTTATACAGAAGCTCACACAAAATGAGGCACAGACTGAAAGCTTGGGTGTCAATTAAAAAACATTTCCTATGTTATGTGGAAAAATTGTGTGAACAAGTTTGGAGTTTTTGTTGTTGTTATGTTTGACTTACAATAAAATTACTACATATTAGGGAATGATACTTTCTTTTCATATGTCCTTTAAACTAGCAAATACATTTTTATAATAGCACCTTAAATCTGGTTTACTGTTCTCCCTTGCTGAAAATTAAAATATAAAAAAAATATAACCTAGTTTTCATTTCTCATAATTTTTAAACCGCATACAATTTAATGACTGATGTAAGAACATCACTATTTCTCGTGAAACTAATAACACCCACGCTGCAACACCTTATGGTGAACAATGAGATTCTCAGAGTGATAAGGAACATCAGAAGACATTCACACCGACTTAACTTCCAACACTTGGAATGTGAGATTATTTTAATCAACAGTATCATACAACAAGGCAGAAATGGATCAGTAAACTTTGTACCATTTTAAACAGATTCATATTCACGCTGCCAGTCAGCGTATTTTTGTTTCATGGTTTTGGCAGATGGTTTTGTTCTTTCTAAGGCGGCCAGTACATCCTCAGTTTTAATTTTATCTAAATGTATATGGAGATCTTGTCCTAGGGAAAAGTAGTTTAAAAAACATTAATTTAACAAACTATGATGGAGTGAGGTAGAAACAAAGTGTTATTAACAATAAAAAGTATTACAAATAACAACTTTGTAAAACTACGTAAGTACGAACAGATATTTTTGGCAGGTTATTCTAGACTAGAAATTATCAAATAAAACGCTTTGAATCAAGGACAACTCACTTTTAATTAAAGGAATTAATTGTTAATTTACCATCCAATAAATGGAATGCTTTCAAAAATTGGAATGGCTTGTTATTTACCTTCTGTGTGATTCTCTAAAGCAAAAAATATTTTTCTGACTGGTCTCATGGCAGCTTCTTTACACAGAAGTCTAATATCTGAACCTGAATATCCGTCTGTTTTCTGAGGTTAAAAGAAATATTTTCTAATATTAATTTACTGTAACAATTTTATTATTTAATCACTATGCTAATAGACTGAAGAATGCCAAAAGAAAACAACAACACTCCCCCCCCCCATCAATAAAACAAAAACAGCCCCTGGTAATAAAAGAAAAAAATACCCCGTTAATAAAAGAAAAACATACCCCGTTAATAAAAGAAAACCATACCCCCTACCAATTAAAAAAAAAGCATATTCCACCAACAAAAGAAAAACACCTCCCCCAGCCAACAAAAGTAAAGCATACCCCTGCCAATAAATCATAATCAAGTTCTGCCAGCAGTTCCAGCCCTCCTTCTTTAGATGACACAACAGGTGGTAAGTGGTGTTTGAACATTGCCCTCCTGGCCTCGTGTGTTGGCAAGTCTACTAGAATCCTTTTTTCAAGACGACGCAACATTGCATGATCCAGCTCCCTGGATAATAAAAATTACAACTTTTAATTTAAGCAATTATCTATTCCACCAAATGTTATTCAAGGAGTCATCTGGGCAGCAGTTCAGCTCCATGTGGCATATTATAACTAATTAACTAAATAAAAGGTAATTTTTCCTGAATAAAAATATCTAAAATTTAAATGGCAGTGTTGAAGGCTAATTTTAAAAAGTAGACACGTGTGTTTGAGGAGAAGATGAAAAAACTATCTTATTTTGTGTAGACATCATTGATGGACGACCTGCAATTAAAATAGCAACTTAAAATAGACTATGCACCAAGTGAAAAACTGACCATGGCAAGTTTGATGCAGCCAGGAGAAACACCAGGTCATCTGTCTTTGATAAGCCATCCATCTGGACCAGAAGTTCTGTTTTCATCCTGCGACTTCCTTCATGTTCACTGAAAAAAACATCTTTTAGTCAATACAGGCCAAGGAAGAAAATACAGTTTATGTGTATTTTGAAAGCTGCTCAGTTTTTATAAAAATAGATGTTTATCTTATAAAGTTTAACCAAAAAGTTATGGAAAACTCAAGTAGATAGTCCAGAATTTAACATATACAAGGGCTAAAATAGATTTTTTTCATTTCTATAACAATTTAAAATCAATTAGGCCTTTTTGCTGATTGTAGAAGTATGGCTTTCAATTGTTAACACAAAAAATTAGTTACTGATACATTTGCTTGTCTCCACTCACCCCCCTCCACCTTGAGATCCTCGCTGACTCATCACAGACTCTATTTCATCTAAAAATATGGTAGACGGTGCGTGAAATCTGGCCAGCTCAAATAACACCTTTTTAAGGATGTAAATTATTTCAGTTAGATGTTTCAAAGACATACAATTAGAAAAGTATCTAAATACACAATATAGCTGCTTATTTAGACAGATTTTTTTCTTTAATAATACAATATTAAAATGTCTGAAAAATAATGATTAATTATCTTGTTCACTAGTAAGTGAAAAAAAAAATGAATTGTAAAATTTTGAATGAAACAATTTTTCTAGTAGCCTACCCTGACTAGTTTTTCAGAATCACCTCTCCATTTGCTGACAATGCTGGATGCAGATATATTGAAAAATGTGGTATTACACTCTGTAGCTACAGCTTTTGCCAGTAAAGTTTTTCCAGTGCCTAAAAATAAAGTTCTCTAATTATCTAAAAAAACATCAGAAATATATAGAACCATGTAATACTGGTTCAAATGCTTTTTGGGAAGTGCTAAAGAATTAAAGTGCTCACCGGGAGGGCCATACAAGAGTAAACCTTTCCATGGTGACAAAATTCCTTGGAAAAGTTGCGGATACTGTGGGTATAGAAAGATTAAAACTATCAAATTGTGAGTAGCATTTTACATACAGTACAATCTAATGGCATATGGAATTAGTATAATAATTTATCAATGTCAAGAATGATTTTAGAAGTAATGTTCAAATATCAGGAAAAAAAAAATTCTTTTTATCAACCAATACATTTGAGTGAAAATAGGACAAGCATAACTGGGTTTACCTTGATTGGATAAACGACAGCTTCTTTGACTAGTCTTTTAGCTTCATCAAGACCTATAATGTCATCCCACTTGACATCTGGATTTTGTAAATAAATGTCCTGAAAAATATTTGTCACCCATGATTCAACTAAACAGTCAATAAATGTCCTGAATAATATTAATCACTCCTAATTTAACTTAACAGTTGGTGCAACATTTCCAAACAAGAAAAAAGTTACATTACCCTGCTTATGACTTGTGCAAGTTCTCTCCATTCAGAATTGTAGCCTAAGTAGCCACCAAGAGGTTTTAATATTCTGTCCTACAAGACAAATATAATAACAGAGATATTTTAATAACCAACTAGAGATACAATTTACATTTTGCAATTGCTTTTTCAATCGTTGAGGATTGTTAAGTTTAAAATAATTATTACTGACTACTAAAAAGTAACAAAACAACTTAGTTGTGAAAATGTATTAAAGAATTATTTTTATTAATTCCTTGTCAACAATTTTTTTGCAACTTCAAAAAACAACAACTTACATTTCCTATGTTATCGCTGCCTTCTTCAACATTTAACTTTGTGATGTCATTGATCATTGAGCGTACATCTATAATCTGTCCAAACTTTCACAAAATTTGGAATATTTAGATATATATCATTATAAAGTGATAAAGTGTTGACTTAGCTGCTAAAAAGTTTTTCATTTTCAACTAATTTTTATGTATATAAAAACTTCTAAATTTTAAGACCATCTAGACATTGTGTAATTGTATATCTATAAAAATAACATACACTTAAGATTAATAAATGAAACTGTTTACTTTAATAGATAAATAGAGAACTTGATTTAGCTACTGTTGAGGACATAATGCAGGACAAGGTTTAGCTAACATTGAGGAATTAAATTAAGACTTGATTTAAGTAGTGTTGAGGACTTACTCTAGGATGTGGTTTAGCTAGTGTTGAGGACTTTAGGATGCAGTTCAGCTAGTGTTGAGGACTTTAGGATGTGGTTTAGCTAGTGTTGAGGACTTACTTTAGGATGTGGTTTAGCTAGTGTTGAGGACTTTAGGATGTGGTTTAGCTAGTGTTGAGGACTTACTTTAGGATGTGGTTTAGCTAGTGTTGAGGACTTACTTTAGGATGTGGTTTAGCTAGTGTTGAGGACTTTAGGATGTGGTTTAGCTAGTGTTGAGGACTTACTTTAGGATGTGGTTTAGCTAGTGTTGAGGACTTTAGGATGTGGTTTAGCTAGTGTTGAGGACTTACTTTAGGATGTGGTTTAGCTAGTGTTGAGGACTTTAGGATGTGGTTTAGCTAGTGTTGAGGACTTACTTTAGGATGTGGTTTAGCTAGTGTTGAGGACTATAGGATGTGGTTTAGCTAGTGTTGAGGACTTACTTTAGGATGTGGTTTAGCTAGTGTTGAGGACTTACTTTAGGATGTGGTTTAGCTAGTGTTGAGGACTTTAGGATGTGGTTTAGCTAGTGTTGAGGACTTACTTTAGGATGTGGTTTAGCTAGTGTTGAGGACTTACTTTAGGACGTGGTTTAGCTACTGCTCCATTTGATGCCTCTGCTGCTCCATTAGTTCCATGGACTGTGATACCTTGAAGCGATAAACCATCTCCATTTGCTGCCCCTACTTCTTTTGTCTAATTAAAAAAAACATGTATCATATTGTTGTGTTTTACTTAACATAAACTAAAATGAAACATGTAAATACCAAAATTTTTTAGAACCTGTATATTCCCATTCAGTGGGGCAGGGGGAGCAACCTTTCTTGTACTGGAAGTGTTGCGTCTGCCTTTTGTTGAGCCAGATAGTGGTCTTGAGCTTGGGGATTGTTGTTGTTGAGGGGGTGTTGGGGGTCGGGAGGTTTGAGGAATTCTGGGAAGGGACGGAGTATTTTTTACACTGCAAGTTAGAAAGGATAAAGAAAAATAAAATAGCAAACTATTAAAAGCTCAAAAGCATGTTAGTAGTAAATCATTTAGCCTAGTTAGAATTGTTATATCCACAAACTTTCAATGCAGTTGTGAAAAAATTCACTAGTAAAAGACTAATAGGTTAAACACTTTATCCTTGAAATTACTTAACTACCCAACATTGTTAAAAAGAAAAGAAAATCTGAAAACTATTAGTTATTATTGTCTACTCATTAGTGCTTGATTATGAATAGATTATGTAAATAAATTACCTATACTTTGTTGGTCAAATCTTAATTATATTAATTACTATATTATTTAATATAATTGATAATGAAGTAATTATTGTATAAAAAGACAAAGCCAATTTATATGATTACATCCTTAAACAAAAATACTTTCTAAATCCCCTTACTATTTATTATTGAAAATTATGTTCTGCATCACTTTCTTGCAGAACTTCACAAGGACTGCACATATAAAGCTGCACAACTAAAAGCTGATTAGAAGTCACACAGAGTAAATCAAATAAAATAAGTTCAACAAACCTGTTTGCTCTGTTCAATTTCACCTGAGCCCTTTTATCAGCAGCACCAGCTGTTAAGATTAATATTTGTACCATAATAAAAGTGTAATAAAAGAGTAGAATTAGAATATAAACATATAAATACTGTAAATACTGGAAGATCACAATGTTAATATTTTGATTTCATATTATTTATTATTATTCTATGACTCTAAAGATTGCATAACAGGTCAAATAAATTTTCTTTTTGACATGGTTTACCTACTAGTTTAAGATTAAACACACTGCAGTTGTTATGTACTTTAACTTATTTGATCATGGTTTTTTTGTTTAAGTAAACTATAATTAGCTAAATAAATCTACATAAAAATGCAAAAATAAGTCAAATATAAATTAATTTAGTCTTAGATCATCACATTTTATGTTGTAATTAAGTTATATTAACAAAACAAAATATACTAAGACATTTAAGAGTTAATGTATTCTGATAATTCAAATAAACTGCATGAAAACAGTAATATAAGCAATGAAACGGTGAAAAATGAAATTTTATATTAATAAAATTTGAGTAATAAGAGCGTGACAAATTAGTAATCAGTAAATAGTGATTTTACTTTAACAGAGTTCAGTGTAAAAGATTTTCCAAATATTTAAAGGTTGACTGTTTCACAGCATTCTCCTTAAAGCTTTAAAAACTATAACTACAGATAAGAAAATATGTAAAATAATAACCAGTGCTTTTGGCTACATTTATTATTGTATCGTAGAATGTTTTTTTTAATTTCAAAAATTCAATTTAAAAATCATTTTAAAAAGATGAACATAGTTTTTAATGAAAAAGAAAGTATTTGTGGTTATTAAAAAACATAAATAGCACAGCAATGAAACAAATTCTCAAAATTAAAAAGATCTATTTGTTAAATTGCAAGACACAAACGGAGATTTATTTTAAAATAAATTTAAACAATACCTTGAGCACCTGTATTGTAAAATCATAATACAAACAGTAAAAGTTTAATATAAAATTAAGAAACATGATAGTATTAAAGGGGGTCTTATAATCTAAAAGAAATTCAAGTGCCGAAAAATTATGATAAAATTATATAAATTGTGCACTAAGAAATTACAATGTATAAAATAATGTTACTTCATGGGTATTTGGAAATTATAATGTTTAAAATAATGCTATGATAAGACCTCAGTTACAAAAGAATATTTAGCTTTAAAAAAAAGTAATAAAAATGACCCTACAGTAATGTACAAATCGTCTCAGATTCTTATAATATTTTAGTGGTTATTTATGTTTTTAAAAATGTTTTTATTAAGACAGAGAATTACATCTAAAAAAAAAAAACAGCTCCGATAATTAACAATTAAATTAAGTTGGAAACATTATAATTTGAAAATAACCATTAGGTTTATATATGTGCAGTAATAAAATAAAATAGTAATATATATATATATAGGGCCTAAATTTTAATAAGAAACCTACTACTACTAGCATTTTAACAAACAACCCTCAATAAATTGTAAAGTATGATGAATTATGAAATACAAAAAGCTTACCACTTTGTGACATCAACTTTTTGGTGATTTTTGGGTATTTAGCAAATTTGACATAATAATATGATTCATATTCCATTAATATTGTCTCCAAGTCAATGTTATCACATACTTCATAGCGGCGTATATCGATATTAGTTTCCCTTGAAAGATTAGATGCTGAATCTAAATATCTGAATTGAAAATGCAAATTACTAATTAAAAATCCATTAAATGAATACTAAAATAATGATAAATAGTTAAAATTAAATTGCTATAAAATGCTTGTATAAAAAAGGTATAATACATGAAATGTTTCTAAAGGATTTTGATTGTTGTCATTAAAATTCTAACAACTTGTTCAAATTTTTTACCCTTCTTCATTTAAATATTTTAAGACTAGTATAAGAAGATTTTTCTTTCTTGAATCAGTACGAACTTCATCCTGTGAAGAGAATATCAAAACTAAATGAAGACGAGCTACTCAAAGTAAAATAAACGTTTGTAATATGCGATGTATAAAAATTCATCTTTATAAAATTTATCCAAAGATTGCAAAAGAACATAGCAGAGCTAAAATAGTTTACTTCATTCATAGCTAATTTTTTACAAGGATATATCATGTCTTTTTGTTTTCTTAATTGAAAAACTGTAGTCTATAGTTAGGTAAAACTTTAACTTCAAGATCTCTCAATTTGATCATTTTCTCATTTTAATTCTTGGAATTTATTATTCTGAAGCTTAAAAAAAAATTTCAAATGGAAAAGTCTACTTAAGGGGAAACATTGAATCATATCAAGTACTAGATCTATTTAATAAATAAGGTATGTGATTCAAAATTAAAAATGACGAGGAATGCTTTTTAGTTTTAAGTTAGTTTTAGCTGGAATAATCATTATATGAATTATATACCATAGTCACAAGGCATTGAAGTGAATGAACAGACTAGATTAGATTATGTCAATATAGATCTATGCGTAGCGCCGTAAACCGTAGATCTAATTGTAGTTTATTTAAGTTTATTGTAGGTAGACCAAGACCACTAAATTAATATTTGGTTGCAACATAAATAATTAACATTAATTAAAGATAAGAATAAGAGTCAAGATAAATTCAGCTACAGAAAAACTGTAAATAGTTTTCTGTTATGAATCGAGTACTGAGTACTGTCTTCGGTCTGCTGTCTCAGTGAACGCATTGAGACGATTGAGTGAGTGTGAGAGACCACAAGTTATTTCTGACAACTACTATTTACTAACGCCTGAGGGCCCAAACTATCAATAAATAGTTGAAATAAAGTTAATTATTTTCCCTTAAAAGTAAAAACGACTATATTACAGCTTCTCGAGCTTGATTAGCCGTTCTGATGGCTTGATAGCTGAGTTCCATTCTCTCTCATCTCTGTGGCGTCGTTGGTTGCGAGGGCTGCAGAAAAAATGGACGTCCCGATAATCGAAAACTTCCGGTTATCCGTTATAATCTTTTATACTCAACTACTTCGGTTAGCATTTTTTTAAAAATAAAAATCACTGACCATTCAATTTATTCATTAAATCTATGGCATAGGTTAAGTGTATTTTAAAATGTATTAAGGATAGAAAAAAAAACTAAATAAAAACAACAACAGCAAATGACAAATGTAATGTGCCATGAGATGGGTTGTTGGCAATTTACGTAATGAGGGGGGGGGGGGGGAGATAAAGGGGAGGAGGTCCGCACCAGTTGATCCTATTTATGTAGTGACACCGAATCAAAAAAGTGTAAAAAAATAATAATGTTTATCAGGTTTACATAATAAAGGAGTAATGGGGGGGGGGGGCACCATCTGTTAACGCACTGAGTGACGGCCGTACTAGTGACGCCATAAAATTACAGCCTGTAATGTACTATTAATGGGACGGAGTGGTTCAGCGGTAGAGAGCTGGACTGCTTACCCGTAGGGTAGGGGTTTGGGGAAAGGAGGGTGGGGTAGTATCGTCCTTAACTGATAGTGTTTTAAAGCAAATATTTTCAGTGGCAGCATTAGTACTGTCGAATTCACAAATTATGAATTACTGAAAAGTAGAAAATAAAACAACTAAATAGCGGCGTATGATATGCCGCGGGTCGGCTCGTACTATTATAATCTATAACAGTTAAATATAGAAACACATTATAAAATATTTAACAATAAAATTTTTGCACCAGAGAGTATGTGTGTTGTTTAGTAGGTAATCTATAATCAAGGCAGTGTTTCTTCCAGACTTTTTTCTCCGGGGGGGGGGGGGCACTTGAAATTTTAGGGGGGCGGACACTGTTAAAAGTTTATATTTTCTATATAAATTATATAAATTTCATTTTGTTCGGGAGGGGGGGGGGTAAATTTTTTTCGGGGGGCCCCCCGAAGAGATGCCTGGAAGAAACTCTGACTCAAGGGAGTATTTAGGTTTTTATAGTAGGAGGCATGGCAAGTCCAGAAACAAAACACAAAATAACATATTATATAAAGCAATATAAAACACAACACGATTTTGTAATCCTTATAAAATAAATTTTAATTTCACTTATGTAATATTAAAAAGAATAAATAAATAAAAGGGAAATAATGTCTCTGTTTAATTCATTCTGTAGGCATATTTAATTTTATCTTTTAAATTTTATTAGAGATCTACATAAAATAATTTACATTTTAAATATGCTTTATAGAATAACAGTTTGCAATTCATTTTTCAATTTATTTTGGTCTCTTTCAAAATTAAATTATGTGTTAAGAGTGAATACCATACATCAAGTTCATAAAAAAACTGAAACAGTATGAAAACACACTATGCTCTACACAATAAATTAAATAAGATCACAGTATGCAGAGATACAGGAAAGTTACAGATTTTATTTTATTCTGAGTTTTGTAATGAGACACAACCCACAATAAACACTGTGATTTAAACTTTTCCAGCCGTTAATATGCTTTAAAAAATAATCTTGTTTAAACTGGCAGCTGCTTATTAAATTCTTTAAGATTTTTGTTTTAAATATATGGGCTACATCACAGTACTGTTCACACATCTCTTTTCTGACAACTGGCAATTTTAAAAAAAACAACAATTTTCATAGAATGTCAATTGTTTCAAGGGCTTCAGTTGAAGTAAAAACAACAAAAAACTTTTGTTCTTTCTGCAGTATGAAAGCAGTTTTCATTTTTTCTAAATACAAATTTTCCCAGTGTGTCATTACTAAATATTGTAATACGCCCAATATATTTCACAATGATGAAGAAAGCTGCAGTAAAATCATCTGTACTTGCAGACCATCTTGAACCACGTTAACGCTCTGAAGTCTTTATGAGCCATCATATAGTCCAGACCAGTGGCTTGACAATAAAATGCAAACAGGTTCTGTGTAGTGTGTGAAAAAGAGTGTAGTCCACTACTTTGGATCCAGTTGCATAAAGAGTACAGAGTAAAAATTACTTGCAGGCCATATCATAATGAGAAAGAAACCAGAAACAAGAGGTCTTCAGCTCAAGCTAGTTAGCAAGCTCAAGGTGCCAAGATGCTAAAAAATTCATTTGTAAAAAAAACATTCCAACCAGTGAAAGTTGGAGATAATATGTTGACAGAAGTCATGGTATTACATGTGTAATGATTATCAAGGGTGCTTTCTACTAGCTAAAAACAACATGATGCTCATAGACCATTGTATTCTGGAAGAGAGTTTTCCATTCTGCATCCATAGGCACAGAAGAAAGATCACTATGAACAACTATGAGAGCAACAAACTGATGTAAATGGTGAAACAAACAGTTGTGTAACTCAAAATGTCATAAAAGTTCATCTGTTGTAACATGTGATTATTGATTGACAATTTAGTGATATTGTAATTTTGTATAATTAATAATCAATAGAGGCCTTTTGTGATCAACATAAAGCTAGACAAACACCCAAAATATGCTCAACCCTTTCTCATTCTGACTTTGGCCAATGGCCCTTAACCATTTTGCAAATTGGCTGGCCAAATTCCAAAAAAGATCATCCATTGGCCAGTCAATGTGAGGTGATATTACTTTACTAGCAATTTCACAATTTGGTCAGCCTGCTTTTAATGTGGCTGATTTTGGGATTTGGCTATAACATATACATACATAAATCAGTGCATATATTTAAATACTTTAAATATAATTGGTGAAAGGAAACACATATATGACATTTAAATAACAGTGTTTTATAACAATTATGCTAAAAATCTTATGGACTAAAAAAATCAATTAAATAATCTTTCAACAGTTAAAAATGTAAACTATCTTCAAGTTTATGCTATGTCTGCAGGATTCCAGCAGTAGTGTGTCTGGTTGTCCAATGAACTTAATCTATTCATTTGTTCCTCACTCAACGAGAAAGAAAAAATGTCCATATTTTCTTGTATATGCTTGGGATTGGTAGATTTGGGCAGAACACCTGGAGATCAACTTAGTTTTAATAATTTTTTAAAATCACATTCAAGTAACATGTTTCAATTTGTGTAAACAGAAATTGCAAGTTATATATTTAAATATCAGAAAATATTACTTAGTCTAAATATTAAAATAAAGCATTAAAAATGAAAATTTGGATGGAAATTTTTTAAATGCTATCATATCTGTGGTATGGCCTAAATTAACATAAAAATAAAGAGTGAAGTATCAAATGCTAATACCTATTCCTTGTTGAACAGCCCATCTAAGAAGTACCTGAGCCACTGATTTCTTTAACTGATGAGCTATTTCCACAACAGTTGGGTCTGTTAAAATCTAGACATGAGATACAAATTACACTTTATATGATAAACTATTACTTTTAAGAAAAAACTTTAAGCAACTAAAACAACAAAAAAGTCTATTAAATCAATAGTTATAATGAGCAAATAGTTCTGAAATAGCCCTGAGTTTTCTAACATCTTAATGATCCAACATACTACATAAATGTTAATGCCTAAAGTTGTTTTGTATGCATCTAAACTTTGTGTGTTTCAAATCAATCACTACATGTCTTATCCCTCAAACCTCGGTTAGTTAGATGAATATTAGACTGCTGAACTGCTGTGTAAACACTTACTTTATTTTCAGCGTTGGATGTTCCTAATGAAGAATAAGCTTGGAGATGGATGCCATACTTATCACAAGCTTTCTTTACATCTAGTTGAGTCAGATGTGGATGATATTCTGTCTAAACATCAAACAATTAAAAGTAAATATTCAATTCTACCTAGTTGAACAATACAAAAACTAATGCATCTTTGTGCTGGAATAAAAGTTCCTGATTTCAAAGATGTTTATTTAGTACACCGCAATAATTAGAAATAATTATTTCTTACTTGAAGTACAGATGGTTTGACATTACAATGTGATAGTAGCTCTTCTATGTGCTTTGGTAAATAGTTAGAAATTCCTAGTGACCTAATTTTTCCTAAAGAAAATATAAAAATAATTCTGACATCTCTGTTCAACAATTTAAGTTTAATAAATAAAACATCACTAGAAAAAAGTTTTAAAAACTTGGAATGGAATTACTGAGGAAGGAACATGGAAGAAATTCAACAAAATAAAATCCAGTTACCTTGTTTGTGGGCCTCCTCCATATCACGCCAGCTTTCCTGTCTAAGTTCTTTATGTCTTTCATCCTCTGGTTTAAATTTGTGAGTTCCTGGCCAATGGATGAGGTACAGGTCTAAGTATTCACAGTCCAGTCGCTGCAGGGAACCCAAACACGCTGACAGGGCATTTCCTTTGCCTTGCTCAGATGGACCTTTTAGCAAAAAAATGTCAATAAGAAGTTTTTTTCATGTAATTATAAAATGTTGCATACAAAGACTCTCATTAGTGAATTGATTTTTAATGTCAAAATTATGTGAACTAAATATGTTATTTTGTTCTATTTTATAAAGCTGTACACAGGTTGGTTTAATTTATTTTATCTTCAGTGGAATTTTAAACAATTTTTTACTCTATAGATTCACCATTAATGTTACTGCTAACCGTGTTCAACTTTTTAACCTATAACTTTTATAGAAAAATCTGTCATACCTAGCTTGCTGGTAATGAATATATCTTTACGTTGTAGGTTATATTTAGGTAGTAACACCTTAAAAATCTTTCCTATGTCTGTTTCATTACGATACACTGATGCAGTATCTGAAATAAAAAGCATCTTGTCAAAGTGCTTGTAAAAGCACAAATAAATTTTTAACTCTCTGATTATTGAATAATATATTATTTTTGTTCGTACTTTTATTTAATTTATGACCATTTTACAGAATTAGCATAATACAATACCAAATGAGCGGTATCCAGCTGCCAAAGCTGCGTCAAGTGCTGTATACAGAACATCATAACCTTGTATTCTGTATGTCCCAACTGAAAAATGTGTAACAAAAACAATGAAAAGCTTTGCCAAAAGAAATTAAAAACTTTAGGCTATACATAGTGTTCATGGGGGAGTCCTGGGGCGCTCCAGGTCAATCCATGCAAGGCTGCAGGTGGACATCCCTGTTGCAGATTGACCATTGATTGATGAATCTCTGGACGCAGGGGGAGGGGTTTGCCCCTGGTTAGTATGTAGTCCTTTTATATAGGACTTTTAAAAACAATTGCGCCATAGTGTTCATGGGCAGCCTAAGTTACTCTGGGTTACACTACTGCCAGGGCACTGGTGGATGACTATCGTGCAGTGTGACGCAGTGTGGCGGTTAAATCAAGTAGTACACATGACCACCTGTGTAGAGTGCCCAATCAGTGGATCGACACAGTACACTATCACTGGGGGAAACATTCTGAGCCATCCCTAGTGTTTTTCATATTATCAGCCAACAACCATCAAATGGACGCTTTCTCTGCAATTCAGTTGACAGCTGATGTTGCAATAATGGTGTTTTTAGGAGCTAAAAGGGGGGTCGGCGTAGTCGAGTCGGTAAAGCTCATGGTTGCTAAACTGAAAAGTCTCGAGTTCAAACCTTCAGGCAGATGAGGCTCGTTAGCTGGGGACAGCCACTCTTCTAGGAGAGACAACTCCAAATTCAAAACAACTGCTGCCTTGTAGTTTGTTCTTGGTTGGACAAAGGCTATGGAAGCAAATCCATAAGAAAAGCAGGCTGAAATCGGAGTCAATGGCCTCAATGGCGCATAACCAGTTGATATGTATCCTTAATTGTGATGGAGGCGTGGTCGAGTCGGCAAAAGCACATGGTTGATAAATTCGAAAAAGTCTCGAGTTCAAACCCTCTGGTAGATAAGGCTCGATCCCTTCCTACACTAAAAATTAGGAACGAAGAAGAAGGAGCTAAAAAAGGCAGAAAAGACCAATGTTTTACAAAATAAAAAAAAGACTTTTGTTAAGGCAAGACACATATCACTATGCTGGCATGTTATGTGGCCTGACTTATTGAAATGAGATTGTTTAAAATAGGCTATATTATTGTTTTGAGTTGATATTTATTAACTCAATGCAACAAGCCCACCCATAGGTTATGGCCACTCAGAGGGTTCGTTCTGCTAGACATACATACACCTAATTACCTCATGACAAAACAAATTTGCCCTAATTACTTGCTTTGAAATTTAAATCAATTATTTTTAGGACTTTTCTGAAGTAATTTAGTAATCATGAGTGAGATAGTAAATAATTAAATTAGTAAAGTAAAAATAACTAGGCCCGACTTATCAAAAATAAAATTCCTTAGGCCTACTCACTACTAGTCTAGCTACTATAAGTACTAAGTACTACTATTACTTTATTAAATTATTAAAGTACCTTTTAGGTGCGTAAAATCAGTGATTGATTGTGATACATTTTTGTCAAATATTATTAGGCTATAGTATAAACAAGTTAATAAAAAGTCTAGTGACAATTTAAGCGCAATTTCCTCAATTAATTTTTTTAGAATTCACAGACCTACTTAAAAATCCTTTCGAACCTCCGCTCATTCGCTATGGTAAAATCCTTTCGAACCTCAGTGCTTTGCGCTAAAAACCTACACGAATTAAAAATATCATCCTAGGCCTACACGATGCTCAGTTTAAAAATTCTTAATTAATTTTTTGTGACTGAACGAAAGGATATTTTTGAAAACTTTCTTCGGCAATATTGTTCTAAATTATGGCAGGAATCGATTGGTAAATGTTTCAAGTCGCTAAGTGGTCTGGTTGCCGAGATATGGGCCAAAAACGGCATTTTTCGAGGTTTTTTGGCTTTTCTGGGAAATACAGGAAGGAATTCCGGGAATTTTTTTGGCCCACAATCATCCTCGGAACTTACTTAACATATTTGCTTTGGAACTAGTCCTCGATATTGCTTCGTTGAGGAGGAGATACGACTCAAAGCTGCGCACATCCATCCATCCATCCATACGGAAATGATGAGTTAATAATCGCAATTCCTGTAAGGAAATTGCGCTAAAAAGTATAGTATAGACTACTAATAGTCTAATACTCTGTCTAATACTATAGACCTAGATTACTGAATAATAAACCAAAATCAATGGCTAGGCCTAAATAATAAATATAAATAATACTATAGGCCCTAATACTAAATATTAGTAAATATAGAATTATTAGAATCTATTAGACTTAGACTATTAATAATAACGAGCCGACCCGCTGCGTATCATACGCCGCTATTTAGTTGTTTTTTTTTCTACTTTTCAGTAATTTATAATTTGTGAATTCAACAGTACCAATGCTGCCATTGAAAATATTTGCTTAAAAACACTAACCCCCCCCCCCCCCCCCCCCCCACGTGAAAGCAGCCTCCTCTTAGTTACCTCCTCTAAGTTTAAAATCATTTCAAACTCAATTATCTGCCCCTAATAGCCGTCACCAAACCCGTCTCTATGATTGTAAAATGTAAACAGAGTGAACACCGCTCACCAGATCATGTGGGGGTGGGGTGGGGGGTGGTAGTGATAGTGATAGAGAGGAAGAGAGGGGACTGCAAGGCAAAGGCGCGCTTGCAGCTTGTTTTCTAACTGATCCCAGAAGAGAATTATATATAATAATTAATTATTATATTATATAGATAATAATATCATTTATATTACTAGATCTAGAAGTCTAGAAGTATTACCGTTTTTTGCCATTCCCTCTTCAATCTTCTCACCCACATTGAACATTGACATTACAGCATTACTACAATTAGTATTTAGTACAATAAAACAATTACTAGATCTAGAGATTCTAGATCTAGTTTTGGCCGAATTTATGACGCTAAACTAAGGTTTTACCATCATTTTATTTTATCGGCCTAACTTATAATGACTTACATCCAATAATAGGCATTTGATGACCGCTGACAAGATTAACAGTACGATTCATTTTAAATTAGTTTAATTCCGATCTAAATCTAGATCTAGATTAGACGAGATCTAGATCTAAACCTAGGAGTTATTTTCAGGCAGTAACTTGAAATCGAAAATGAAAGGAGCAATTTCGTACTTTAAACTTTTAAATTTAAGAGTTCTAAAATTGTTTGGTTACGTCCATCAATTCATATTGTTCTTAAATTTTAAAATCTTATACTTCAAAATTTCTGAAAATACATGAGTGAATTTAAAATGTATTAATTATATTTTAAAATTTTCACAAAAAAAAATAGTAAAAATTATGATTTGTTTTACATCCATTGGTTTTATTGTTGACCTTTACTGCTGTACAGCGGATCTCCGATACAAACATTTAGAAATTTAGAATCTACTTTTTGAATGAGTATTCCCAAAAGAGAACCGTAATGAATTAAAGAGCTTTACAATAAATTTGTTTAAACTGTTGCTTGATAGCGTACAGGTAGTTAAAGTTAGATAGATCTAGAATTAATTTATAGTCACAACATAGAGAATACTTTTAAACCATCGTTAATTTACTAAAGTAAAGAGAAGTTCAATATTCGACTTGCTTGGACCTGTTTTTAAATTTACAGCCAACGTTAAAATAAAATATATTATAGATTAATTAAAAACCACCCGAGAGGTTTAACAACCAACAGGTGTTTAATTACATATAGGGAGTCTATGGTACTCAGTTTTGGGCACTCCCTGAAAGTGTATCTACTACTATCTAGGACTGATTAAATACAGCTTCTTCAGTTTTTTTGTTTAATTGGCAATTCAATTTATTGCTTTTTTTTGCAATATCTCATGAATTTTATCATGGTTTGTGAGGGAGAGGGGGTGTTTTCTAAAAATGATAGATCTATTAGATTATGTTTGGTAGGGAATTGGGTAAAAGTAAGTAAGTAAAGCTCCCTTTCAAACCTGACGGTCTAGTATAGGGCAAGTGAAGTAGAGTTCACTTGTTTCTGTGACTTCTAAAGTCTAAATATGAAGAAATAGTGTGGTCAGCACTATGCCCAGCCGCCTTTACTTTCCCTAATGTGAGTTAGGTACCCATCAGAGTTGGGTGGACTCAGGGATGGTCTACTGACTTGAACCCAAATTTGAATGCAAGACTTATGGGATAGCAGTCCAGCTCTCTACCGCTAGACCACTCAAACCCTTAGGGGAGTTGGGTAAAATGTCCTAATTTTAAAAATGTATGCACAATCCCTTGCATTATATTTTCAGCTCTCTGTCAAGAAATGTTTACTGAAATAAGTGAACAATGTCTGTAGATATTAAAAAAGTTAGCCTTCACCTTGCACCAGAAAGTTCTCTAACAGAAGGAAACCCAGATATATCTCAGCCAAACACATTCATGCTCGAAAAGGTAAAAAGCCTTGACGGTACTTTGATAATGTAATGGAACAGTGGATCCTTTTCTCTAAACTCTAAGATAATAATCATATTAGCTGTTGATAACAATTTTGAATTTTAAAATTTCAGGATTTACAAGGTGGTGACTTTGCTACTTATATGGATGGAGCACTAAACAACGGCCAACTTGCCAATGAAGTCCATCGGTTAAGATTGAGTAATAAACAGCTCAAGCTTGATTTACAAGCTGAAGAAGGTACTTTTAGTGTTTTTGGTATTTTGTAACATTTTTTTGCTTCAAGATTAGAAAATTAAAAAAAATTCTTATACTTTTTTAGATTTTCAAATAGTTTCCCATTTAAGTTTAAAAAATATTTCTATAATATGTAAAAATTAAAATTCTTACATTAAAAAATGTGAAGAACAAGTACTTCAGTTGAAAAAAAGGCTGAGCAATCTAGAAGGGCAAAAGCTAGAGTCAACAACTAAAAGCAACCAAGAGGTAATTAGCTGTTTACTTTACTGAGATATTTATAGTATTTTTTAAGAATTACTTGAGCTTACCTAATTTAAATTATTTGTTCAATCTTTCTTGTTCAACTGCTTAAATAGTTTGGTGCTAAAAAAGAAAACTTTGAATTTTGAAATAATGCTGATAACATTTTTAAAAATTTTTTGTTTTAGCTTGCTGCACTAGAATCTCAGTTAGCCAAAGTACGGTCCCAGGTAGAGAAAGGAGAAGCAGTGAGGCAGAACTTGGAGTACGAGCTCACAAAATGTCAGAGACAGCTGAACCAAATCACACAGGCATCAAGAGAAAAAGAAAATAAGCTGTTGGATGGCACCAATGACTTGACTAGTAGGGTTTCTTATAGCTTATATTTTTATGGTTTATATCACATATTGTACTAGCTACAGACTCCTAGACACATTTATAAAAAAAATTATATATTTCTTAAACGTAATTACATCAGAAATGCATTTCACAACAAAATTCAGTCAATTTTGACAACGTAAAAAATGTTATTCTAGTTATATATTTGTGATTTGTAATTGATGTGACATTTAACTGAATTAAATTGACCAAATTAATTTTTCAAATTAATTTATGGTTACCACATACATTTACATAATTTTGTGCATGATTGGTTTGTGTTATTTTTATTATATTTGAGACTTAATACCTAGTCACCTAGGTTAACTCTAATTTTGTTTGCTTAATTAACCAGAAAAATTGAATGAAATAACAGAAGAAGTAAAGAGTTTGAAAACAGCTCTCCAGTCAACCCAAGCCAACGCACATGATGAAGAAACAAAACTGAAAGAAGATATTGAAGATCTGAAGGAAAAACTTGTCAGGGCTGAAAGAGATCTAGGCTCATCTCTCAATGAAAGGGACAAACTAACGGATTTGTGCCAGCAACATTCCAGGTGAAGCAGAGTCGGATTTTAAAAACTTGGCTTAAGAAGTTGAGAAATAAATCAAGTTCTAATATATGGGCCTTTATGTTTCATGTTCTTTTACTATTTTTCAGTCTTATTTCTGAGCTGAATGAACATCTTCAAGAGTATGAAAGTAAGTATTATATGTTATTGTAACTTACATTTATAAAAACAACCATTATGATATTTTTTATGATTACTTATTTATTTTCCCCAATGTTTTAGTCAATACAGTAACTCTACAAATCAAAATATTTTTATTTGTATCAGATGAGAAAAGAAGTTTACTTGATAAGCTTAGAAGAACAACATCTGAATTGGAATACACCAAAGAACGAGAAAGTAGATTGAGGACTGAATTGGAGGTGAACTTATTTTATCACTTTGTTTCATTAAATAGTCTCTAAGCTTTGTTTTAAACTTTTTAAACAGCTTATTTCTTGTTCTTTTATTAAACTGTATTGTACCCAAGATTGTTAAGTGAATTATTTAATTTACGTTTACTAAATTTTTATTTGTTTCCTGAATTTCATATTTTATTGAAGTTTTATACATTTCAGTCTGAGCATATATTGTAAATTTCTTACAAAATTTCAGAGCACTCAGTCAAGGACTAAATCCCTAGAAGAAAATATTGAAGCAGAAAGGTGTTCACACCTTGAGACCAAATTCAACTCAGAGATAGTTCAGGTCATTTTTAGTTTTTTTTTTTTTACTTTCAATATTTAGTTAGGTTAATTATTGGACTAAAGCAGAAAATTATTCATATCAAAATGCATTGTAATTACATTTTTTTACTGAATTATACAGCTTCGAGTGAGAGATTTAGACAGTGCTCTTGATGTAGAAAAATCTGCTAACCTGGAGGCAAACAAAGCCATTGAGCGATTAACACAACAAAACAGGTAAGTCACAGCTTAGTGCTACAGTGTCATCTTGTTTGTCAAGAAATCTCTTGTCAGTAATCCTCCTCTTCATTGGTCTAGAATTTTCTTCATTAGTTAAAAAATATTTTTATTTGACAAAAATTCTCCTCTTCATTTGTCATGAAATTTTTTTTTTACTTCAGAGAACTGGAAGATGTGTATGAGGAGGAGAGAAAGTTTAGACGAGAAGCTGCTCAAAAACTGGACAAGTAAGTCACAGGCTCAATCATATGCCAGGATAAAATATTTTACTATCACACAAGTTAACTTACGCATGTAACACACAACAACTGTTGATTACAGGGTAGAGAAAGAGTATGTCGCCCTGAGGAAGCAGCTGTTATCAGAACTGGAGGAGAAAAAAGCCATGATTGCCACCCTGTCCAAAGAATTAGAAACACATCAGAAAAATTTTAATGAACTAAAAACTGAGCTTTCAAAGGTAGGTAATCTAGTCTCAGATATTCCAACAAAGGTAGTTAATGTCTCAGAAATTCAACCAAAGGTAGGTAATCTAGTCTCATATATTCAGCTAGTTTAATGTTTTGCCTTACATCTGATAACTAGTGCTGACAATTTGTATTTTTATGACTAGTTATGACCTTGGTTTTGCAGGCGAAAAAACGCCAGCAATATCTTGAAGAAACTTACGATGGATCCATCAAAGAGCTGGAGTTTCTGTTACAGACTTTCCGTTTTGAGGTTAAGAAACAAAGTATGATAAAACTTTATGTTAGTTACCTTTTTTTTTCAAAATCCTCAACCCTGTGGTCCCCTATATCTCATCCAACCACCTAACATTTAAAATTATAGAAAGCTGAGCTGCAGTAGAAAAAGAGCTGATAGGCAAACATATTTAAAATCACCATTTGAACTATAGCCTGTGACTAGAAGCAGCACTGACTTAGATAAGTAACAGAGCAATCTGCCAAAACTAATAGAAAACAGGGTATAAAGGGAAGTAGCTTAAAGTAATTTTGCTACATAACAACTACATACAAAAATAACCAAAATTTAAATCTCTTCTCTGATGAGTAATTAATATATTTTTTAGGTAAAATTAAAGTAATTATCTTCTCACTTTAAAAAAAGTTAACTGTCAGTAATTTTTAACTTTGAGGTGGAATTTAATTATAAGAAATAGATTTTGTTTTTATAATCACTCGGAGAAATCCTGTGTTACTTATTATTTTATTTTTTAGCATTTTTTCATGTATTTAATACACATATTGTCAATGTGTCAATCTCGAAACACAACCAGTTAAATTATTAATTAATTAAATAAATATAGATACAATTATTCAAACCCCAGTGAATAGTACACCTGTATGTTAAGGGACAGAACAATGTTTTAAGAAGTTAAAACAAGGTCTGACAGCTGTGAAACAAAATAACTTATGTTAGAGATTAGAAGGCAAAATTAATTATCCAAAATTAATCTGAATAATTGTAATGTTGTTAGTCTTACATTTGACCATGACTCATTTTATTTCAGAAGTGGCTGCTAAAGAGGAGAGCAACACTGTCAAGGGGAAGAAACCCTCTAACCCCAGCATTGTGGTAGAAAACTTTAAACAAATGTTGTTTCAGATCAAAAGGAAAATGGACACACAGTCTGAAGAGGTAAGGCACATCTTTTTTTTTCTCTAGTTTAATTTTTATTCACATTTTCAGTGTCCACAAATCAATCATTGAAAAAAATAGTCTAAATTGTCAAAAATTTGACTTTTAATTACTCTGATTTTTATTCTCATATTTCTTGTATCATTAAATGAATTAAAAAAAGTGTGTAGTCACATAGATTCTTTATTTTAATAGTTTAACCCTAAACATTGTTTTTATTCTTACTTTGTTGAAGAAATATATATTCATTATAAATATATATTCAGTATATTATAATGAATAACTTATCTTTATGAATGCTAGCTTTTAAAAGTGAAAAAAAATGTGGAAAAACTAACAAAGGAACTTGAAGCCAGTAAAGAAATCATCAGTGCTAAAGACAAACTCATAGAGGTAGGTTTTTGTTTTTTTGGGGTGAAGGATAATTACAATTAAAATATTAATGAAACTGATTTATTAAAATCTTTAATCATCTTAACGCATAAAACACAAAGCAATGTTCCGCAGTTATCGATTTATTATGTACATTCACCTGCTGATTGGGGGATCGGCGTGGTCGAGTCGGTAAAGCTCATGGTTGCTAAACCGAAAAGTCTCGAGTTCGAACCCTCGGGCAGATGAGGCTCGTTAGCTGGGGACAGCCACTCTTCTAGGAGAGACAACTCCAAAATTAAACAACTGCTGCCTTGTAGTTTGTTCTTGGTTGGACAAAGGCTATGGAAGCAAATCCAAAAAGAAAAGCAGGCTGAAATCGGAGTCAATGGCCTCAATGGCACATAACCAGTTGACACGTAACGCTTAATTGTGTTGGAGGCGTGGTCGAGTCTGCAAAAAAAGTTCATGGTTGATAAATTCGAACAAAGTCTCGAGTTCAAACCCACTGGCAGATAAATCTCGATCCCCATTCAACACTAATAATTAAGAACGAAGAAGAAGAAGAAAGACCTGCTGATTAATTTTGAAGTTTATTCTGCAAAGTGACACACTATATTTAGACTTTTATATAGAAGTAATTAGTAATTTAAGATAAAAAAGATTACGGTTAAGATTGATATATTTTATAGGATGCACATAGAAATTATACAAAAACGGCAAAAGATTTGAATAAAACCAGAAACAATTATGCTGAGCTGGAGGCTACAGTAGGAAAACTGAAGACAAATCTCCAAAACAATGCCAGTAACCAGAACAAGGACAAGTCTCGCATTCAAGAGCTCAGTGACGAGGTAAGAAATAGTTTGCTAACACAACTATTTAAACTCCTATTTGATAGGGCAATAGAAGAATTGCCACAAACATTTTTGCTACAAACTGAATCTTGTTGATAAAGTGTTCCAGTCACTTTTATTTTGATACCATTTGTATTATTTTAATCAACAATAGGTTATGAAACTGGTCAAGCGACGGCGAACTGAAGAAGAGGTAATGCAATTAGTATTAAATAAAATGCATTAAAATTGATTGTAGACAATAGAATCTGTTGATGTTTAGACTGTAAAACAGCCATGAATGATGTCAAACTCTGAGTGGGTGGGGATTGTACTTTTGTGATGGTTGTGAGGGGTGTCAAGATTGTGGGAGGTTAGGCTGAATTTAAGGGTTTCCATTTTTTGAATAATAAAGAAATGATTTGATTGATCAATAAATCTAATATTGAGCTGTATTTGCCAGTGTTCAATGTCTTCAGAGGGGTGAAACTGTTTTGATGATTTGTGATGTGGGGGTGGGGGGTAGGGGGAGTAAAAATAGCTAAAAAAGTAAACAGCAGACATCATTTATGGACATATCCTTCATTGTAACTACAACAAATATCCCAGAAGTTTTAAAAGATTTTTTTTTTGCACAATCTCATGCTATATCAAATTGCAAAACCTGATGAGCTTTACTTTGTCTGCCCCTATCAAAACAGATCTGTAACAATATTTTACCTTTTTATTTTGTTATGCCAATATCTGCTGTACTTACTGCAAGCCATTTTTGTGCCAGGACCGGATCTGTTTCCTACAAAGTCTGTACCAAAAGCTTCTAGCTGCTCTACCTGTGCCACCTGCCCCAGATAAAAACCTGAACCTGTCCTCCTGGGATGACCTAGCTGATGTGGTCACTGAACATATTTCAACAATGGCTGACCTGCTGCAGGCTACTGATGCAAAGGTCAGAGGTCAAATGGTTAGCTTCCCATCTGGCTGTAGCTGGCACACACATTACTGGACTTAGTTGTTGTGTACCAAAAATATTTGGTAGTATTTACACTACTGTAGTCTTAGCTGTTGTGTACTAGAAATCTTGGCTAGTATTTACACTACTGTAGTCTTAGCTGTTGTGTACCAAAAATCTTGGCTAGTATTTACACTACTGTAGTCTTAGCTGTTGTGTACCAAAAATCTTGGCTAGTATTTACACTACTGTAGTCTTAGCTGTTGTGTACCAAAAATCTTGGCTAGTATTTACACTACTGTAGTCTTCGCTGTTGTGTACCAACAATCTTGGCTAGTATTTACACTACTGTAGTCTTCGCTGTTGTGTACCAAAAATCTTGGCTAGTATTTACACTACTGTAGTCTTAGCTGTTGTGTACTAGAAATCTTGGCTAGTATTTACACTACTGTAGTCTTAGCTGTTGTGTACCAAAAATCTTGGCTAGTATTTACACTACTGTAGTCTTAGCTGTTGTGTACTAGAAATCTTGGCTAGTATTTACACGACTGCTGTTTTAGCAATGTAGTATAGGCAACATAACCAAGTTTTCACTTTACTTGTCCATAGACTTTGACATTAAACTTGAGTTCCTCATGGAGCTATAGACTGTACTGCTACCACATGGAGCTAAAGACGGTACTGCTACCACATGGAGCTAAAGACTGTACTGCTACCACATGGAGCTAAAGACTGTACTGCTAACATGTGGAGCTAAAGACTGTACTGCTATCATGTGGAGCTAAAGACTACTGCTACCACATGGAGCTAAAGACTGTACTGCTACCACATGGAGCTAAAGACTACTGCTACCACATGGAGCTAAAGACTGTACTGCTAACATGTGGAGCTAAAGACTGTACTGCTACCACATGGAGCTAAAGACTGTACTGCTACCACATGGAGCTAAAGACTGTACTGCTAACATGTGGAGCTAAAGACTGTACTGCTACCACATGGAGCTAAAGACTGTACTGCTACCACATGGAGCTAAAGACTGTACTGCTAACATGTGGAGCTAAAGACTGTACTGCTATCATGTGGAGCTAAAGACTACTGCTACCACATGGAGCTAAAGACTGTACTGCTACCACATGGAGCTAAAGACTACTGCTACCACATGGAGCTAAAGACTGTACTGCTAACATGTGGAGCTAAAGACTGTACTGCTATCATGTGGAGCTAAAGACTACTGCTACCACATGGAGCTAAAAACTATTGCTACCTCATGGAGCTAAAGATTGTATTGCTAGTGTCCAGACTTTGACATTTATGTTCCCCATGGAGCTGAAGACTGTACTGCTACAGTGTCCAGACTTTGACATTTATGTTCCCCATGGAGCTGAAGACTGTACTGCTACAGTGTCCAGACTTTGACATTAAACTTGTGTTCCCCATGCAGCTGAAGACTGTAATGCTACCATATGGAGCTAAAGATTGTATTGCTAGTGTCCAGACTTTGACATTTGTGTTCCCCATGCAGCTGAAGACTGTAATGCTACCATATGGAGCTAAAGACTATAGTGCTAGTGTCCAGACTTTGACATTTGTGTTCCCCATGCAGCTAAAAACTTGCCAGATGGCACTGCAGGAGAAACAAGAAGTGTGCACAGAGCTGAAGCAAACACACGGTGACCAGATCACCCGGCTGACCAACGCTACCAGGGAGAGAGAGCAGGCCTGGCTTCTACAGAAGGAAGATCTGGAGCAGCACTACAAGCAGATCATCAATGACTTACAGTCTAGGTCAAAGGTCACACACTTTCCTTCATTGCCCTTTGACCCTAGGTGGTCACACTTTTTGTTGCCTGTCCAGCTGAGTATAAATGAAGTAATTGTACCCTATGATCTATCACATGTAATGAGAAAATTATTTTTCCTCTAGAAAACACAAGCCATAGCAGATCAAGCCTGGGAGAAAGTTCGAGCCACAGGAAATGTCCAGCAGGGTCTGGAGTCCGAAGTCTCACAGCTCAGACGCGAACTGGCTGAGTCACAGGTGAAGTTTTCATTCAGTTGTGGTCAGTGTCCTAACTTGATTGGTCACTCAGTGTCCTAACGTCATTGGTTGGTCTGTGTCCTAACGTCATTGGTTGTTCAGTGTCCTAACGTCATTGCTTAGGATATTTGATGGACATTCATTGAATCCACTGGTTAGCAGTTTTATCTCTTTGAATCTTGAGACAATTTTATATTTCTTCCTAATATGTAACACATTTTTTTTTATCACTCATGCTAGTTTAAAAGTGAATCACAGGTTTACAAATTCTATGAATAAATTAAATTTTGAAAATTAAATTTTTATTGTATTGTATTATTTGGTCAACACAATCTCCTTTTTAAAACATTTGCAGGTCAATGCGTCGTCGCTCTTGGCCGCGTGTGCCCTGTTGAGTGGCGTCCTTTACCCTCTAATGTCAAGGACATCCACACTAGCCTCAGAGTGCCATCTGCTGCAGGAGACATTCGCCACCTGGGAGAAGTGCCGGACCCACGCCATTTACCTGAGTCACGTGCTGAGTTCTGGCAGAGAGACGGAGCCAGACAAAGCAGATAAGAAACTCCAGAAGAAGAAGAGTCCCATTTTAAAGTTTCGGGTTCTAGTCTTGGCCGTGCTGGCATCCAACAGATTAGCATATCTGGGTCAAGGGTCATCCAGCTGTTTTGTAGCCTATGTGTTGTCTCTTGGTCATGCAGGTGTGAGGTTTGATGTTGGGGGACGGACAGAGACAGGCAAGTTTACAGGTGAGGTTTGATGTTGGGGGACGGACAGAGACAGGCAAGTTTACAGGTGAGGTTTGATGTTGGGGGACGGACAGAGACAGGCAAGTTTACAGGTGAGGTTTGATGTTGGGGGACGGACAGAGACAGGCAAGTTTACAGGTGAGGTTTGATGTTGGGGGACGGACAGAGACAGGCAAATTTACAGGTGAGGTTTGATGTGGGGGACGGACAGAGACAGGCAAGTTTACAGGTGAGGTTTAATGTTGGGGGACGGACAGAGACAGGCAAGTTTACAGGTGAGGTTTGATGTTGGGGGACGGACAGAGACAGGCAAGTTTACAGGTGAGGTTTGATGTTGGGGGACGGACAGAGACAGGCAAGTTTACAGGTGAGGTTTGATGTTGGGGGACGGACAGAGACAGGCAAGTTTACAGGTGAGGTTTGATGTCGGAGGACGGACAGAGACAGGCAAGTTTACAGGTGAGGTTTGATGTCGGAGGACGGACAGAGACAGGCAAGTTTACAGGTGAGGTTTGATGTTGGGGGACGGACAGAGACAGGCAAGTTTACAGGTGAGGTTTGATGTTGGGGGACGGACAGAGACAGGCAAGTTTACAGGTGAGGTTTGATGTTGGGGGACGGACAGAGACAGGCAAGTTTACAGGTGAGGTTTGATGTTGGGGGACGGACAGAGACAGGCAAGTTTACAGGTGAGGTTTGATGTTGGGGGACGGACAGAGACAGGCAAGTTTACAGGTGAGGTTTGATGTTGGGGGACGGACAGAGACAGGCAAGTTTACAGGTGAGGTTTGATGTCGGGGGACGGACAGAGACAGGCAAGTTTACAGGTGAGGTTTGATGTTGGGGGACGGACAGAGACAGGCAAGTTTACAGGTGAGGTTTGATGTTGGGGGACGGACAGAGACAGGCAAGTTTACAGGTAACTTTTCATCTTATGCGGAATTCTGTTGTTTAGGATTTATTTTATTTTAACAGAGATTTAAAATAATTTGGTTTTCAAAATCATGATGTTTGGGGAATTTTAAATTAAAATAAATAGACAAATATATATAGATCTAGATGAGCCATTTTAGGGTTAAAAATTTTAGTTTTTTTTTGTAGCTTTAGCTCAATATTAAATGCATTTGTTAGTTTATTAATATGGTCAAACAAGTGTTGGCCAGCTTTAGTTCTCATCTTTATTCATTGGTCAACTCTTTCATGTGAAACACAAAACTTGAAATATTTATCTTTCTTTCATTGTTCCTATAAAGTGTAATTGGTTTAATTGTTCCTCCTTACCTGCATGTTTTAAGGTCTGACAGGCAAGGATGCAGAGAACACCAGCTCAGCAACAGACTCAAATGAAAGACAAAACAGCTTGACTGCTTGGTTGACCAGCCAGGGCTTGCTTGATGCTGTGTTGAGTAGCGTCACAGAGGTCTTGGAGGTGGCCAGAAAGAAAGAACAAAGTCAGATTTGTTTTCAGTCAGATTTGTTTTCAGTCAGATTTGTTTTCAGTCAGATTTGTTTTCAGTCAGATTTGTTTTCAGTCAGATTTGTTTTCAGTCAGATTTTACCTAAGTGAGATTTGATTTCAGACAGGTTTTTTCAGTCTGTTTTTAAGTCAGTTTTTTTTTCAGTGAGGTATTATTTCTGTCAGACTTTATCTTAGTGGATTTTATTTCAATGCAATAGAATAATTTTTAATATTATTGGAAACTTATGTACAAAAAAGTCATCATGGGAATTTTTTTTAATGAATAATTTCTTTAATCTGCCTTCACTAATGTAACCCAAAATTTTTGTTTTAGCTGCCCACACTGACCAGAGAACACTTGTATCCGCTGCTAGATCATCGCTGAGTAAATTACTGGACAGAATTCACCGGTTATTTTCCAACTCACCTTACTTCACACAAACTGCACTGCGAGACAGATCTTCCCTGGCCAGAAAGCTGGAGAAATGTCTGTCTCACACACTGAATGATACACCCAACATCCTCAAAGGGAGCTTAATCTCATCTCAGGTAAAGCTTACAGTTACTGTTCTTTCCACTGTTTATGTGTACAAATCAGATCTTTTGTTTTTTATTATATAAGTGGAAGAAAATATTTCAAGAAGTATTGAAGTTTTTAAATACAGTTTTAATGTACAAATAACATTTGTACCACAAGAGGTTTTCTGACCAGCCCATGACCCAGTTAGCTGACACCTGGCTTGCACAATAACACATGGAAATCCATTAGCTCAGGTCATGTTGATCCTAACAGATGTTGATAAGTTTCTCAGCACTTTCACTAAATCATAGAAATTCCACATTAGACATATGTCTGTACCCTGCTGTTACTGGCACATTGTTGTGATGTTGTCATCTTGCTGTTGTTAAGTATCTAGTCATGCTATCACCATGTTGTTGTGATGCTGTCATTATGCTGTCATGATGTTGTCATGCTGTTGTTCCCATGTTTCTGTGTGTAGGAGCTGATGAGCACGTTACAGAACCACATCCTGGACCTGACCCAGAAACTGCACTCAGCTGAGAAGGAAAGGAGAAGACAACTCTCAGAGCTGACTGAGCTAAAGATTCAGATAGGGGAGACAACCAAATCAGATGAGGATGGTGGTGACAAAACTAATTCCAAGGCAAGAAACAGTTTTGTGACATTTTTAATAAACTTTAAAATTTTTTTATTCTTTAACAATGTCTGATGTTATAAGTTGGTATCATTATGTTTTGTTGTTATTTTTTCTTGTGTTTAGAACACCAAGTACGTTCTGGCGTCCAAGTTTGACAAGGTGTGTGTTGAGCTGAGTCTTGCCCTCAACCGTGAACAGAAAGCCCAGGTGTTGCTGCAGGAGCAGAGTGACCAGCTGACCGAGCTGACAGCCAGGCTGGAAGTCTGCGTCTCTGATGGACTGCACCAACAAAACAGCCTCGCTCACTTACAAGAGGTTTGTTTGATGTATTCTACACATTGGCTGTGACAAATTTGTTTTGCTAAACCTATTTAAGTTATAAAAATACACTTTCAAATACACTTTCTAAAAAATAAAAAAATAAAATAAATTTTCAGTCGCTAGCAGAAGTGGAGAAGGAACTGCGGCAGAAAGAACAGCACCTTAGACAGATGGGGAAACAATCCTCACAGTTAGAGTATGAGAGGGACTCGTTGGTGAGCAACCTTAAAGATGCAGAAAACGCACTAAGAGCTTCACTCAGGTGAGAATACTGATTGTGTCAGGTGAGAATACTGATTGTGTCACTCAGGTGAGAATACTGATTGTGTCAGGTGAGAATACTGATTGTGTCACTCAGGTGAGAATACTGATTGTGTCACTCAGGTGAGAATACTGATTGTGTCAGGTGAGAATACTGATTGTGTCAGGTGAGAATACTGATTGTGTCACTCAGGTGAGAATACTGATTGTGTCAGGTGAGAATATTGATTGTGTCAGGTGAGAATACTGATTGTGTCAGGTGAGAATACTGATTGTGTCAGGTGAGAATACTGATTGTGTCACTCAGGTGAGAATACTGATTGTGTCAGGTGAGAATACTGATTGTGTCAGGTGAGAATACTGATTGTGTCAGGTGAGAATACTGATTGTGTCACTCAGGTGAGAATACTGATTGTGTCAGGTGAGAATACTGATTGTGTCAGGTGAGAATACTGATTGTGTCAGGTGAGAATACTGATTGTGTCACTCAGGTGATAATATAGATTTTGTCACTCAGGTGTGAATACTGATAGTGTACACACTTTTTTAAATTAAAAAATTTTGTATCCAAATGTAGAGAGAGATTTTTTTTTTCAAATTTTATAACATTTAATTTTGTTATTATTGACTTTTTATTTTATTGCCACAGGGACAAAGAAATTTTAACCCTTTACATAAAAAATGTTGAAAGCTCTCTAGAACTGGTAGGTCTTGAAGAATTTGGCATCTGTATGTTTTTTAAATAACTGAAGCTTTAGTTAAATATAAGTTTAGTTTGAGGATTTGGTTGAACATCTGGAATATTTTTTAAAATCCCTTTTCAAAATATTTTAATTTAAGAATTCTTTTTTACCCCTCCCCCCATCCCCCTCTCTGCAGGTGAAGAAACAGTTTGTTCTGTTTGTGGACTCCAAGATGGGGGATGTGTCATTGGCCCAAATTCTGTTGAACCCTGAACTTATTCCCCAGGACATAGGGAGAGCTGGACAAGAGTTAATTGCCCTTCAGGTAAGTTATTGCCCTTCAGGTGAGTTATTGCCCTTCAGGTAAGTTATTGCCCTTCAGGTGAGTTATTGCCCTTCAGGTAAGTTATTGCCCTTCAGGTGAGTTATTGCCCTTCAGGTAAGTTATTGCCCTTCAGGTGAGTTATTGCCCTTCAGGTAAGTTATTGCCCTTCAGGTGAGTTATTGCCCTTCAGGTGAGTTATTGCCCTTCAGGTGAGTTATTGCCCTTCAGGTAAGTTATTGCCCTTCAGGTGAGTTATTGCCCTTCAGGTGAGTTATTGCCCTTCAGGTGAGTTATTGCCCTTCAGGTGAGTTATTGCCCTTCAGGTGAGTTATTGCCCTTCAGGTGAGTTATTGCCCTTCAGGTGAGTTGATCCCTCTTCAGGGGAGTTGATTGCTCCTCTGGTGAACTGCTTGGCCTTGTCAGAAATTAAAAAAATTTTTTACTAGATCAGCCATGTTATCTTTTACTTAATATTTCAGTTCTGTCCAAAATAATATACTTCATTAAAATGGACTTAATTCTTTTCTTGAAGATTGCTTATTAACATTTTTGTTTGAGTGCCAATTCTTTAGGATGTATACAATTTTTAAAAATATTTTGTGCACAGAATCTTGTAGGATGTTTTAAAAAATGTAATATTTTTGTGCACAGAATCTTGTAGGATGTTTTAAAAAATGTAATATTTTTGTGCACAGAATCTTGTAGGATGTTTTAAAAATGTAATATTTTTGTGCACAGAATCTTGTAGGATGTTTTAAAAAATGTAATATTTTTGTGCACAGAATCTTGTAGTATTTTTAATAAATGTAATATTTGTGTGCACAGAATCTTGTCGGATGTTTTGTTGACACTCAGCAACAAGCAGTCAACAAGATTACCTCCCTGGAGCAAGAAGTTGTCTCCCATCGCATCCACATCAACACCCTCAAGCAAGAGTTGAGCAACGCTGTACATAGGGAGTTTGTAGAGGAGGTCAGTTAGATTCCTCTTTCAATAACGCTGAGGTCAGGGCATTGAGTGATGAGATAAATAATGTATATAATTTACTATTTTTTTTTCTTACTCTAGGTTGATGATGCTACAAATGGCGCCTTCTCCTCATTTGAAGGGAGACAAGAATTTGTTCTTCTCAAGTGAGTTGTTTCTCTTTTGATTCCTTCTATCCTACTCATCTGTTCCTGTTTACTTCATCCCACCCTTATCCCTATCCTGAAACACTTCATCCCACCCTTATCCCTATCCTGAAACACTTCATCCCACCCTTATCCCTATCCTGAAACACTTCATCCCACCCTTATCCCTATCCTGAAACACTTCATCCCACCCTTATCCCTATCCTGAAACACTTTAACCCTCTCTACATGTTCCCCCCCCCCCCCACACACCCTGCCTTTATCCCTACCTGTTCCTTCACCCCTATCTCACTCCCCTCCATCTCTCCCTATTCCCTCCATTCCTCCTATATCCCCCTACATCCCCCTTCACACCACCTACTGTTGTTGTTTTACCAGGGAAGATCCCAACTTTTCTGCTGACTCAACAAAACCACTTCTAAAGTCTACTCCACCAGTTAGCCACAGTCAAAAATCTGCTTTTCAAATTGTCAAGTAAGTCAGTTATATCTAAACTTTTTTTTCAAATTGTCACATAAGTCAGCTTGATCTATTTTTAATTTGTTAAGTAAGTCAGCCATTAGTCAGCTATATCTGACATATTCAATTTATCTTTTAGGGTTCTGGTTGCCCTACTTAAATTATTTAATTAACTTTGAATAATATCTGCCAGCTGTATGTCTACATCCCATATGTCTACTATATATATGTATGCCTGTTTGTCTGTATGTCTGCATTTCTCCCACAGGTCCCGCCACACAGAGAAAAAGTCACCCAAAAAAAGCCAGTAACCCCCCCCCCCCCCCAAGCAATGATGGTCAACCAAATACTCTGAGATAGCATGACAAAAAGATAGTATACTCTGCCACTGTGTCATAGGAAAACTTGGGTTCAAATCCTGCGTCAATTTTAATTTATGTAGAAATGTTTACTTAAGTTATTACATACTTAAATAACATTGAATGTAAAAATGTAAAAATCAAAGGCTAACTTATTGTTTTAGTTTTATTTGTTACTCTCAGCTGACATTTTTTTACTGTCAGCTGACATAATGATGTTAGTGTCAGTTGACATTTCTGTACTAAATGATTGATGTAGCTAGGGTTGGCAATGTCTAGGGTGTAGTTATCAGCAATCTTTTCATGTTATTGTCAATATAATGTTATTGAAATGGCATTGTCATGTTATTGTAATGGCAATGTTATGGTATTGTAATGCTATTGTAATGTTATTGTAATGTTATTGTAATGTTATTGTAATGTTATTGTAATGTTATTGTTAACTACTTGGAAAAGTTTCAACCAACACTGTACAAACAATTGGAATGAAGACTTGAAATAATCTCTGAATTTAACAACAATCACAGACAAAATGAGAACAATCCTATACCTCAATCATACATGACAATCACAGACAACATTGTAACAACTTTTTTCAGCTGTGTTCAAATTTGTAAGAATTCAGCATTCATATTGTAGCACCTACATTGTATCTTTTTGTTTTATTGATTTCAATGTACCCATACCTTCATGTATAACATAACCTTACCATACAGTATACAAGAGTGAGTGTGCAGCATTATATTTACCTATCTCACTTACTAATCTCACTTAGCTGATGTACTTCACAAACTGCCTCACACTTATTGTATTTCTTTTATTGTTTATCTATTCAATCATTGGGTAAGTAGGTCATGCTATATTTAGATCTGACAAGTATGTATGAGTGAAACAAGTATCTAGATACTGGTAGAAGTAAAGGGAGAGAAAATGTTATATATTAAAGTAACATCAATTTTTTAGATATGCTTACTGGTTTTTATATACTTATAAATAAAAAAAAATTGTTATTTAACTGATTCAAATCTTTGACCAATTTTAAAGATTTGTCTTACCAGATATTGATTATATTATATTTTATAACAATAAATAATTGAAAGGCTTTGTAAAAAACTGGTTCACTTGTTTATCTGGTTTTGTAAACATTTTGAAAGAGTAAATTATGGTCTGATTCCTTATTTCAGATACAATACAAAAATAAATATGTATCATAAGATCTATGGAAAAAAAATGCATTACAAAAATTTTTAATAAATAAAGTTTAGAGGGATAAAATTAAGCTTCTAAAAATAAAGGGCAACAATATAAGAGAAAGTTAGCAATACATTACCGAGTTACCTTTCTTAGTTTTATCAAGCAGATGTGTTGGAAGCAGGGATTTAAATAAAATAACAGTGTAGACAGAAAATGTTATTTCAAGCCAAAAGGTAGACATAGGTAATTAATGCCAAAGTTAGGTATTCAATGCCAAAGACATAGGTATTCAATGCCAAAGGTAGACATAGGTATTCACAGTGCCGGCGCTACCTATAAGGCGAACTAGGCGGTCGCCTAGGGCGCCATCCCTTGGGCGCAAAAGGTATAATCGTTATTATCAAAAAGTACCTAATAATGAATAACTTTTATAAAGGAGTAGCGATCTATTTCGGCACCCAGGACGAACTATCAATTTTGCACCTCCACCCCAAAATTAGGTCTATATAGGTATATATTTATTCGCGATGGTGAATATGCAACCCCACCTCCCTAATTTGGAAAGGTCGGGGCGCTTTTTACCAGTCACTTTGCCTTTTTAATTTGGTGTCACATAACTGATGTAAAAAACGATTAAATAAGTTCGTAATTTAAATTTCGAACATTTTAATAGGGCTTGTAAGTCTCGTTTTCTCTGACTTTAAATTATAAATCTGTCCTGGTGTATAGGGTTTTGTATAGGGTTTTGTAATGACAGGGTGTTCAAAGTATTTTCACTTGTTTGGTAAGTTTTGATGACTCGTTTAGATTTGGGAGTAACGGCGGAAGGCTGTTGCTGATATGGTTTCATAGGTATAAAGTATCGAAGTGTTAAAGTGTCGTATTTTTACTTTCTCTTATATACGAAGTATAGAGAAAGTATTGTAATCGTGCAAAAAAAAAATCGAGATTTTTACAAATCTCGACGTTTTACACGATTTACGATTTACGATAACCGGAAGTGGTACTTTTTCTACTTTGAATTTTTCAAAAGCCTATAACTTGAGTACTATTTCAGATAGATAAATGAAATTTCACATGTAAGTAAAACATCTAATTCTCTACCTTCTCTCAAATTTTGAGTAATTTCCGTTGAACGGAAGTACTAATTTACGCTATTTCCGATTTCTCAAAAAACGCATGTAAATTTATAAAATACTAATAATATTGCACACTATTATGCACATTTTGTTTTGGCGTTCGCTTGGTGCGCAATTCTTTTTTCTATGAGATTCTATTCTATTTTTAAAAGTTAAAGTAATTAAAAATCATGTCTATATTGAAATTCCAAGTTATATAAGAATATTCGAGAAAGTTTAGGAGAGATCACTCCCGGTTTATTTATTTGGCTGTTGTGTAGTTGAAGGTCTAGTGGAATCTGATTGGTAGTAGAGAAATAAGAATGCAGGTGATGAAGTATCGTAGTTTTGGAGTTCGGGAGTATTGATTCTTGTTGTATTAAGGTATCGAATTATAATGACTGTTAAAGTGTAGTAGTAGGTCCAGTGAAATCGTTGTTGATAAGGAGTATCATTTGTAGAGCTTGGTGAAGTAAACGAGTTGGTGTCGTAGTTCTGGAGCATCGAGTCTAGTTATGTTTAGGTATCGAAGTTTGATATGTGTTGTGAATGCAGTAGGGTAGTCTAGTTTATCATAAGTTAAATTATTTAAGTTCAGGACGGAACACACTACAAAGAAAGGTAGGCGTTCTCTAGTTGAAAAATCTTCAGTTTTTTAGGAATCTATATTACCATTACTAAAGTATTAATATTTATTAAATAGGAAGGAATTTAATAAAAACTAAACTTTTGTTTTTTCAAATTAGATCTATATTTTAAAAAAAAATTAATAATTCTAGCAATGTCTAAACCAGGGGTCGGCAACCTGCGGCTCGCGAGCCGCATGCGGCTCTTTTGGTATCAAGATGCGGCTCTCCAGCTCCTTGAACAAATACTAATAATCTTAATAAAAAAATAACATATTTGAAATAAAAAAATGTTAGTGGCTCTTTAAAACCAGGGAAATTTTTAAAATTGTAACTTTTGGCTCTTCTGCTTCAAAAGGTTGCCGACCCCTGGTCTAAACCGTTACAAATGTTTGAATTTTTTTGAAAAGACATCCCTTTATTTAGGGGATCCAAAATTTTACATAGAAAATTTAAATAACGGCCCGCACTTAAACGTATGTCATCAAAATTGAATAGAAGTATGTTATAAAAAGCTACCGTTTTTAGACTTTCAAACAAAACCTATAGTTAAATATTCAATTGGTAAAATATATCGTTTTTACAAGGTTACATAGCTAGTATCAAAGATTTGTTATAAAGCTTACGTAATGAAATTTAGAGCGTTTTATTGTGCTTTTCCAACATATCTTAGTTACACTTGGTTAATTTCGCAATTCTTGTGAAAGTTATTTCCCTTGAATAAAATTTTGTTATTTGGATTTTCAAACTTTACATTCATTTCAAATCCCTGCACCTTAGCAGTGGCGGATTAAGGGGGGGGGGGGGGGGGGGTGCTGGAGGGCTGCAACCAGGGGCCCCCGATTTTTAGGGGCCCCCAAATTTCCTTTTTAGATCATAGTAAATTTCCCTTTATTGCTAAATTGTTGTTTTTTTATATATTTTTTTACTATAAAAGCCAATGTTTTAATATTCGAGCACACACTTTATTTAAATAGCGGTCAAATTCTGACTCATGAGTCTATGATTGACGCCTTTTGAAAAATGCTCAGCACTTGAAAGTAACTTAGATAGCGTCGGATCGTGTAGCAAGGTAGAAACAAACATTAAAATAATATAAATGTTAGGCATAGGGCCTACATTCTGAATTAGGTCTCACTAGCAAGCATCCAGACAAGCAACATTATTGACCAGCCTTAGCAATCAATGAAAAACTGCCTGACCGTTTTTGCTTACCCACTACACTACTAACAAATGTATGAAAGATGCTTTACATTTTTGTCATTAGAAATGAGGTTTTGGATATTATTTTTTTTTTTTAGGTACAGGATATACAGATATAGTTATTTGGATTAAAACTCCTTAGATTAAAAACTGCTTATTATGGCCTGGTGAGCATAGGGAATATTAGGTAGAGTTCACATAGTTAGTTTTTCTCAGCAAATGAGACATTCTGATCAGTTCTAGATTTATGCCTAACTTCCTTTAGTAGTTTTAAAATTTGAGATTGATCTAGATTCTAGGTACCCATCTGTGTTTGGTGTTCTTGGATCTGAACCTGGGATTAGAGCTCAGGACTTTTGGGTCAGCAGTCGTGCGTTCTACCCGATATTGTAAACTCGAAACTTTTAATTTTAGAAAAAATCAAAATAGGCCACAAACCGTTAGGTCTAATTAATTAGCTTGTACTTTCGTTGGCGTCAAGATAGATTTATAGAACTAAAACAATTGTGGAAAAGTGCGGACGGCGTATGGTTGAGGTAGGGAGGGCTATGTGGACATCACATTCATTGAATCATAATCTGTATTGTTTATAACAAAAACAAAGCTGTATAAACAAGGTAGGCCTAAAAACAAATACGGCAGTACCCGTGTTATTTTGACCCAACTCAATGGGCTGTTTAGTCGCGGCGAACCTATTTAGGCAACCGACATTTATGCCTAAATTAGGCCTAGACAGAAACAGGCCAGGGAAGGCTTCTTTAAAGGGCGACTGTGGAAATTCAACCTAAGAGGTTGGAGGTGTGGTTTTTTAACGCTTATGCCGTGCTTAGTAGTTTTAGTTGGGCCTAGTTTAACCTCTGTTATTTATAATTTTTTACATAGAGTGGTTTGAAATTCTCTTTTTACTTTCTCGTATATACGAAGTATAGAGAAAGTATTGTAATCGTGCACAAAAATCACTTGAAATTTTAACTATTTTCACCGTATTACACCTCAGTCCTTCATCACATCCGAAGTATAGAGGACTTATTTTAATCGGGCAAAAATTATCAATCCAGATTTATCAAAATTAAAAGGTTTTATGCGTATTCCAGTCTGAAAAACTGGGCTTTGCAATTCTGTCCGTATGTCTGTGTGTCTGTGTGTGTGTCCGTGTGTAAACACGATAACTTGAGTACCGTTACAGCTAGGTTGATGAAATTTCATATATAAGTATTTTATCAAAATCGTAGATCCGTATCAACTTTTGAGCGATTTCGGATAACCGGAAGTGGTACTTTTTCTACTTTGAATTTTTCAAAAGCCTATAACTTGAGTACTATTTCAGATAGATAAATGAAATTTGATATGTAAGTAAAAGATCTAATTCTCTACCTTCTTTCAAATTTTGAGAATTTTTCGTTGACCGGAAGTACTTATTTACGCTACTTCCGATTTCTCAAAAAACTAATGTAAATTTTAAAAGTACTAATAATATTGCGCACTATTATGTGCTTTTTTATTCGCGTTCACTAGGTGTGCAATTAATTTGTCTACGAGATTTTATTCTATTTTTAAAACTTTAAGTATTTAAAATGGATTAAAAATCATGTCTATAGCCCGAGTTCCCATCCCCTGTTATTTTATATAAGAATATTCGAGAAAGTTTAGGGGAGATCACTCCCGGTTTATTTTCTTTTCGCGTCTGCAAGCAAGCAAGTGCCAACAGTCTTTTTCGCCTGCTCTATAACATTATAATATTCTAATAGATATTTATATTTGTACAATGTTAGTCTGCATTTCCAGCTTTCTCATGCCCAATATAAATTCGTGAATGACTGTTCACTAACTATCGTGACACTGTATACCGGCTGAGTATGACTGCCATTAGCCAGGGAGGTAGACTCCAACTAACTGGCAAATAGTGGACTGAATCAGTCTCACGAAGATGTTGGTTTGAAACACTACATGTTGGTCGTTTAATCAT